CTTGACAAGAGATTTAACAGGAGATTAGTTAATTTCAGTGTTGACAAGCCTTTCAGAAACCGGGTGTGAGTCTATCTTTGTCTTGCAAAAGCGTGCCATCAGAGCTATTTACAACCTAAAGCGTCGAGAATCTCTTTGAGAAATGTTTATAGGGATCAACATTATAACAATTTAGTTATGAAAACATTATGTATGTTAGGTGAAACTTCCAATTATTTGTTAAGGTACTTGATAGACAGACAATATTATCAAACTAGACATAGATAAAGATTATGTCAGCCATTATTTAGATTTGCAAAGGTACACAAGTCTTTCCTGGGATTCTGTGTTAAATTATGTATCAAGAAAACTTTATGTAGACAAGCATATTACAAGCTGAATGATTGTATTGAGGATAAAAATGCTTGGAGACAGACTGATCGTGCTCCACAGGATAATATTAACGAAAACTGTTCATGTAAAGAGGGATTCTAACTAAGAAATGATACACCATCGTAATTTAATTTTTAAATGTGAGTGCCCAGTGTAACCTATTACAATGAGACTAGCAGAATGTGGGTAGTATCGACTAGTATAGCTTGGCCCCGCGTCCGGTGCATGGAGTATACTGACGAAGGTGCACCCTGGCTGGTCGCAGGCGAGCGGCGTCGCCTTGAGGTGTACCGCCAGTGTATGCTCGCGCAGTCGGGACTCCTTCAGGAAGCGCTTGTCGCACTCGCGACATTTGTACCTTGGGGGAGAGAGACAGAACTACATACATCTCATGTACCCGAATGGGTCGGCTCGATTGAGTGGATAAATGGATGAGTGGATGAGTGAGTGGGTGAGTGGATGAGTGATTAGATGCGTGGATGAGTAAGTGGTTGAGTGGATGAGTGGATGAGTGAGTGGGTGAGTGGTTGAGTGGATGAGTGAGTGGTTGAGTAGAAGAGTGAGTGGTTGAGTGGATGAGCGGATGAGTGAGTGGTTGAGAGGGTGGATGAGTGCGTGAGTGGGTGGATGAGTGGATTAATTTATGAGTGTCTGGGTAAGTGGGTGAGTGATTAAGTGAGTAGATGAGGGGCAGTACGAGTGAATCAGTGGTTGGATGAGTGTAAAAGTGATTGATTGAATAAGTGAGTGAGTGAGGGTGGATGAGTTGATGAGTAAGAGAGTGAGTGCAAAAGTGATTGAAGAAGCGAGTGAAGAAGCGACTGACTTGAGCGCGGCGGGGTCGCAGTGCTTGAGGCTGTACTTGATGTGCTGAGTGTACGACATCCGGTTCTTGAAGCTGAAGTCGCACTGAAATAATATGACACGTGTACTAACATTATAATTAGTTGTATTAACATAAATAAATGGTATGGTCCCCACCAGGTGGCAGTATAGATGCGCGGGCGCGTCGTGCGTGACGAGGTGCACGCGCAGCGCGGCGCGGAACAGGAAGCGCTTGTCGCAGCGCCCGCACGAGAACTCCTTCTCGGCGCCGTGGGTGCTGGGGGGATACTTTGGTCAGTTGGGTCCAAGCTTCAAAGTCTAGGTTTTCTACAGGATGCATTTTGGAGAGTGTGCGCAGGAATTGCACGATTTGATTCCACCATCCCAATTTCACCTTCGGACATCCCGGCGTACGGCGAATATCCACCCCTACGTTGTTGAGACACCTGCGGCCCGGACTAAGCGTTTTGCCTCGTCATTTATACCGCGTACATCGAGGGATTGGAACAGTTTGCCGGCTGCAGTCTTTCCGTCCGAATACAATTTAGGTGTCTTCAAGGCTAGAGTGAATAGGCTCTTAATAAACTAGTGCGCCTTACCATCAACGATTGCATCACTGCTTACCATCAGGTGGGATCGCAGTCAAGCACTAGTTTATATCAAGTAAAAAAGAAACTTAAAGGCACCGAAGAATGTCTCATTTATTGGTGCATGATAAGTGCCAAAAAAAAAAATATTTCTTTCATTTTACCCGACTACGGCAAAGCAAAAGGAAGGTTATGATTTTGACAGGCTATGTACGTATGTATGTTCATCTGTTCCCTCATAACTTCTAAACTATTATTAATCAGAATTCGACAAATGACATATCATTAGAAACGTCTTAATTGTCCGCTGGTCATAGGCCATATGGGGTATGCCAAAATCTATTGGGCGTCCTCTAGCGGACAAAACATTCAGAGTAAAAAGTTAAGATTAATATGCTGTGTTTGATATCATTTGAAAGCGCTTTACTTGTACATTCTAAATATACTATCATCATCAACATCAGCCTATAAGTGCCTTCTGCTGAGCAAAGGCCTCTTCTCACACGGAGAAGGTTTGAGCATTAATCGCCACGCTTGCTCAATGCGGGTTGGCGATTTCAAACTTACAATTATAAATAACAAGTCCAGGTTACCTCCCGATGTTTTCCTTCACCGTATGTCAGTGGTGTATAAATAATCATAGAAAGTACATATAACTCGGAAAAAGTCACATTGGTACTTGCCAGGTTAGTCAAAGTGCTATACGGTAGCTAGGTATAAGAATGTAACGTGTGACTACGCCTTTCGGTATTCTGAAAATCTCGTTTTATACATTTTCAGCGTCATTTTTTGTAGTTTTAATTTTTATTGTCAACTTACAAGAGATGGGTCCGCAGCGAGGTCCGGTCCCGGAAGGTCTTCCCGCAGAGGTCACAGCGCTGGCGTTCCGCGTGACTTCGCATATGAGCACGTAACTTCCCTAGCGAACTGAGACATCCAAGAAAAACAGTTTTAAGATAGTGAAATGATCAAAAAATTAAATATGAGTCTCAACATTTAAGCACGCGGGTATTAACGCGAAAAATAATTATTTAAATACATTGATACGTATATTTAATTAAGGAAATGTCGACTTTAGTATCAAAAAATCCAAACTAATATTATAAATGCGAAAGTAATTCTGTCTGTCTGTCCAATAATATTGTTTGCTTTATACCAATTCGGTGACAGGTCAAAGTCAAAGTCAAAATCATTTATTTCAATTAGACTACACTAGGCACTTTTGAACGTCAAGCAAAAAAAAAAGGAAAAAAGTATTTCAAGAGCTTTAACTTTAAGCGTGTCAGTCTGTTGGTCAGTCCTCTAGTGAAGCTATTTGCTCGTTCCAAAGTGTAGATTCCTATGGAGAAGAACGAGCAACAAACTCCATGGTTACTCTTTTTCAAACAGTTTTACAATACATTTCTTTGTTACACATAGTAGATATTATAAATTCGAAAGTAACTCTGTCTGTCTGTCTGTCTTTTCTTCACGCCTAAACTACTGAACCGATTTCTGTGAAATTTAGTACAGACTTAGTTTGGAACTCGAGAAAGGACATAGGATAGTTTTTATACCAAAAATCTGCAGGAAGTCACTATTCCACGCGAACGGAGTCGCGGGCAAAAGCTAGTTACATATATATGAGTGTATATGTACGTGTGTGTATGTCGGCAGACGTGGCAGGTGTGTGTGGGGGGGCGCGCCCCGTGCTCGCGCGACACGTGGTCCGCCGCCACACCCACGCGGGACCAACGACCGCCGCACACTGTACAGCGCCATCTACACCACATCATTATACAAACAAGGCCACATAGGCCTTCACTTGTATATTACTAATATTAGCACCCAATACAAAGTCAATAAAATCTATACTAATATTATAAAGAGGTAAAATTTGTAGGTTCGTATGTAGGGGGTAATCTTTGGAACCGCTGGTCGGATTGCCAAAATTCTTTCACTGATAGATAGCTACAATGTTCCTGAGTGCTATAGGCTATAAAACATCACGCTACGATCAAATGGAGCCAGATTTTTTCTCTTCTTGAGTCAAATATAGGATAAACCGGTGTGAAGTAACCACAGCGTTGTGTTTCGCCGTGTGAGTGAAGTTACCGGAGGCCCAATCCTTCCCCGCCCCCAATCCCTCCTCAATCCCTAAATCTCCAAATCCCTAATCCCTAAAAGGTCGGCAACGCACTCGTAACTCCTCCGTTGCGGGTGTCCGTGGGCGGCGCTGATTGCTTACCATCAGGTAATCCGTCTGCTCGTTTGACGACCTATCACATAAAATAAAATAAAAATATCCATGCTTCGGCACGAATAGATTGGGTCGGAGTTATACCACAGCCTTACATAAAACCGGCGTGAAACAACCATAACGGCAACGTTACATGTAATTCTTTTGATGTTATAATGATACCACGGCCTCACAAAATGGTTACCTTAGAACCGATTCTTTCCCTCCCCCAACCTCTAAACTTTGAAATCTTAATTCCCAAGTCCATGGGCGTCGCCGTTTGTTTAACATCAGATAAATTAGTCTTTTTTTATGTAATAGGTCGGCTAAAGAGTAGATAGTTTACCTGATGGTAAGCAATCAGCGCCGCCCATGGACACCAGCAATAACAGAGGAATTACGAGAGCTTTACCAACATTTTGGGGATTAGGCATTTGGAGATTTAGGGGGAGGGAAGAAATTGGGCCTCCGGTAACCTCACTCACACGGCGAAACACAACGCTGTGGTTGTTTCACGCCGGTTTTCCGTGAGGTCGTGGTATCACTCCGGTCGAGCCGACCCATTCGTGCCGAAGCATGGCTCTCAAACAAATAAACATATTATTAACTATAATAGTATTAGTTTGTAAGCTTAAAATAAATATTTAAATACCTGACACGATGTCTTCGTAAATGCGCGGCGAGGGCCCGAGCGTGAACACAGCGTACGCCGCACACAGAACAGGCGTGAGGTCCCGCCGACTGAAACGCCGGCGTTATTATACGCTTCATCATCATCATCAGCCTATAAGTGCCCACTGCTAAGCAAAGGCCTCTTCTCACACGGAGAAGGTTTGCGCATTAATCACCACGCTTGCTCAATGCGGGTTGGCGATTACAAACTTAATAATATAATTATAAATTATAAGTCCAGGTTTCCTCGCGATGTTTACCTTCACCGTATGTCAGTGGTGTCTAAATAATCATAGAAAGTACATATAACTGGAACCCCTGAGCCATCACGATAAAGTTTTCCGCTCAATACCTAACATATTTTTCTTTTTGACGAGGAAGGCTATGTGATTAGCGTCCCCATGGACCCCCTAAACACCAGAAGACTTGAGTAGTAACTAGTACTGACGGGATCATGTTTCTTCATGTGGTTGTCCAGCTTGGCGCGATGGTTGAACCCGAGCACACAGCTCTCGCAGCGCCACACGCTCTGCTCGTACCGCGGGGATGACGCAGCAGAGACACGCTCCGCCGCTACCTATATACATGTTCATTTATTCTTAGGCCATGAACTCATTCACCTACTGACTCACTGACTCATTGACTGACTGACTTACTCACTCACTTACACACTGACTCACGCACTCACTCACTCTATCTCTCTCTCATTCACTAACTCACATACTCATTCACTCGCTTATTCACCCAATTCCTCACTCGCTATCCGACTCTAAAGACTCACTTATTCACTCAAACACTCACTAACTCACTCAAACACTCACCGACTCATTTAAACACTCACTCACATTGGGTCATCGACATTTATACTAATGGACATACCGTAGATACCTGTATAATCTGACTTTTTTGGTTTAAAAAGAGAGAGAGATGGCCAATGCTTTCCGTCTAGCACTATTTCTTTCCTTATAGATGATTGGGGCCATGAGAGAGATAAAAATAGAAGGAAACTTCGTTCCCTCTCTTTTTTTCGGATGCAATAGCTTCACTAGAGGATTGATCAAAAACTGACACACATAAAGTTGAACTTTTTGATGTATATTTTTTAGAGATGTATATCGGATATTCGGTTCCTATCTGGTATCCGGCTTATCCGGTCCTTTTTTACTATCCGGCCGGATACCGGATGGTAATGTACTATCATGTCGGATACCGGATAGCAAACTTGGTAGATTTTATAAATAGAATCTAAATAAAAATGCGCAATTGTTTAGACAGACTTATTACAGAACAACCGCCATGACTGTCAGTGAGAGAGGGCTATGTATATCTGTCTCATTCACACATAGACTACAGATATTACATTGTACCTTAATAACTTTTTATAACATGCTGACTGACACGATAAAAGTATCTACCAAGGACTGTGACGGCGCGAACGTTCACTACGAAACAAGTCAAAACCTGCACAGTGCGCGACACAAACCTACGAAACTGAAAATGCCGTGGGCCAAACATCCGGTATCCGGTATCTGGCCAAACAATTACTCGTTTTTTTTTAATTCGTTGCATTTCTAATATTTTTCTTAATAAATGATGGGACTTTGATTTCTACAGTATGTCCATCAGTATAATGTTGGTATAGCTGGCTGCCTGCATACCTGTTCCCAGCTGAGTACCTCCATGGCGACGAGCGCGGGGTCCACGTTCAGTTGCTGCAGCTTGCGGCGGACGCGGGAGTTGTCCACCACTCCCGCAGGACGCTCGCGACGACCTAAAGGGAGGGGGGGGGGATATCTACACAGAGTCTTCGTCATCAGTATATAACTGTGCTTAGTGTTGGGAAACTAACGAACAAAAAACTAGTTGATGGATTACCTGATGGTAAGCAATCAGCGCCGCCCATGGACACCCGTAATATCAAAGGAGGTACTACAAGTGCGATGCCGGCCTCTTGTGTGTTATTAGGGGTGTAAGGATTGATGATTGAGATGACACGACCTTACAGAAAACCGGCTAGAAACAAGCACAGCGTTATGTTTCGCCGTGTGAGTGAGGTTATCGAAAATCCTTATCCCGTTGACTGCACGGTAGGTGCGGTGGCTGGGGAACTGGCTGCCGTGCTAAGTGTCGCGAATTCGATTCCCGCGCGGAACAACAATTTGTGTGATCCACAAATTGTTGTTCCGTGAGTCTGGGTGTGATGTGGATGTGAAATTGTATGTTTGTACAATACCGTCAACGTATCTTGGCGAGTCTGAACTTAACAGATTAGCTGCGCAGTACACAATTTTGTTCCTAAAACATCCATTGCGCAGACAAACGGCTAACTTCAGACTCGCCAAGATACGTCGGCCGTACTGTAAACGCACCCACGACACAGGATACAATCCTAGAGTGGGGCAACGTTTTAAAAAAACTCCTCAAAGCACTTGAAGCTTATCTCATATTGCGAGAGTCTATGGGTAACGCGGATAGCACAGAAAACTGGCGTAAAGCAACACATTCTGTTTCGCTGTGTGAAAGAGACTACCAGGGTCCTCCTAACCACCCAATTTATGTGTGGGAGAGTCAAGCTTCGGCACGAATGGATCGACTCGACCGGAGTGATAACGCGGCCTCACAGAAAACCGGCGTGATACAACCACAGCGTTGTGTTTCGCCGTGTGAGTGAGGTTACCGGAGGCCCAATCTTTCCCCACCCCCAATCCCTCGTCAATCCTTAATTCTCCAAATCCCTAATCCCTAAAAGGTCGGCAACGCACTCGTAACTCCTCCGTTGCTTACCATCAGGTAATCCGTCTGCTCGTTTGCCGATCTAATAAATAAAAAAAATAATCCCTCCCCATCCTTAATCCTTAAATCCCTTACAACCTACAAGAAGCCGGCAACGTACTTGTAGTAACTCCTTTGATAATCCGTGTGTCCATGGTCTTACTATGTTCTAAAGCATAGATTCCCAAAGTGGTCCAGGTGGACCCCCAGGGGTCCACAGGAGCTCGACAGGGGTCTACGTTTGCCTGGAAAAAGAATGGGGGTCCACAACGCGTTAACGGGGGTCTATAAAAATGCATTAGGTGACCCGACTAGACTTCTCCTATGAATATAGGGAGACAATAATATAGGCAGACAATACTATAAGAAGCTTAAGCTCAGCAAATTGGTTTGTTGCATATTCCATATTCAGAAACAGTAAGACTCGCCGATGCCGCGTCGCCCGCCCGCCTAGTTATAGTCTGAACTTGCATGAACTTGTTGGAACATTCTCTAATCCTAATACGAATGCGAATGATATATACATACCTATATAACTTTTTTCTCAGATTACAATAGTAATCTGATTTTCGGGTTTTGGAATAAAGTTAGTAAATGTAATTGTTGCAGAGGGTCCACCAGATCCAGCAAAATGTTTAAAGTGGTCTATGAGAGAAAAAGTTTGGGAACCTCTGTTCTAAAGGATCTCTACTCACCCTTCTTCTTCTCCTTCTCCTTCTTAACACTAGTCTCAGTCTTCTTCTTGCGCAGCGGCTCCTCGTCCGAGTCGTTGAACTCATCTTCTGTTCTCTTCTTACTTCTTACTTTATTTTTCTTTCTTGAACTTTTTTCTAAAGGAGGCTGTAATATTAAGTCAAGTTGTTTAGATCTTGAGTACTCACATGTATGTTTAAGGAGACACATTTATAACGTTAAGTACTCTGATTGGTCTCATCATCAGCCTATAAGTGCCCACTGCTGAGCAAAGGCCTCTTCTCACACGGAAAAGGTAGAGCATTAATCACCACGCTTGCTCAATGCGGGTTGGCGATTTCAAACTTGTAATTAGAAATTACAAGTCCAGGTTTCCTCACGATGTTTACCTTCACCATATGGCAGTGGTGTCTAAATAATCATAGAAAGTACATATAACTCGGAAAAAGTCACATTGGTACTTGCCAGGTTTCGAACCCACACCCTCATGCATGAGAAGCGGGCTCCTTAACCTCCGGAACACCACGACATTTTTTTGGTCTGATTGGTCTGTTACAAGTTGATTAACCAATAAGAAAGCAAAATGCAGCAAGATTTTTAATAACGTTAAGGTGGATGCTACAAAAAAATATTTCCATATTCTTAACTAGCTTCTCTCGCGCGGTTTCACTCACTGCTCGGCTCTTATAGATCGTAACGTGACGTTTTATAATCTATAGCACTCGGGAACATTGTAGCTATCTATCAGTGAAAGAACTTTGGAAATCCGACTAGTGGTTCCAAAGATTACCCCCTACATAAAAACTTACAAATTAGAAATACAGATTTCTGTGAGTGATTGAATAAGTTATGAGTGAGTGAGTGTGTCAGTGATTGAGACAGTGAGTGAGTCAAGGAGTAAGTGAGTGATTGAGTGAGAGACTGAGGTGTCTTTCGACGCACATAGTAACTATGTTCAACAGATGAAGTCGCAAGGCTCATGATCTTCTGGTCCAAGGATCCTCCTTTTCCGATCTCGGGGATCTATACTCTGTTCTCTAAAAGTGATTGGGTTAGTGATTGAGTCAGCATGTCAGTGAATAAGTGAGTGAGTGAACGAGTGAGTGCGGGAATGAGTGAGTTGGTGAATGCGGTGAGTGAGTGAGTGGGAGAATGATTGAGTGATTGATTCATCAAGAGATGGTTACCGGAGGCCCAATCCTTCCCCTCCCCCAATCCCTCCTAAATCCCTAAATCTCCAAATCCCTAATCCCTAAAAGGTCGGCAACGCACTCGTAACTCCTCCGTTGCGAGTGTCCATGGGCGGCGCTGATTGCTTACCATCAGGTAATCCGTCTGCTAGTTTGCCGACCCATTAAATAATAAAAAAGAGAGTGGGTGAGTGTTTTATCAAGTGAATGAATCAGTGATTCGGTGAATAGCAGAGTATTTGTAAGTGAATTAAGACGATTGAGAGTCAAATAAATGTCTTCTTAAATAATTAAATAAAATCAATACCTTGAGATCCTCTGCATCCAGGCTATCATCGTCAAGGAAATGGTTGTCTGCATCCACCTCTACTTTCACGAAGGGTAGTGTAGTGACCACCTCCTCCGGGTCACTCTTGATTTCACTCTGAGTGCCTGTACACTGCTCAGTTTTAACGACATTGGCTTCTGATTGCGACTGAAAAATTTAATATTTGATAAATTAATATGATAATAATAGGCAAACATAGGATTTTTTTGTCAGGGGAAAATCATCAAGTGTAGGAGAGCCATGATTCGTTCGTCGAACAGGTTGGCTCGACCGGAGTGATACCACGGCCTTACAGAAAACCGGCGTGAAACAACCACAGCGTTGTGTTTCTCCGTGTGAGTGAGGTTACCGGAGGCCCTCCTTCCCCTCAACGAACTGCACCAATTCTTAAATCTCCAAATCCCTAATCCCTAAAATGCCAGCAACACACTCGTAACTCCTCAGCTGCGGGTGTCCATGGGCGGCGCTGATTGCTTACCATCAGGTAATCCTTTTGCTTGTTTACCGACCTATTATATAAAATAAAAGTATGCTTGCTTCTTGGAGATTTGAATCATTAGACAAATTTGTATTAAAACATCTTAAACCCCTCCATAACTCACCAGGTATTTGTTGATAGTATCTCGTGCGTCCAGCACTCGTCTCCGGAACTGCAGGAACTTTACAATATTGTCCTTGCACTCCTCACAGAGATGTAAACTTATTGTGGATAAATTCTGAAACATGAGAACAGGAATGAGACGGAGACTAATATTATTTAAGAGTTAAAACAGAAAGATAAGGCCCAAGGTAAAAAATATTTTTATACTTATATTCACTATAAGACTACTAAGGGGATACTTAAAAACTATTAAAACAACTTTAATTATCTACAGAAAACCTTCATTAATTTACGAAAAAAAACCTAAACGAACTTTCGCGTAGTAGAAAATTCAATTGACATACGTTTAGACATTTAAATAATAGATTCCTATACAATAACAACGGCATTCATCGACCCATTTACAATTCTCAAATAAGTTCACATTTCTTACTAAAACCGGCTAATCATCGCCGCAACGAGTTCTGTATAGAAACAAATTAATAAATATGTGTATAATTCTGTCAATAAACTAGTTTAAAAGAACTTACAGCGTCCAGAATATTAATTATTTCGTAAAATACTTTCTTGATGTCGTATTCTGTGATTTCTGTGATCGTCTGCGGGTTCTGAGACAAGCAGCCCTCACAAACGGGGTCCCCATGGTCCCTGCTAACATTCATGTCCACTCCTTGAACCTAAAACTTTGCGTTTTATATAAAAATCTTCATTTTGTTGCGATTATTTTTTGCTCAAACACTTTCACCTTTTTTTAATTACAACAATCAACCACTATTTGTTTGGCATGTAGTTCCGTTTTGGAACTTGGGCTTTTGAGCAAATAAGATTATTGACAGAATTTTTTAGCTAACAATCTGTCCCAGCTTTGTTAGGGTTATTCGTGATTGATTTCAATGTCGAAGTGGATACACCTTTTTTTTGGCCTTGCCCCGCTCGTAACAGACGTAAAAAAGAAGTACTTATTCCTTTTGGTAATTGTATTGACAGTCTTACATAATATTCTACGATAATATATCATATATTATTATTTAAGCCTAGATAAGATCTAATCCAGGATTGTTTGCGGGTGTAAGCACAATAATGTACCACAGCCTCGGTCGGAGAATGTTAAACAGGCGTTGCTTCTCCTGTTGACACTCCTTCACTCCACTTCCTCAGTCTCTGCTAATAAAAATTAAGGGGGTTGCGTGTCAAGCACAATCAGGCACCGGAGAGCAGGAGAAGGAACAGGGTAATTTTTAGTCGGTAAGAGTCTGATATTCTCACTGGGCAAGAGAAAATATTTGATGATTTTAACCCTTTTTAGAGGTATGAGGAACAGGGTGGAAAGTTCCTCATCCTCCATTGAAAAGGGAGGATCCTCCGACCAGGCGAGGTGTTCGTGCCTGGCTGGGCTACTGCCCGACGGTTGTTGTCGGGATATCTGTATGGGTGCTAATTCTGTTGAAAACTCTTATAGCGCGATGTAGAGTCTTGCTCGTGATTGGTGCTGCTGTTGTTTATGTAGTGCGCTAGATGTCGCTACACCTTTATAAAAAAATTATAAGCATTAGCTGACCGTAACCAGTGTTCATCCTTAGAGATTTGATAATTAGGGATTAAGGGGTGATGGAGTGGGCTTCCTTTACCTTATTCACGCAGTCGGATACAATATTAGTATTCTGTGAGACCATGGTATCACTCCGGTCAAAACGACCAATTATAATTCAAGCTGCAGTGTAGCATGGCTCTCCCGTCCTTGGTTTGTTGTTTTCCAAAAGGTTTAACAAGCAATTCGTTCGGACGTTTTAAGTCAGTACCTAACAGTCTGATACTCAATCGCCATAACCTGGCGAGGGAATTCATTGGATAAAAGTAAAAGTCAAAGTCAAAGCCAAAGTCAAAGTCAAAGTCATTTATTCCAACTAAACCATAAATAGGTACTTTTGAAACGTCAAAATAGAAAAGTAGTCTGTCAGTCTGTTCGTCAGTGAAGCTAGGTGTTCGTTCCAAATTGTAGATTCGAATGGAGAAGAACGAGCAAGAAACTCCATTCGTTACTCTTTTTTTTTTTTTTAATTGTTTTACAATTTCAATAATATAATATTTATAGTATACATTAGTGTACCCTTATGTGAGAACAATGCAGAGACAAGTTGTTAAGATATATTTCATTTATTTAAAAAAAGGGTACCCACCTACCACCTATTTCTCAAGAACTGATTGAAATCTAGGTTATGAGTAGACGTGCTTTACCGCAGGTCACATCATCGCTGACCATCAGGCGAACATAGGTAATATTCTTGTGTCTACATATATCTTGGGTCATGGGTGTGGTTACAAAAACATTACATGGAGTTTCTTGCTCGTTCTTCTCCATTCGAATCTACAATTTGGAATGAGCACCTAGCTTCACTGACGAACTGACTGACAGACTACTCTATTTTGACGTTTCAAAAGTACCTATTTATGGTTTAGTTGGAATAAATGATTTTGACTTTGACTTTGACTTTACACTCAGACCCGAACCAACAAAGTAGTGGATCATACAAAGAGTTGTTCTTGTTGTTGCTGTTCGAGCCAGTTAAATACGTCAGGATATGAAAATATTCAGAAGCAGCAAATCACTTGAACTGAACCTCCTTCAACGATAACGCTTAGATTATTTTTGTATGATGTGAACAATCTAGCGGACGACTTGATGGTAAGCAATCAAGAAAGCCCATGAACACCCGCAACTACAGAAGACGCACGAGTTTGGTGTCGGGGATTTAATAAATTATTGGACGTTGGACTTGGACTTCAAATAATTTGCAGGATCCCCTTGTTGACTCTGAATTGAATGAATGCTTGATCTTCAACAAGTGTAGTCAGTAAAGTCGAATTTTATACAATAAAAAACAAAAGCAATAAAATAAAAAATCAAACAAAACATATTTTTAAGTAAGTAGATATTAATTTTATTTTAAAAACATACTTATTAACATTTCTGTGCAAGAAACAAAAACATATTACACATGTCATTTCGTAAGGCGCCTGAAGCAAATCGGTATGTTTTATAGTTAGCAATTAAAACAAATATTATAAATGCGAAAGTAACTCTGTCTGTCTCTTTTCTTCACGCCTAAACTACAGAACCTTTTTGTATGAAATTTGGTACAGACAGTTTGGAACTCGAGAAAGGACATAGGATAGTTTTTATACCAAAAATCTGCAGGCAGTCACATTTCCACGCGAACAAATTCGCAGGCAAAAGCTAGTGTATTTTAATATGAAACTGGTGCGTGCTGGGGTATCGCAACCGGAGAATATATTTCCAATTTCCAATTCAGAAGTACCTATCCATGTTTTTCTTATATTCTGAGGCGATAAACGAGATGACAGATTACTACTATATAACAATAACCAATGTCTATGGACAATTGAAACTCCAAAGAGGTTACGAGTGAGTTGCCGGCCTTTTAGGGATAAACGTTTCGGATATTAAGAAGAAATGGGTGGAGGGGCAAGGATTGGTCCTTCGGTAACCTCATTAACACGGTGAAACACAACACTGTGGTTGTTACACGCCACACATTCATTTCAATATCTCCGAGACTCGACAACGAACTCGAAGTTACGAGTGTTTTGGAAATTAAGGTTTCGGACATTTTGGGAATAAGGGAGGGGAAGGATTAGGCTTCGGTTGTTAGATTATCTAAGGACTAGCTACTCTTGCGCGCTGCTCGGCTCCATTCAATCGTAGCGTGATGTTTTATAGCCTATAGCACTCAGGAACATTGTAGCTATCAATCAGTGAAAGAATTTTGGCAATCCGACCAGCGGTTCCAAAGATTACCCCCTACATACAAACTAACAAATTTTACCTCTCTATAATATTAGTATAGATCTATTAAGTATCTAAGTATATATACATAGAAACGTTTTGCAAATCGTAGCACTCGTATATATTTATAGTATTTCATTGCTTATTAAAGGAATGTTTCTATCCAGCTCATGTAGGATGATATCCGGGTATATCCTGACGGGTTCCCCGACTGGCAGCCTTTGACATGACTGAAGGACACCAGCCCGATCTGCAAAAATAAGCGCATTACTACATAGTATAAAACAAAGTCGCTTTCTCTGTCCCTATATCCCTATGTACGCTTACATCTTTAAAACTACGCAACGGATTATGATGCGGTTTTTTTATAGACAGAGTGATTGAAGAGGAAGGTTTATTTTTTGATAAACCATTACATTAAATTTTGAATCAGTATTGCATCCGTGTGAAGCTGGTTCAGGTCGCTAGTAATAGTTATAAACTTGAAAATGTGTAAGTACGGATGTATGTTTGTTACTCTCTCACGTAAACACTACTGAACGGATCTGAATGTAATTTGGCACACAGATAGATTGTAGTCTGGAATAATACCTGGGATACTTTTTACCCTGGAACTACGGTGAATGTCGCTGGCAGAAGCTACGAAGACATAAAAAATGCCACCGACTTTTGATTCAAAAAACTACTGAAGGAATTGGGCCATGACTCCACTTAAAACATTATCACTTATCAAAATGACACATCTTCAGCCTATAAGTGTCCACTGCTGAGCAAAGGTCTCTTCTCACACGGAGAAGGATTGAGCATTAATCACAACGCTTGCTCAAGGCAGATTGTCGATATCAAACTAATAATTAGAAATTATAAGTTCAGATTTCCTTCACCGTATGTCAGTGGTGTCTAAATAATCATAGAAAGTACATATAACTCAAGAAAAGTCGCATTGGTACGAACAAAAAATACAAACCAATAAATCCGAGCTCCCTGAGTAGTAGCGGAGAATAAGGGGGGCGCCACCGTCGCCGCCGCAAGGCCCGCGCCCGCCCGTACCATTGGTACAAAGTTGTGCGTCACTCAACAAGTACCAGAAATATTCGTTGCACTTCGAGTTGCTAATTACTGGAACGTAGACGTCGCGTAGAGCTTGGTTATTCACTATCGGGTTGTCTGAGGAGAAACAAAACGCATTTATACCTAAACTTTTTATTGTTTTTAGTTGGAAAAATCATCTTAAGGCTTCTCCCGCTTGGATGAGGTGAGTGTCAGACTCTTACTGACTAAAAACCTCCTGCTCTAGGCCGAAGCCGCGGTGCCTTACTGCTTTTGTCCCGCAACCCCGGTAGAACATCGACCTTATTGGGCCTTAACTGTTTCGGTGTAATGGCTCTTTGAGGCGCGCGCGGAACACTATGCGCCATTTGCTCGGGTCAATTTCTGTCCGGGCGTTTCTCGCGCTTAAAGTGGGCGGAGATTGTAACTCGATCCCCGACGCCCGCAGTGTTACCTACTGCGATGACTGGGGCGTGTGGACTATCGTTCCCTGACGCACTGCGCCTCGTCCTTTACGAGCATGATTACTTCGAAGAAAGATGCAGCTTTTCAGTTCCTCTCGCTCCGAACCATGGCCTCAAACGGGACGTGAGAGTTCTCAAAAAAGTATCCCTAACCTATAAGCTCTTAACTAATATTGCATACGTATAGTAAGAAACGAGTAAATAATATTACGAAATGATGATGATGTAATTTCGGTTTTAGCTCGCATCACTTACATTCCCCGGTTTTCCCGAAGCCGATGACTTCAGATTTCCTGCCCACAAACGTATCATTCATTCCAGTTGGAAGCGGCACGGTGTTGATGTAGTCTGAAACATTTAGCACATGTTTAGGAGTGGGAGAGCCATGCTTCGGCACGAATGGGTCGGCTCAACCGATACTACGGCCTTACAGAAAATGGACGGGAAACAACCACAGCGTTTTTCGCCGTGCAAGTGATTTAACCGAAGTCCCAATACTTCGCCTCCCTCAATCACTAAATCTCCAAATCCGTTGTGTTTCGACGTGTGAGTGAGGTTAGCGGAGGCCCAATCCTTCTCCTACCTAATATCTCTCTATTCCCAAAATCACCAAATAAGGTCGGCAACGCACTCGTAACTCCTCCGTCGTTGCGGGTGTTCATGGGCGGCGCTGATTGCTTGCCATCAGGTAATCCGTTTTGCTCGTTTGCCGACCTATCACATAAAACAATCCTTAATCCCCAAAAGGTTGGCGATTCACACGTAAACTCGTAAACTCTTTTCTTGCGAATGTCCATGGGCGGCGCTAATTGCTTACCATCAGGTAATCCGTTTTGCTCGTTTGCCGATCTATCACATAAAAAAATCCTTAATCTCCAAAAGGTTGACAATGCATTCGTAAACTAGTAAACTCTTTTCTTGCGAATGTCCATGGGCGGCGCTGATTGCTTACTATCAGGTAATCCGTTTTGCTCGTTTGCCGATCTATCACATAAAAAAATCCTTAATCCCCAAAAGGTTGACAATGCATTCGTAAACTCGTAAACTCTGTTCTTGTGAATGTCCATGGACGGTAGATTGCTTACTATCAGAAAAGAAAAAAAACGAATGAATCTAAATAGATTATATAATATGATTCAAAATCTCTAAATTTCTATCAATTAGCCATAACGCTAATAGCTAAATAGCTACACTAAAAGAACTGACCGAAAGACTGACAATTTCCATCTTTAAAATTTTGTTTGACGTTCAAAAGTGCCTGTATGGGTGTAATATCTTTTCATATATACGTTGCCCTACGCTAGGATTTTCTCCTGTGTCGTGAGTGCGGTTACAAACATACAATTTCACATGCACATTACACCCAGACCCGGAACAACAATTTGTGATTCACACAAAGAGTTGTTCCGTGCGGGAATCGAACCCGCGACACGTTGCACAGCAGCCAGTTGCCCGGCCACCGCACCAACCGTGCATTGAATTAAATGATTTTCGACTTTTAAAAGAATAAATAAAGAAGAAAGTCCTCACAAGAGAAGCTGACATAGGATGTTGTTAAGACGGCGATGTCATGTTGGAGTCTCTGGAAGCCAGCGGCAGTAGGATTGTATTGCGGGTGTAGAGTGTAGCTAGCTGACTGCCGTTTGCCGCCAGTGAACAGAGTGATGGAGCCCAACACCACCTGCCAATAATATGTTAATTACAGCAAATAAGCAAATATATCACCTATAATTTTCTTGACGAGTGAAAGTGCTATTTGTAATTTTTTATTATAGTAAGGACAACAACGGAGGACTTACGAGTGCGTTGCCGACTGCCGACCTTTTAGGGATTAGTGATTTGGAGATTTAGGGATTGGGGGAGGCGAAGTATTGGGCCTCCGGTAACCTTACTCACACAGCGAAACACAACGTTGATTGTTATGCGCCGGTTTTCTGTGAAGCCGTGGTAACACTCCGGTCGTAACCGACCCCGTATAGAAACATGGTTTTCCCACTTAAGCATTCTAGTCGGGGCCCTAAAGGGCTGACGTTCAGCCGGAGTTGCGGGGTAAGCGCAATGAGTCACCGCGCCCTCGGCCCAGAGCAGGAGAAGGAACAGGGGGTTTTTAGTCAGTAAGAGTCTGACACTCCCTCCCGCCGAGCCTTGGGCGGGAGAAATCATTTGATGATTTTCCCCTCACAAAAAAAAAGCATTCTGGTCAGTGGAAGATCTGAATATCTAATTGCACCTAAGCAAGCTAAACAAATTGAAATCAATTTATGCTGGTAAACTCACAGTGATCTCTTGAGCCTTCAGTGCCCCATCCCAGGCACACTGGGCCGCAGTCAGTACTCGTGTGTGACTGATCAGTGCACCACTGCATACTGACGTGTATCCAGACGTTAATGTGATCACCAAGCCTGCCTGTAACACACACGAATTTATGCCTTACTAGCGGCCCGCCCCCGCTTCGCACGGGTCCAACTATCTCGCTATCACAGGGTCGTTTTTTCCTAATCTTCCCCTCTACTTTTCTAATAATTTCTTTGATAAGAACCTTCTCCTGACGATAAGAAACATAACAAAAAAAGAATTAGAAAAGTTGGTCCAGGCGTTGTTGAGTTATGCGCTTACCAACACATTTTGCGATCCATTTTTATATGTAAAGATTACACCCCTTTCGGCTTTGCACGCGTATAAAAGTAATGTTTCAAAACAACAGCGTTTGGACCGAAAGCTCGGCTAAAATCAAGTATCATTTATAGCCTATGGCACATAGGAAGTTTAAAGCTATCTTTCAGTGCAAGGATTTTGGAAATTCGACCAGCCGGCCAAAGATTACTCTCTTCATACAAACTTACAAATTTTACCCCTTTATAATAGCAAAAGAGAAGAATCGTTTTATTTGTGAAACACAGGTATAGACTATTAAAGATCTTAGGTTTATTGTATAACCAGAAGCCTATATTTTGTCATTAAGACATACAAATCTATACCTATATTGTTATTATAGAAATGAGAACTACTATAGTCAAAATACAATATATATTTTTCGCTAAGCTACATTTATTTTCTCTTTTTTTGGGTGTCCCAGGAGCCTTAATAGACAAGTACCTACATGCTTAACTACTGGTTATCCGATGTAGGAGTTATCTGATTAACAGTCTAGCCGTGGACGATCTAAATGTTGGTCACTATTTATAATAATTCGTTGAGATCACTCTTGGGATTGCTTCGTAGCGCATCTGGAATGTTTGCGGTAGCCAGTCTAGATGACTTCTATGCCATTACACGCAAGCGATGTGCATCCATGATGCGGCGATTGAGGGACAGTCCTAACAGTATACTAGCTATAATGGCAGATATAATTGATGGACCGTTTATTAGACACAGGGCAAGTAGACGTGTGCGTCCTGATGTCTTTATTAATAATTGATGAATATTAATAATTACTGTTTTCTCCTAACATTATATAGGATAAGAAATAACATGAGATAAAGAATTTAATTTATAGATATAAACAGAACTTACTAGAAATGGATGCTCCCCAAGATAAGACGGGAGTCCGCCGGCAACTCGCATGGACTCCCGCAGACGGATCTCAGCAGCCGCTGGGATCCCCACACTCCTGTGGTAGCCCAGCGCATTTACGCCAACACACAAAATACACAACCCTATTAGCACCTTCATTTTCAAGAATGACGAGAAATGATTCCACACTTCTTTTATATCAAGTATCACTTATCTGCACATTAATATAAAACAAACGTCCTTAACGTGTCAGTCTGTTCGTAACTCGGTAATATGGTTGAATGGCGTGGAGTTGCTTGCTCGTTCTTCTCCGTTATGTAATTTCTTTCTCGTTCTTCTTTGTTATGATGTTTCCTTCTCGTTCTTCTCCATTATGTAGTTTCTATCTCGTTCTTCTGCGTTATGTAGTTTTTTGGTCGTTTGTATAATAACTATCGTGAGACATACTAAAGCAACTAAGTCAAAGTCAAAGTCAAAATCATTTATTCCAATTAAACCATCAATAGGTACTTTTGAAACGTCAAAATAGAAAAGTAGTCTGTCAGTCTGTTCGTCAGTGAAGCTAGGTGCTCATTCCAAATTGTAGATTCGAATGGAGAAGAACGAGCAAGAAACTCCATTCGTTACTCTTTTTTTTTTTAAATTGTTTTTCAATTTCTATAATATAACATTTATACTATACATTAGTGTACCCTTATGTGAGAACAATGCAGAGACAAGTTGTTAAAAAAAAGAACAAATGAGGGGACCTATCATAAAATTTTACTCCTTTGTCGTCTCGAACATGGCGCTCACATATGCGTACTCACAATATTTAAGAGTGCTTCTATATAAACTTTTTGGATATATAAATTAAGGATGCATTATTTTTGAGAATTTTACCTAACTGCTGACTATATTTGAGTATTGTCCAGTGGAGCCGAATCAACACGCTGCCAGGCATTCTTATCCTCAATATAATCTGAAAGTTTGTAGTATGCCTGTCTACACAATTCACGTTTAATATAAGTTTTAAATTTTCGTTCGTTAAGATTCAATACAGTACTTGGAATTTTATTGTAACAATTTACACAGAACCCCATAAAGGATTTCTGTACCTTGGACAGACGGAATCGTGGCACAGCCAGCCTATCTTTGCCTCTTGTATTAAAATTATGTCTATCGCTTCTTTTTTCAAATAATTGCAAATTTTTCCTTACATACATAATATTTTCATATATAAACTGACAAGGCACCGTCAGGATATTTATCGTTTTAAATAGTTCTCTCAGAGATTCGCGACGGGGCAAGTTATATATCGCTCGGATAGCCCGCTTTTGTAGAATAAATATTGATTCTACTTCCGCAGCTCGACCCCACAGCAAAATTCCGTATGACATAATGCTGTGAAAATAGCTAAAATAGACAAGCCTTGCTGTGTTCACGTCTGTGAGCTGTCTTATCTGTCTAACTGCAAAAACAGCAGAGCTTAGTCTCCCCGAAAGCGTCTTTATGTGGGAACCCCATTGAAGTCTATTGTCTAGTGTGATACCTAGAAACACTGTCTCGTTGACAAATTCTAACTTTTGCCCATTTAAAATTATGCTACAATCATTACTGTGTACGTTGGGCAAGCTAAATTTAATACATTTTGTTTTTTTCTCGTTAAGTGCTAAATTATTGACTGTAAACCAATTATGAACTTGATGAATGGAGCTGTTTACTTCGTCAAAATTATTAGAACGTCGACCTATTTTAAAAATTAATGATGTATCATCAGCAAACAGCACCATACTTGGCTCGGTTTTAAATAGAAATGGCAAGTCATTAACATACACTAAAAAGAGAAACGGACCCAATATTGAACCCTGTGGAACGCCCATTCTTATCTCAGAGCCCTGTGAGTTATAACCACCTACATGAACTCTCAGCTGCCTATCCTCTAAATATGATTTTAGTAGACGGAGTGCAGTATGTCTAATCCCGTAATGATCTAATTTCAGCAAGAGTGTTTCATGATCAACGCAATCGAACGCTTTTGAGAGGTCGCAAAAGACACCAACAGCATCCTGTGCTTCCTCCCAAGCACCGAGTACTTCCTTTATCAACGTGACACCGGCGTCAGTTGTACAACGACCTTTAGTGAAACCGTATTGTTGGTGATGGAAGATGGCATGTTTATCAAAGTGATGAAGCATCCGAGATAGCATTAACTTTTCGAACACTTTGCTAAGAACCGGCAGAACAGACACAGGCCTATAGTTGTTTGGTTCCTTAGTGTCACCATTTTTGAATAATGGAATAACTTTACTGTATTTCATTAGGTTTGGGAAGACAGCGTCATCTATACTTTTATTGAAAATCAAAACCAGATACGGCGCTAAAGTTCGGATAAGTGATCCGCAGACTTTCACGGATAGTCCCCAAAGGTCCTCAGTTGATTTGACCTTGATTTCTTTAAAAACCTTTATTATCTCTAAAGGACTAGTATAATGAAAACTAAAGTCGCATTCGCATGATTTAACATTTTCTCTAAGCAAAGTTGCCGATAGTCTGGCCGATGATTTTAAATGAGCCGTTGTTTTGACAGGTATATTAGCAAAAAAAGTCTCAAACTCCTGAGCTACATCTGTGCTTGACGAAATCTGTCCCCTCTCTGTGTTTAAACAAAAAGCCGAATGTTTTAATTTATTCCTACCTGTCTCATTCTGTATTATTTTCCACGTAGCCTTTATCTTATCTTCAGCTGATTTTATTTTATTACTGATGAAAAGACGCTTTGCGGTTTTGCATACTATTTTAAATGTCTTTGAGTACAATTTTACATGTTGATGAAAAAGAGGGTCGCAATTGTATGGTTTCATGCCATAAAGTTCAAAAAGTTTATCTCTACTCTTACGAATACCTGCGGTAGCCCAATCGCTAAACTGAAACTTAGCATAGACGTCTTTATATTTCATTGGCAAAATATCTTGAAATTCCCTATTTAACACCGTAAAAAATTTTTCGTATAACCTGCTTGGATTACTTACATCAAAATTTTCTATACTTAATTTAGATGCTAATGAATCATTAAGTTTCTCTAAATTTTTATTTGTTATATGTCTAAACTTTATTTGAATTTTTTGAAGAGGCAAATAAGAGCTGTAAGTAACCACAAGACCACTGTGGTCAGAAGGTAAACTGTTTATAACTTTTTTTTCTAAATAGTTGCAGTTACTAAAAATGTTATCAATACATGTGGCTGTGGAGGGTGTTATCCTAGTCGGTTCTAGAAAAACATTTTTTAAATTAAATGATTCAAACAAATTTAATAGCTCCATGCCACTTGTATTGTTCTCCAATAAATTAATATTAAAATCGCCACATACAAGTACTGATTTATGGCTAGAACATACTTTTCTCAAAACATCTTCCATTACAGAATCAAACACTGCAAGATTCTGATAATTAGGTGGTCTATATACACAAACAACAACATGTCTATCCAGCTCAACACAGGACAACTCAATAGTGTGTTCAACTGACAGTGCTACAATATCTTTCCTTTCTTTGGACTTAATGCCATTTTTAACTAAAATTAAGGACCCGCCGTGTAACATATTCTTTCTACTAAAATTACTTATTACAGTATAATTTTCAAAATTGAAAGATATTAATTGGTCCTCTTTCAACCAATGTTCTGCTAAACAAACTATATCAAATTGTGTTTTCTCAAGAAACATTTCTATTTCAAATATTTTAGAGGAGCAGCCCTGAATATTAATATAAAATAAGATTAAATTGTGCTGCCCCTGAGCCTGTGTAACAACATTAGATATGAGTTTTTTTTTGCCAGAATATACCTTACTCCTAACATTATATATGATGGTATGTTCTGTTGTCTTAAAATCTAGTTTAAATCTATCACTGTGTTGTTAGGTAGCCTAGACAGCACAGCTTCGTCCCTAAAACTAATATCTGTTATATTTTTTATAACAGAGTTAATATTGAATGCTATTAGCATAGCAAGTGTACTACGATATGTTTTTGAGAGGGATATGCCTCTCTCTGTCAATCTAAAATCACTAATAAATTTATTAGTGTCAAAAAATATAAGTTTATCACTATGACAACATGTCAATTGGTGCAGTGTACTGTTAAGTACACCTAAATGTCTATTTTTGGAGTCTGTTAAGGTACTTGAATAGGGAAATGCACAAAGTATTATTTTTCCCAATTTTAATTTTAATAAAGTGTCCACACCGTTTAAAATGTCCCTTTTTTTTACATCCAAACTGTTACCTACTATTAAAACTAATATTGATTTTTCATTATATTCAGTCTGAGTTATTTTTTCAATAATCTTATTGTAACTCAGACTATGATAACTATTGTTAATGTAATTATGGTCTAAGTGACCATATATCATGTTACCTAAACCAGATGTAAGCTGGTCCCCATATATTAATGCTTTATATTTTAAATTACTGCTATTACTACTACCAACAATTCTCTGTGGGTGTGCTACTATTGAGGAGGATTCAAAAGAAGGCCCAGGAGACTGAGGTTGGTTCATACAACTGCAGACAATATTATTTGTTAACGACTCATATCTCTCAGCGTTGTATTTCACCATGTCCATCAGCTCCCCAGCCTCAAGCAGGCGTTTGCTTAATTGCTGCTGGGATTCCTCATACCTCTCGAAAATATCCCTCAACATACCCTCTTTTATTGTTAAGTCACCCTGAAGGCTTCTTATATTATTATTATATATTTCCCTATTGCTATCCATTTGGGTAGTGCAAGATTGGAGATCTTTAACTAAATTAATTCTTTCTTTTCTAAGTCTTAGATTCACTTTTATTAAATTGTGTTGTTTAAGTGATCTATGTGTTTTCCTTAAAAATTTATTAATTTTTATATATTTTTTAAGTTTATTGTGAGATTGAAAGGGACATCTATGCACGGTGTCATCACCAGTCAGGTCTATTGTAATTGGCTGGTTCCTCACACTGTAACCTACAGCCTACAAGTTCCTCAAATAATGTGTGATTGTTTTGTTCAACATAATTTGTACACATACATTTCTGCGAAGAAGAAACTAAATTATGGGCATCACACAGTTCAGACTCTAATGCAGATATTCGTTTTAGCGCAGCTTCATGTGTGTCTCTGCACTCTTGAAATGTGGAGATGGTGTACTGCATCTGGTTGTGTTGATCTAATACATCCATATACTGGATGTGCAGTTCAGCAAGCTCATTCTTGAGGGATGTGTTTTTGTCAACTATAACTTTGACTTCAACCTCACTGTCATCCCGTTCTTGGAGCAATTGGCTGCACAGCTGTTTTGTTTTGTCCAGCTCTTTAAGTGTAGCCCGCAGTTTCTCTTCCAGGTCCTTTATGGTGGTAGCCCTCCGAGTCATCATTGTCTTAGTCTTATGTCCTTTATTTACTGAAAGGGTAAAAAGTTAGGTGTTAGCAATAATTGAAAATAGTTCTTGTATGTGAATAGTGGAGGTAGACCGAAAAAAAAAGGAGAAAAAAATAATAATAAAACAAAGTATTTAATATTAAAATTACAAAGAAAAGTTAGTTGAATTGGAAATGGAGATGGATTATAATATTATTACGACAGATTTGACTGTAATATAGCTAGTAATAGATTAAAATAACAGGTAGGGACAAAGTTTAAAATTAGTAGAAAAACGTAAATTAAAGGTTAGTACAGTAGTGGCCTAACATGTAATTGTGGAGTCAGTTATGTAGTTTTTATTGTCTGGGCTAATGTTTTCGTCGTCGATTCTGCTTCCACTTATCGTCAAGCAAAAGGAGACATAAACTGTGCCGGTGTGTACGGGACGTTACTCAAAGACTTGAGTAGAGTAAACTTGTCAGTGTTGTTTAAAATTCAATTATATAGCGACACAATATTATTAACTACTTAATTCTAACACAATAAAAATGAAGATAAAAACAAATACTCCCCCGGTTTTATGATTTTGAATCCACCGTTCGTCGTAGTTCCTTTGTTTGACAGGTTGCCGGTAAATAGGTATCACAATGTATATGTGTAATTACGCAGTAAAAACACTTCACATACACTCAACACAATACTTATTACTATATTTATTGAATTTACAATAAATTAGGCTAATTTGATTACTTAAATTATTTAATTATATTAAAAATGTTAGGAGGCCGTTTTTATTACGACCGGCTCGCAGTGTAGCCAGAGCAAAAAAACTAAAAATTAACTAAAAATCGCAGGTTACTTACGTGTGTAATTGAGAAAAGCGCTACTAGTTTCGAACCACAGAGGGGTTCTTCCTCATGAGCAGCGTGCGCGGACGCGGCGACGTCGCGCGCAATTTTAAGTTATTTCTTGCTCGTTCTTCTCCGTTATGTAATTTCTTGCTCGTTATTCTCCGTTATGTAGTTGCTTGCTCGTTCTTCTCCGTTATGTAATTTCTTGCTCGTTATTCTCCGTTATGTAGATGCTTGCTCGTTCTTCTCCGTTATGTAATTTCTTGCTCGTTATTCTCCGTTATGTAGATGCTTGCTCGTTCTTCTCCGTTATGTAATTTCTTGCTCGTTATTCTCCGTTATGTAGATGCTTGCTCGTTCTTCTCCGTTATGTAATTTCTTGCTCGTTATTCTTCGTTATGTAGATGCTTGCTCGTTCTTCTCCGTTATGTAATTTCTTGCTCGTTATTCCCCATTATGGAGTTTCTATCTCGTTCTTCTTCGTTATGTAGTTTCTTGCTCGTATGTATAATAACTATCGTGAGACATACTAAATTAACTAAAAATCGCGGGTTACTCACGTGTGTAATTTAGAAAAGCTCTACTAGTTTCGAACCACAGAGGGGTTCTTCCTCATGAGCCGCGTGCGCAGACGCGGCGACGTCGCGCGCTATTTTTAGTTAATTCTTGCTCGTTCTTCTTCGTTATGTAGTTTCTTGCTCGTTCTTCTCCTTTATGTAGTTTCTTGCTCGTTCTTCTCCGTTCATATTTGTATTCATATTTATTTGCATTCCACAATGTATAAGAGGTGTTACAGAATGGCTTAGAGCTAAGTACAATCATCAATATATTCATCAATTGAGTAGTAGGCTTTGTTGATGAGGATATTCTTGAGTGCGCGTATGAAGTTATTTTCACTAGTTTCATTTTTTAAAGAATCTGGTAATTTGTTAAATAATTTAATGGACATTACATAAGGGCTTTTGCTGTGAAGTGTCATTTTATGTAGTTTCTTGCTCGTTCTTTTCCATTATAGAGTTTCTTGCTCGTTCTTTTCCGTTATGTAGTTTCTTGCTCGTTCTTCTACATTATGTAGTTCCTTCCTCGTTCTTCTCCACTATGGAGTTTTTGCTCGTTCTTCTCCATAATGGAGTTCCTTGCTCGTTTTTCTCCGACATAGAGTTTCTTGCTCGTTCTTCTCCATTTGAATCTAAACTTTGGAACGAGCACCTAGCTTCACTGATGAACTGAATGTTATATTATTTTGATATTTCAAAAGTAACTTATTATTTTTCAAGAACCTAGTTGAAATATTGAGTTACGCAAGCGAAACTCTGGACAGGAAGCTAGTTAGATAAGTTTGAAATTGCTAGGTAGTCAATGTAGGTAGGTATATAGTTTAGAACGGGACTTTACATTTTGTGAAGTGGTTCGTAGAATAGAAAATGTTTTGGCCTCATTTCGTTTATAATAGAACAAGTCAACGTCTAAGATGTACTCAGTTCTCTTTGTTTTTTTAGGTGTGGCCATTTTATGGATTTCATGTGTTTGTATGTATGTACTTTTCTGTTTTGTTTTTATTTTCACGGGCTTGAGCGCTGAAACTGTTTGCAAACATGTCACATATGTAAGTAGGTTCATATTTATCATCAGTGTAAGCACTTCAAGATAAGTGTTATTGCGTGTTCAAAGATATATTACTAATAATATAAGCCACGTGAAAAAACTATAAAGTTTTGTCTAACAGAAGCGAGTTATAACTGAGTTATATATTTGCTTATGCAGTTTTTTCAATGGGTTAAGTGACTATGTGAAGACTACATATTATTATTTTCGAAATTGTTAAAATATTACAACAATAAATATATTACAACAGTATAGAACATGTTACTCATTTTATTATTTTTATATCTTACACTAAAACGTTACTAAAAAAACACAATATTAAGTGAAACCAATAACTAAACGCTACAAATCTGTCAAATTCAATCTGTCAGAATGAAATTGACAGAGGTTTCATAATAAGAACATAACCTCAAAAGTAAAAATACAAAACAAAAAATGCGATTAATTAATTTATTTAAGAATTTAACATTAAGTTCACAAGTGCAGGTAGTGCGTTATAGTTCGGAGTATGTGCCGAAAGCACTTCGTAGTTTGAAAGCCAAGTCTACGCGGAATACTGTTCAGTTTTATGTTGATTCGTTCCGAGTCCGAGCCGTTGGCGGATCTGGTGGCGATGGATGTATATCTTTCCTCAGTGCGTGGTGTAAGGACCATGCGGGACCTGATGGCGGAGACGGCGGAAACGGTGGACATGTTATTTTCCAGGTAACTGCACGCTTAAAGATACTCACTGACAGTAATAACTTGTATTTTGTTTATTTATTTATACATTTGTAAGAGAAAAACATGTTACACAATATAGAAGAATGTTGTGACTTATTAAGAGCTATACAAACGTGGTTGCTTCCCCATGTGTACCTATCCAAATTTATAATATTTTCAACTTCGAGAGTTGCCAATTACTCGATTCAAAAGGGCATTATGTGGATGGCTAATTGAGAATCCTTTCTACTCTATAAATGATTTTTTTCAATATAAGTTTCCAAAATAATGTATTAATGAATAAGATATAAAAACTTGTTATCAAACATTTGCATGCCATTAGCTTATGACTGAATACTGAACTTATTGATATATTGTAACACCTTTTATGTAACTGTATTCAAGAGCAAATAAATCCTTTGACTTTGATTACTATAGACAGTCTTATGACACAAAGTGGTTTCTTCAAGACAATCTGTGGATGGAAATTTATAAATCACAATAAAATAATTATTGTTTGTCCTAAACTATACAACTTTATAGACAGATTCTTACATATACTTATGCTCTTGTGCCTACCTATTCATTCTTATTATTAGAAAACAAATGATGGTGTCTTATTGCAGTTGTTTGAATTGTTTTTATTCTGACACAGTATTATTGAATTGTAGGTACTCCTATGCTCTGCTGTGAGGTGACTGTATAGTCAAAAATCTATCACTACTATCTTGTTTTTAAGTGGGTATCATTAGAACTTACTTTTTTTTTTGTGAGGGGTAAATCATCAAATGACTTCTCCCGCCCAGGGCCGGGCAGGAGGGAGTGTCAGACTCTTACTGACTAAAAACCCCCCTGTTCCTTCTCCTGCTCTGTGCCGAGGTTGTGGTGCCTCATTGCGCTTACCCCGCAACCCCGGCTGATTAGGAACTGTATATGAGCGCATGCCACACGCTTGACCCTATAATACAGTTCTGGATTTTTTATTTGATGATTTTTCCCTCATCAGAGAAGTGGTTATCTCTTTTTATATATACATAGCGTCATGTCCACAATGACACAATGAATTTATTTTTGATATTGAAAAAAACGGCACTTCCACGTCAAAAAAATCTAGATGGAGCCGGCACTTCCTATCTGACTAGGTACTGTGGTCTACTACAATGGTCAACTAGGAGAGAGTGGTTAATCAAAGACTGATTTACATACAAAGCATTTATAATATAATTATTAATAGTATTTGCTGCTCACTCAAAAAACTTTTACAATTTCTAACCTAATTAAACGCTGGAGAATCTTAACATCGCCATTCAGAAATCGGCCGCTAAACTAACAACGCCATCTGTATGTGAACATGTAAACAAATTTTGTAATGAAGGAATATTTACGTGAACAAATGCCGAAATTTTAAAGTCGAGACAATGTAAAAATAGAAAAAAAAGTAATTTTTAAGTGTGGGAGAGCCATGCTTCGGCACGAATGGATCGGGTCGACCGGAGTGATACTACGGCCTCACAGAAAACGCCGTGTAACAACCACAGCGTTGTGTTTCATCGTGTGAATGAGGTTATCGGAGGCCTAATTCCTACCCCAATCCCTAAGTCTCAAAATCCCTAATCCCTCCTCTGTTGCGGACGGCACTGATGGCTTACCGTCAGGTAATCCGTCAGCTCGTTTGCCGACCTATTACATAAAAAAATATTTTTTCGGCTTACTCGCGTAATAATTTGTCACGTTACGTGTCGCGGATTGCTGCTAGCATAATATATGGGCCTCTAGCATGGCTTGAAACTAGTCGAGTATCTCATCAAATTATTACGTGAGTAATCCGAGAACGTAATAATTAATTTAGAATGTCTCACGAAAGTTATTATAAAAAAAAGTTTTTTTTTTTTAATGTTGCCCCACTTTAGTATTTTCTCCTGTGTCGTGGGTGCTGTTACAAACATACAAATTCACAAACACATCACACCCAGATCTGGAACAACAATTTGTGGATCACACAAAGAGTTGTTCCGTGCGGGTATAGGACTCGCGACACGTTGCACGGCAGCCAGTTCCCAGCCACCGCACCAACCGTGCAGTGTTCTTTTACTTCTGACACCATGTAATATGATTAAAAGACTTGGATCTTGGTTACTTGACTTTTATTGCACAGTACACAGTCGGGCAGCTCACTGCACCAGAGTTACATTGTCAATGGCCGACACTCTCTCGGCCACCCTCTTTATAGTGATATGACGACATTGACAGTTCTAGTGCGACATTGATTAGTAATACTAATCACAGACAATACAACAATGACCTGTATTTGTGTTGCAGGCAACGTATGCAGCTAAGAGTCTCAACCACTGCAAGTCTGTAGTACAAGCGCGGCCCGGAGAGCGAGGATTTAATAAGGAGTGCAACGGGAAGAATGCACAGCATGTCATCGTGCCAGTACCTATTGGTGAGCAGATCAACATCAGCCCATAAGTGCCCACTACTGAGTAAAGGCCTCTTCTCATACGGAGGAAGTTTGAGCCTTTAACTGCACGGTTGGTGCGGAAAAAGTCACATTGGTATAATGTGACTTTTTCCAAGTTATATGTACTCTCTATGGTTATTTAGACACCACTGACATACGGTGAAGGTAAACATCGTGTGGAAACCTGGACTTATAATTTCTAATTATAAGTTTAAAATCGTCAATCCGCATTGAGCAAGCGTGGTGCTTAATGCTCGAACCTTCTCCGTGTGAGAAGAGGCCTTTGCTCAGCAGTGGGCACTTATAGGCTGATGATGATGATGACGATATGAATAAATAAGCTATTTGATGCAAAAATGTTATGACGTCATAGCTCAGTTTTTCATACAAATTTCATAGAAAAGTATCGTTTTTGGCATTTGGATAAAAGTATTGAGTTTGACTAGTTGGAAACTACCGTATTGTACACATCTTGTTGTATTCGTTGTAATTTGAACCTTATTACCCTATGTATAGGTACAATAATCCGCGACGAGACTGGTCGCGTGGTGGGTGACTTGAGTTCCGAGGGTGTGATGTTCGTGGCAGCGAGGGGGGGCGCCGGGGGGAGGGGGAACAAATTCTTCCTCACCGATACTGAGCAGGTACTGTGTTGTATGTATGTATGTAGAGACGGTAGCACGTCAACCTATACTGTACTGGGTTACACTTAAGGTATTTTGGACTTTGGTATTACGAGTATCTATGGGCAGCGCTGATTGCTTACCTCCAGGTAATCTGTATGCTCGTTTGCGACTTATGACATAATTTATGCGATAGATCGAGAGAAAGAGAGAGAGTTTTAATTTTACACTCATTTAGTTGCGCGAGAAAAAATATTTTCTTGATTTTGTATGTAAGACAGAGCGAGACCCAAAGAGGTAGGTGTGGGGGGGGGGGGGGGTTGTAAGAGACAGGAGGGAGAGCGAGGTAGAGATAGGTGGGGGGGGGGGAGGGGGGCTGTGAGAGACGGGAGGGAGAGAGAGAGAGAGGGAGGGTTAAAGAGAGAGAGATTGAGAAAGGCGGAGGGTAGAGAGATAGAGAGAAGCACATACAGAAAGAGATGGGGCTACTGAGAGAGCGAAAGCGAATTTTTTTTAGCTCCCCTGTCGGTTGCCAACTTCGTTCAAGATTTTTCCGTAATCACATTTTTTTTTGCGTTTCTTAAATTTGTTGTGTGATTGTCCCCCCCTCAGGCGCCGAGCGTGGCGGAACTGGGGGCAGTGGGTGAGAGCAACGTGTACACGCTGGAGGTGCGGTCCATGGCACACGTGGGACTCATCGGGTATCCTAACGCTGGTAAGAGCTCCTAATATCATCATCGCTGATAATCTGACTCACACCAGATTAATGCACAACATAAACGGCTAAACGTAGGCACTTGAAGGAAGGGACTTAGCTTAGGTACCGTAGAGATCCACTAAGAAAGGAATTCCCGAAAATCCCACGGGAACGGGAATTAGCGTGAAAAATTCAAAGTCAAAATCATTTATTCCAACTAAACCATAAATAGGTACTTTTGAAACGTCAAAATAGAATAGTAGTCTGTCAGTCTGTTCGTCAGTGAAGCTAGGTGCTCGTTCCAAATTGTAGATTCGAATGGAGAAGAACGAGCAAGAAATTCTATCGTTACTCTTTTAAAAAATATATAACATTTAAAGTATACATTATTGTACCCTTATGTGAGAACAATGCAGAGACAAGTTGTAAAAAAAAAAATCCTTTTGTATGAAAAAGCGTTCTAAAAGTCGCTTGAGATTTGGCTTGCAGCTACCTTAGTAAATTTAAGACGAAAAGGCAGACTATTTATTTTATTTTAGTCAAAATCATTTATATGTATAGTCTACTAGCTACTCGCGCGTGGTTTCTCCTGCTGCTCGGCTCCATTTGATCGTAGCGTGATGTTTTATAGCCTATAGCACTCAGGAACATTGTAGCTATCTATCAGTGAAAGAATTTTGGCAATCCGACCAGCGGTTCCAAAGATTACCCCCTACATACAAACTTAGAAGTTTTACCTCTTTATAATATTAGTATAGATTATTTATATACGCGGCTTAATCCGCTTCTTATAAAGATCATAGCGTAATGTTTTATAGCACATACCCTTCCTCGATAAATGGATCCAACACAAAAAGAATTGTTGAACTCGAACCAGTAGTTCCTGAGATTAGCGCGTTCAAACAAGCAAACAAACTCATCAGCTTTATAATATTATATATATTATCGTATATAGTATAGATTTCATAAAGAAAATAACCCTTATTTGCCGTTCCAAAGTGTCTAATTGAAAATAAATGATTTTGATGGTGACAGGACTTGATAGTCACTATTAAAAAAAACAATGGATGTACAATAACCTTTCCCCCCCCCTTCTCCCCCCCCATCAGGTAAGAGCACACTGCTCCGCGCGCTGACGCGGGCGAGGCCGACTGTGGCGCCCTACCCATTCACCACTCTACGACCGCATATAGGTACGTATAAATATGTATATTTCAAATCATCATCATCATCATCAGCGTATAAGTGCCCACTGCTGAGCAAAGGCCTCTTCTTTTACGGAGAAGGTTTGAGCATTAATCACGATAAACACGTGACTTGGATTTTTTATATATAAAGAGATATGAAACAATGAATTTATTTTTGCAAATAGGCCATAAAACGGCACTTTTACACGTCAAATTATATGTGAAAAACTAGATGAAGCCGGTATGTATAGATAAGTCCAGGTTTCCTCACGATGTTTACCTTCACCGTATGTCAGTGGTGTCTAAATAATCATAGAAAGTACATATAGCTCAGAAAGTTACATTGATACTTGCCAGACTATAATCTATCTCTGTGCCAAATTACATTCAGATCCGTTCAGTAGTGTTTACGTGAGAGAGTAACAAACATACATCCGTACTTACACACTTTCGCGTTTATACTTTTTTTTTCTTTAGGTATGGTGCCATTTGATGATTACGAACAAGTTGCGATAGCTGACCTCCCAGGTTTGATTCCTGGCTCACACAAGAACTATGGATTAGGTATGTATACTGTTCTTTATAATCTTGTATGTCTCTGGACATTAAGATGAAACTGAAGTGAAAAAAACAATATGGCTGATATGGATCTTCTCAGTATAAGTGTGGGAGAGCCATGCTGCGGCACGAATGGGTCGGCTCGACCGGAGTGATACCACGGCCTCACTGAAAACCGGCGTGAAACAACCACAGCGTTGGGTTTCGCCGTGTGAGTGAGGTTATCGGAGGCCCAATCCGCCTCTTCACCCCAACCCTGCCCAATCCTTAAATATCCGCAACCCTTATTCCCAAAAGGTCGGCAACGCAATCGTAACTCCTTTAGTGTTCAGGGCAGACAACACATCATACAGATTACCTGATGGTAAGCAATCAGCGTCAACAATGTAGTAGTTCTTTAGATACGTTGATGACCTTTTGGGGATAACGCTTTCGGATGGGACCTCCGGTAACCTCGTGTCGTTTCACGCCGGTTTTTCTGTAAGGCCGTGGTATCACTCCAGTCGAGTCGACCCATTCGTGCCGAAGCATGGCTCTCCCTAGATGGTAGTAATAATCTTAATATTCGGTTCAATATTCTCCTAGGAATCCAGTTCTTACAACATGCGGAGCGATGTCGAGGCCTGATATACCTTCTGGATGGGGCTCAAGATCCTCAAGAACAGTATGAGGTGCTCCGCTACGAGCTCTCACAATACAGCGGAGCCCTAGCGCTCCGCCCCGCTACCCTGGTCATCAACAAGATCGACCTGCCCGAGGCGAGGAGAACTTATGAAATTGTCAAAGAGAAAATGGATGTGATTGGTGTTTCTGCGAAGACCGGGCTCAATTTGGACAGACTAATACAGATTGTGAGAAAAATGTATGATAATTCTACTAGTTAATATTAATAGTGGTTAATTAGCTTCCGCCCGCAGCTTCGCCGGCGTGGTATGTTGATGAAAAGTAGCCTATGTCCTATTCCGGAGTGTATGAGTGTATCTATTTGCCTGTGCCAAATTTCATCGAGATCCGTCTAGCGATTTTGGCGTTATTGAGTAATAAACATCCAAACATCCCAATCCCTATCCCCCCCCCCCCCTTTCTTTATCCCGTAAGTCATTCGGTTTTACAAGTGTCCATGGGCGGCGCTGATTGCTTCATCATCATCATCATCAGCCTATAAGTGCCCACTGCTGAGCAAAGGCCTCTTCTCATACGGAGAAGGTTAGAGCATTAATCACCACGCTTGCTCAATGCGGGTTGGTGATTTCAAACTTATAATTAGAAATTATAAGTCCAGGTTTCCTCACGATGTTTACCTTCACCGTATGCTGATTGCTTACCATCAGGTAATCCGACAGCTCGTTTGCCGACCAAATACCGCCTTATCCATCACTATCACTGCATAGTATAAAACAAAGTCGCTTTCTCTGTCCCTATATCCCTATGTACGCTTACATCTTTGTAACTACGCAACGGATTGTAATGCGGATTTTTCAATAGATAGAGTGATTGAAGAGGAAGGTTTATATGTATAATAACATCCATTAAATAGTGGAGACATTTAATATCAGCATTGCACTCGTGCAAATCCAAATTAATATTTAAAAAAAAATGTGAAAGTAACTTTGTCTGTCTGGCTTTTCTTCACGCCTAAACTACTGAACCGATTTCTGTGAAATTTGGTACAGACACAGTTTGGAACTCGAGAAAGGACATAGGATAGTTTTTATACCAAAAACCTTCAGGAAGTCACTATTCCACTCGAACGGAGTCGCGGGCAAAAGCTCGTGTAATATAATCAATATTTTTTCCACACAAAGTGTATCAAAAATGTTCTGTGAGATATAAAAATTATTATAATTAGGTTAAATTGCATTTGTAAATAGATTTTGTAAGTAAATAATAAAATAATGAGCAATACAAAATATTTACTTATTTCATACTAATGACATTTTTCAAGTAGGAATCGAAGAACAAAATAAAAAAGAAAAATTTGAAAAATAACGGACTCCAGCACGTCAACCTGCCACGATATGTCAATTCACTGTAATCAACTTTCACCTATAACTGTTAGGAATAAAATTGAAAATCCTTTGAAATTGTTGTATATTTTGATGTGCTATTTCGATATGTTTCATTTAAAATTGATTAAAAACCATGAGAGGCACGGAGGCTAGTGTTTCATTTGTATCCAAATCCCAGAGGTCAACGCGAGATTTGACGTAGAAAGCAAAATCAATGAGTTCACTCGACAAAACCGTTTTATTGAGACCTCCGGCTGTTAACATTTTGTTCACATCCAACGACCAGAAATGATGACCCTTGTACAAGTCCGCGAAGTTGACCGCCACGATTCCTGTTAGACTGGCTGCGTAGTTAATTTGGATTTTCATGACTCCTCGAGTTGCTATGAGTTCTGCGATCGCACTTTGGCCAGGTTGTAGGGAGATGTCGAGCCCGCTCTGAGACCCAACTGTCACAGTTTGAAACTTCAAGAACCGCTCCCCCCATTTTGAGTACAAGTAAAAGGTCGCCTTCCCCGACACCCCCATAGCTTTGATGTCAAAACCGTATTTGATATCCTGCGAGGCCGATATCTCGCTATATTTCTCCCAACTAGAAGCTATTGTGTTTTCGACGTTTTGCGACAGCTGCGCCTTAAACAAAGACGGCTTCAAACTCGTATTATTAAAAGACTGACTCAAAACGAGAAACGGTTTAAACTCGACGGACAAAATTTTCGCTCCGAGAGGTTTCAGGAGTCTGTTAACTTGTTTCCATTTGTAAGTAACATACAGATCGCCCCACGGAGTAGGACTTTTGAGGTATACGTCGTCCGGTTTATGTCCAAAATAGTTTTCGACAGATTTTTTCAAATTTTCTTCGGTTAATTGGAATGTTTGGACTTCTAAGTCGCTGATTATGGCTTCATTGGCCCCTGAAATTAGCAGGTTCTGTTGCGAAGCTTCGTCTGATGCTGTGATATCTACTTCGATGTTAGCAAGCGTTAGGACTGGGAGGAGAAGCAGCGCTACACCCCTCGCTGCAACCATACTGTCGCGGATAATTCTGAAGCAAATATTGGTACAGTTACACAGATTAGAATCAGATGTCTAAAATTATATTACAGAAAAATTATCCCGCTACAAAGAGGGTACAAATGAATTACAAGAACTCCTTATGTTACAAGTTTTTTTTCTTTTGTAATAGTACGGCAAACAAAAAGACGGATTAGCTCATGGAAACGTAGCTATTCCACACTTGCCCGTCTTAATGAATTGTTGTGAATAAAGTAAATTATGTGTGGGAGAGCCATGCTTCGGCACGAATGGGTTGGCTCGACCGGAGTGATACTACGGCCTCACAGAAAACCGGCGTGAAACAACCACAGCGTTGTTTCGCCGTGTAAGTGAGGTTACCGGAGGCCCAATCTTTCCCCGCCCCCAATCCCTCCTCAATCCCTAAATCTCCAAATCCCTAATGCAACGCACTCCTAACTCCTCCGTTGCGGGTCTTTAAATCCTATAATTGTTACAATATAAATTATTTGCGACGTTCATTCCGAGGACGACAGCTGCTCACTAAGCAAATGTATTAACTTTTAGTAAGAAGCAGTGACAAAATAGGTCGCCTCGACCGGAGTGATACAATAGCCTCATAGAAAACCGGCGTGAAGCGACTACGGCGTTGTATTTCGCCGGTTACCTCCTCTCCAATCCCTAAATATTCAAATCTCTAACCCCCAAAAGGTCGGCAACGCACTCGTAACTCCTCTATTGTTGCGGATGTCCCTGGGCAGCGCTGATTGCTTATCATCAGGTAATCAAAATGCTCGTTTGCCGACGATATGTTTTCGGCTTACTCACGTAATTGTTTGACGAGATACTCGACTAGTTTCATACAGAATTTCAGAATTCACACAGAGAGAGGCTCATATTCCGCGACACGCGACGCGGCGACTATCGAGTTCCTCGTCAAATAATTACGTGATTAAGCCGAAAACATAATAATTAATTAAGTACCTACTCGTATGTCTCACGAAAGTTATAATAAAAAATGAGTTTCGCGAAACTTACCAAGAGGAGGTCGCTCTAAGAATATGAACTGAGGCGAGAACACGCGCGACCGCTTTCTATATAGGTACAAAATTCTCCTAAGATGTGATTCAGACTTCATAAATATAGCCACCGCATTTTTTTATGTAGGTAGTAGGTCGGCAAACGAGCTTACGGATTGCTTTCCTTACGCTTCTCCAATCAAAGGCGAACACCGCTCGTGGACATTCAGCCTTTTGGGAAAAGGATTAGGCCTCTGGTAAGCTCGTTCCCTCACTCACACGGCGAAACACAACGCTGTGGTTGTTTCACGGCGGTTTCCTGTGAGGCCGTGGTATCGCTAGACGACCAATTCGTGCTGAAGCATAGCTCTCTCAGAGTACAATTTGTATGTCAGCCGACAGTCATCTTAAAAAAAGGTATTCAACTTCAACTTACTGGGTCTTGTAAAGGATTTCGCGCATTTCTTCCAAATATTGAGTTATGGACTTCAATATTTAAAACAAGAATCGTTTATAATATATTTGTAAATAATACCAGGAGCGTCACCAACACTATTTTAAAGGCAGCCGTCTACTCATGGTCAAGTGACCACATTCAGTATTATAAATATATACCCTAACATTTTTAGAATTAAGCTCTCAAATGTATTGAAAGTATCATGTCATTAAGGCTAACTTGATGTGCTGTCAGGCTGTCGGTGTGACAGATTTATTAAAAATAACAAATGTCGTCCCGATCTTTTTAGAAATAAGGTTTGGTTTTTAATTTCGTTAGATTATGGACGTCGCTCTTACAAGCATTAGACTTTGCAGGGGGATAGGGAAGGAACAGGGGGTTTTTTGTCAGTAAGATTCTGACACTGTCTCTCGCTCCACCCAAGAAGGGAAAAGGTATTTGATGATTTTGCAATTATAGCAAAACTAGCTACTTTCGCTTCTCGGCTGCTATAGATCGTACCATGATGTTTTATAATCTATAGCACCCAGGAACATTGTAGCTACCTGTCAGTAAAAGAATTTTGTCAATCCGACCAGCAGTTTTAAAGATTACCCCCTATATACAAACTTACAAATTTTACCTCTTTATAATATTAGTATAGATAAAATTGTAGCCCTTCCCTATCGGATGTACCACAAGGAGTGCTCTCCGGCGCGAGAAACTCTCCGGTTTTGGCCTCGCCGCTTTCCACCATCGTCCCAAGAAATGATCTGCTATCCTCATCATATACCTAGATGGCTGGCCGTCAACAACTGTGCGATTCACGCGAAACTTTCTGCCCCACACAGCAAAACTTTGGAATGATCTTTCGGCGGCAGTATTCCCGAACCGATACGACCTTTGGACTTTTAAGAAATGACCCTTCTCATTCCAAAAACGCCAGAAATGCACCTATGACTCCTCAAGTGTTGATATGACCATGGAATTTCTTGCTCTTTCTTCGACATAGGATTCTACACTTTAAAACGAGCAAATAGCTTCACTAGAGGACAGACCGACGGACTGACACTTTTATCATTTAAGCTTTGTTCTAAAAGGGTCTTCTAGAAATACATGATTTCGACTTCGACTTTGAAAGTCCATGGGCGGCGCTGATCACTTACAATCAGGTGATCGTTCAGCTCGTTTGAGTCCTCATCATCATCAGCCTATAAGTGCCCACTGCTGAGCAAAGGCCTCTTCTCACACGGAGAAGGTTTGAGCATTATCATATCACGCTTGCTCAATGCGCGTTGGTGATTTCAAACTTATAATTAGTAATTAGGTATAAGTCCAGGTTTCCTCACGATGTTTACCTTCACCGTATGTCAGTGGTGTCTGAATAATCATAGAAAGTACATATAACTCGGAAAAAGTCACATTGGTACTTGCCAGGTTTCACCCACACTCATGCATGAGAAGCGGGCTCCTTAACCTCCGGGCCACCACCACATTTTTGTCGGGTGATGAGTGGACGGATCGCTTGATGATAAGCAATCGACACCACCAACAACAAGCTAAACAAAAGACTACACATAAGACAGTGACCGGACAGCAGCGCTCTCAGATAAACCCGAACCTTTAAAAGCTGCGATCTCCAACCATCTAAAATCATTAATCGTTTAGGGTTTGGCGAGACGAGAGATGATCTCCGGCCACAGTAAGCGCGAGTCTGCGGTCGGCGAGTAAGGCGACCAGAACCAGACCCGAGCGTACGGTGCGTAGCGTTCCGCGCGCGCCTTAAAGAGCCAATAGACCACTACAGACGGGGCCCTATAGAGCTGATGTTCAGCCGGGGTTGCGGGGTAAGGGCAATGAGGCACCGCGACCTCGGCCGAGAACAGGAGAAGGAACAGGGGAGTTTTTAGTCAGTAAGAGTCTGACACTCCCTCTGACCCTGGGCGGGAGAAGTCATATGATGATTTTCCCCTCACAAAAAAAAGGGTTTGGCGAGAAGGAATGTCAGACTTTTACTTACTAAAAAGCCCCCTGTTCCCTCTCCTACTCTAGGCCGAGGGCAAGGTCCCTTGTTGTGCTTGTTTCCTAAGGCTAAGCACCGGTCCTGTTGGGAGTCCTGTCTATGGAGGTCGCACGGGGCTGGTTCTGGTCGGGCGGCGAGCAACCATTACTCGCCGTCTGCAGACCTGCCCTTATGCTGGCCGGAGATCGTCTCTCGATCCCCGACGGCAGCTGGGGCGTGAGGAGGATAGCGCCCTCATGCGCTTCGCCCTCTTTTCGAGTATCATCAATGTATAGCCAACATTTTTTTTGTGTAATAGATCGGCAAACGAGCATACGGATTACCTGATGGTAAGTAATCAGCGCCACCCATGGACACCCGCAATGCCCGGTGCGTTGCCGACCTTTTAAGGATTAGGGATTTGGAGATTTAGTGATTGAGGTGGGATTGGGTGTGGGGAAGGATTGGGCCTCTGGTAACCTCACTCACACGGCGAAACACAACGTTGTGGTTTTCTCACTTTTCACTCCAGTTTTCTGTGAGGCCGCGGTATCACTCCGGTCGAGCCGACCCTTTCGTGCCGAAGCGTGTATGAAGAATTTCCTGACTCATTTGCACAAAATGGTTACAGTATGGTACAAAAAGGTTTTTTTTTATTTTTACAATACATTATATGTGTAGGTAGGTATATAGGTGTTAACGTAACATGCTTATCACTAAAACAAAACAACCATTGTGTTTCGCCGAAGGCCCAATTCTTCCCCTACCCCAATCCCCAATCCCCAAAAGTTCGGCAAGGCACTCGTAACTCCTTTGGTGTTGCGGGTGTTCATGAGTGGCGCTGATTGCTTACTATCAGATAATCCGTTTGCTCGTTTGCCGACCATAATTTTTTTTTCACACTGATTCGCGACTTCTCCCAACAATTATTACCTATGTAGGTAAATACTGTGACGGAAAAGTGGTTCAAACTCTTTGACATCATGACGTCAATGGATGGTTGTCAAACGTTGCCTAGAGATTGTAAATTTCGTCGTGAATTGTCAACACGAGTTGGTGTAATCGGTAAGGCGTGTGGATTACACCACAGAGACCCCGAGTTCGAGTCCCGCCGTAAACATGAAGTTTTTTAGTTTATAGAAGTTTTGTCGAACTTTCTGGAATTATTTGTGTGAAAGAAATAAAAAATTAAAGAGCGAGAAGGAGAATAAATAAAAATGAATAACGAAATTATTGGAAGGTTCTGGAGGCATGACGATCAAAAAGAATAACGAAATTGAATGTTCCAGAACCTGACCGGGGGTATATAAGCGGAACTGCGGCTCACCGCTGGCAGTTGAGTTCTAAGTCTAAAGCGATTCGGAAGAAAAGGAAGAAGTGAGAAAGAAGAAAAGTGAGTGAAATAGTGAAGTGCAGTGAAATAGTGCAGTGCAGTCAGTTAAGTGAGTTAAGTCAGCGTGAACGGCAAAGTTGTGTCAGTCGGCCGGACTCTGCTGGAGAGGAACGCCGATAACTTAACTCCGTGGACGCTGTAACTTAAGTGCAATAGAAGGTCTGAAAACCGGTATTAGTGTTTCATTTCATCCAATCCCGTAACCCAAGCCCGCATAGTCAGGCACGTAACATTTGGTGTCAGAAGTGGGATTGGAGAAAAATGCCGCTAGTGCCGCAGGACGTAAGAAGAGTGAGTACCCGTTCAATGTCAGAAGCGCAGCGTGTGAGGGAAGAGGGTGCTACAGCTCAAACCAGCGATGCAGAAGCCAAGCCTGTGCAGGTGGATCTTCTGCTACAGCTGCAGCAAATGATGGCAGAGCAAGCGCGCCGCCAAGAAGAGCAAGCGCGCCGCCAAGAGGAGCAAGCACGCTGTCAGGCAGAACAGCTACAGGAGCAAGCACACTGTCAGGCGGAGCAGCTACGGGAGCTGAAAGAGATGCATAAGGATTTCACGAAGGGACTGCAAAAGGCTGTCGAACGGGTACAGGAAGTGGAGGAAGGGTTAGGCAAGTTGGAACATCGCGTCATGGCCATAGAGGAGAGAGTGGAAGAAGAGATCTCCAAAATCAAGCAGGAAATGACAAGCCCAAGCCCTTTGAAGAGCCGAAGCCGTCTTGCAGCCGTTTTTGACGCCCCAAATGCGGCCTCAAGCGCAACGAAAGGGCTCAAGATTCCCCATTACGACGGAACAACATCCTGGACCGCGTTCAAGCTACAGTTCGAGACACTTATGGAGGCTTATGGTTGGACTCAGAAGGAAGCACAGTCAGCCCTCACCCTGGCCCTCCGTGATCAAGCGCTCTCAGTGCTGGAAGCTATCGGCGCAAGTGGGGATCTCAGCTTTAGTGCCCTCCTCGACGCACTGGAGGCACGTTTTGGAGACAGCCACCTCGAGCACGTGTACAGAGCGCAATTAAAAGAGCGTACTCAGCGTGCTAATGAGAGCCTACAGCAATGGTCCGTGGAAATCGAGAAACTTGTGCGTCGAGCTTTCCGGTCGACTCCGTCAATGATTGAAGGCACGCTTCTCCAAGCATTCATTGACGGTATTCGGGACCCCGAAGTACGAGCTGCTGTTCATCTGGGCCATCACAAGAACATGAAAGAAGCTCTGGCCCATGCATTGGAAGTGGAAGCCGTGCGTGGCAACTCCCGTACCTTACGTCTGCGGGAAATGACGACAACGGAGCAGGTACCTCCACGCCGTCGGAACTTCATGTGCTATGGATGCGGAGAGCGTGGGCACATGCGGAGCGACTGCCCGAAGAAGGTGAACCGCCAGGACGCGGCGGTCTCAACTTCTGACCAGCAGGGAAACTAAATCCAGCCAGGGCTGCGGGGTGGGCGCTGGCCGGTAGTGGAATAACCCCAACAATCTACATCAAGCAAACTAACGATGGAAATACTCTGGTGATAGACGGTCAAGTAAATGGGAAAAACAGTCAGCTAACATTAGATACTGGAGCTTCAAGGACGGTGATAAATGTTCGGCTGCTCGGGCAAAACATCAGGAAACACGTTAAACCAATTGTTGGCCTACGAATGAAATCAGCTACCGGCCAGTGCATACCGATAAGTGGAAAACTGCATGTAACAATCAAAATTGGGGAACGTGTTTATCGACATGAGGTTATTGTGGCCAAAATTCTGGATGACTGCATCCTGGGACTTGACTTCCTGCAAGGGCACCAGTGTAACATCGACTTAAAATCTGGAGTATTACTATGTGGAACTGAGGAAATTCCGATGAAGGGTGGAACCCTGGGAAAAGTTTGCTGTTTAAGAAGAACTGTTCTTGAACCAAAATCACAGACTCTCGTACCAATCGCATTACCTAGGAGGAGGGAAGGAAGTTTACCTCTAAGGTGCGCTGTGATTGATAAATCGGAACACGTAAACTCATGGCTACCGGCGAGAACTGTCGTGGGGTCATCTGATGTCAACCGCATTCCGGTATTCAACTTCAGTGATTCAAAAATTACGATTGAAGAAGGAGAGCCTATGGGCGTATTGGAAGAAGTGGCCTGGATAAGAAAATGCTCGGAGAATCTTGTGAAGAGGGACAGTACGGGAATTGACTTTGTAACGAAAATCTTAGACGAAAACAAAAGTCTGACAAAAGTGGAGACTATGAAAGCTAGAAATTTACTTCTTCGATTCTCTGATGTGTTTTCAAGAAGCGATGGTGATATTGGCCGAACTGGTTTGGTGAAGCATAAAATAAACACAGGTGATACAATGCCAATTCGTCAAAGGCCCAGACGCATACCATTCGCTCGTGAGAAAGAGGTTGAGGAAATGATTGACGATATGAGGAAAAATGACGTGATAGAGCCCTCTTCTAGCCCTTGGTGTTCACCTGTCGTGCTTGTCAAGAAGAAAGATGGTTCAACGAGGTTTTGCGTAGACTATCGACGATTGAATGATGTAACCAAGAAGGATAGCTACCCGTTACCAAGAATCGATGACACACTTGACACACTGAGTGGCATGAAATGGTTTTCAACGCTCGATCTGAAAAGCGGCTATTGGCAGGTGGATTTGGATCCCAAGGACAAGGAAAAGACCGCATTCTCAACTGGGAAGGGACTCTGGCAATTTAAGGTGATGCCATTTGGATTATGCAATGCACCGGCAACCTTTGAGCGTTTGATGGAACAGGTGCTGGCGGGACTGCTGGGCGAAACCTGCCTAGTTTACCTCGATGACATCATCATTGTTGGACGGGATTTTGACGATCATCTTAGGAAATTGGAAAAGGTACTCGACAAGCTGCGTGGAGCTAATTTAAAGTTGAGTCCAAAGAAATGCTCTTTCTTCAAGCGCGAAGTGAATTATCTAGGACATGTTATTTCTGAGAGAGGAATTGAGACTGATCCAGCCAAGACTGTCGCTGTTAAGGAATGGCCAACACCTAAAGACAAAACGCAAGTTCGCGCATTTCTTGGATTGTGCTCGTATTATCGGCGGTTTGTGAAAGGATTCTCGGACATTGCCAAGCCTTTGCATCGATTGACAGAGGAGAAACGTGCCTTTATCTGGGACGAGGATTGTGAGCAGGCCTTTCAAGAACTAAAAGAACGGCTTTGTAACACACCAATTCTCGGATACCCCAGCGCGAAAGGAATATTCGTAGTTGATACGGATGCCAGCAATATTGGAATAGGAGGTGTCCTTTCACAACGCGATGGTGAGCAGGAGAAGGTTATTGCTTACTTCAGCAAGTCACTATCCAAGCCGGAGAGGAATTATTGCGTGACCAGGAGGGAATTGCTGGCCGTAGTCAAAACTCTGCACCATTTCAAGAAGTATTTACTGGGACGGAAATTTTTGATCAGAACTGATCACGCTGCTTTGAAATGGCTGCTTCAGTTTAAGGATCCCGAAGGCCAAGTAGCCAGATGGTTGGAACAACTTCAGGAATTTGACTTTGAAATCGAACATCGCGGCGGAAGAATTCATGGCAACGCAGATGCATTATCGAGACGCCCATGCGTGGAAGATTGCAAGCATTGTGCCAAGAAGGAAACTGCTTTTCTTAAGGTGATAAGGACTGATACTGTTGACGAGGCATGGGGAGATGATGCGATGAAATTAGAACAGGAAAGAGATGCAGATATTAAACCAATACTGGAGTGGCTACGAAGTGGTAACAAGCCAAGTTGGAGTGACGTCGCCCAATATAGCGCGGTAACGAAAGGTTTATGGGCACAGTGGAAAAGCCTTACGCTGCATAACGGACTTCTGTGCAGGAAATGGGAATCAACAAACGGCAAGGACGAGCATTTGCAATTGGTGGTGCCTCGTTCAAAAATAAGGGATGTATTAAAAGCGTTCCATGATGGATCTTCTGGAGGACATTTGGGAATTAGGAGGACTTTGGTGAAGATCAAGGAGAGGTTTTATTGGTTGCATTGCAAATATGACGTCGAAGATTGGTGCCGGAAATGCACTAGTTGTGCAGCTGTTAAGGGTCCACAAACAAGAAGCAGAGGGGCGATGAAAATCTACAATGTTGGTATGCCTTGGGAGAGAATAGCCTTAGACATCGCTGGACCATTTCCAATCACTGATTCGGGCAATCGCTACGTTTTAGTGGTTATGGATTATTTTACAAAATGGCCGGAGGTCTTTGCCATACCGAATCAAGAGGCAGTAACTGTAGCCACAAAGTTGGTAAACGAGGTATTCACCCGATTTGGAGTGCCCTTGGAGATGCACAGTGATCAAGGACGGAATTTTGAATCCCAAGTTTTTCAGGAAACTTGTAAACTTTTGGGAATCCATAAGACTCGAACGACCCCTTATCATCCACAGTCAGATGGAATGGTCGAACGCTTCAACCAAACATTGGAGCGACACTTAGCAAAGGTGGTTGACAGCCATCAGAGAGATTGGGACACTTACATACCTCTCTTCTTGCTTGCCTATCGGACTGCTGTACATGAAAGTACCGCAAAGACGCCTGCATTTGCAAATTTTGGAAGGGAATTGAGATTACCGGCAGATCTTGTATCGGGCTGTCCACCTGGCGACACTCGCACCGAGTTTAGCGATTACATAAACGAGTTAAGGGCAAAAATGTTGGACATTTATGAGCAGATCAGGGAGGCCGGTCTTCAAGCTAGTGATCGCGCAAAGACGCGCTATGATCGACGAGCCAATTCTGTTGGGTTTGAAGAGGGGTCATTGGTCTGGCTTCATAATCCAGTCAGAAGGAAGGGAAAATCTCCGAAGCTTCAACCGAGTTGGGAAGGTCCTTATGAGATAGTCACGAAGATCAATGACATTACTTACAGAATTCGGAAGACTTCAAGGAGCCCTTTGAAAGTTGTCCATATAGACAGGTTGGCGAGGTATTACGGCAGCAACGATGCTCGGGACGAGCGAATCTAAGAGGGGGGCAGCGTGTATGAAGAATTTCCTGACTCATTTGCACAAAATGGTTACAGTATGGTACAAAAAGGTTTTTTTTTATTTTTACAATACATTATATGTGTAGGTAGGTATATAGGTGTTAACGTAACATGCTTATCACTAAAACAAAACAACCATTGTGTTTCGCCGAAGGCCCAATTCTTCCCCTACCCCAATCCCCAATCCCCAAAAGTTCGGCAAGGCACTCGTAACTCCTTTGGTGTTGCGGGTGTTCATGAGTGGCGCTGATTGCTTACTATCAGATAATCCGTTTGCTCGTTTGCCGACCATAATTTTTTTTTCACACTGATTCGCGACTTCTCCCAACAATTATTACCTATGTAGGTAAATACTGTGACGGAAAAGTGGTTCAAACTCTTTGACATCATGACGTCAATGGATGGTTGTCAAACGTTGCCTAGAGATTGTAAATTTCGTCGTGAATTGTCAACACGAGTTGGTGTAATCGGTAAGGCGTGTGGATTACACCACAGAGACCCCGAGTTCGAGTCCCGCCGTAAACATGAAGTTTTTTAGTTTATAGAAGTTTTGTCGAACTTTCTGGAATTATTTGTGTGAAAGAAATAAAAAATTAAAGAGCGAGAAGGAGAATAAATAAAAATGAATAACGAAATTATTGGAAGGTTCTGGAGGCATGACGATCAAAAAGAATAACGAAATTGAATGTTCCAGAACCTGACCGGGGGTATATAAGCGGAACTGCGGCTCACCGCTGGCAGTTGAGTTCTAAGTCTAAAGCGATTCGGAAGAAAAGGAAGAAGTGAGAAAGAAGAAAAGTGAGTGAAATAGTGAAGTGCAGTGAAATAGTGCAGTGCAGTCAGTTAAGTGAGTTAAGTCAGCGTGAACGGCAAAGTTGTGTCAGTCGGCCGGACTCTGCTGGAGAGGAACGCCGATAACTTAACTCCGTGGACGCTGTAACTTAAGTGCAATAGAAGGTCTGAAAACCGGTATTAGTGTTTCATTTCATCCAATCCCGTAACCCAAGCCCGCATAGTCAGGCACGTAACAATACTATCCGTCATCTCTACATAATATAAAACCTCACAAAAAAACCCTACGTGAGAGAGTAACAAACATCCATCCGTACTTACAGGCGTTTATAATATTTGTAGAGTTGCTTGCAGCTTGCTATTTTCGGGGTTTTTTAGTGAGGGGAAAATCATCATGAGGAGGAGGATTGCTCCCTCACGCGGGCCGCCTTCCTCTTTGCGAGCATAACTTCTTCACAGAAGGAGAAGACGGCGTCCCAGTTCCTCTCACTCCGCACCATGGCGTCGTCGACTAAGGCCGGGCGCGAGAGGTCGCCGCCGCCGATCACTTCCCTGAGGACGCGGCGGTGCTCAGCCCAGGCAGGGCATACCGCCACCGTATCCTCTAGGTGGTCCTCACAATATTTTCGGGGGTAGGTAAGATGTTAAATTTTTGTCATTGATATAACACATAATTTCGATATCATAAAACAATGATATTTTGTAACCATCGTCATCAGCCTATAAGTGCCCACAGCTGAGCAAAGGCCTCTTTTTACACGGAGAAGGTTTGAGCATTAACCACCACGCTTGCTCAAGGCGAATTAGCGATTTCAAACTTATAGGTAATTAGAAAATGTAGATATTATAAGTCCAGACTTCCTCATAATGTTTACCTTCACCGTATGTCAGTGGTGTCTAAATAATCATAGAAAGTACAACATATGACTCGGAAAAGTTACGAGTAAATTGGTACTTGCCAGATTTCGCCCGCACCCTCATTCTTGAGAAGCGGACGCCTTAACCTTCAGACCATCAAGGCACAATACTTTGTACAAACTAGATTCCATTGAGAGACCAATATCGCTACAGTATAAAACAAGTCGATTTCTCCATCCTTATATCACTATGTATGCTTAAATCTTGAACACTACGCAACGGATTTTGATGTGTTTTTTTAAGAGATAGTGATTGAAGAGGAAGGTTTATATCTATAATATAACATCCATTAAATAGTTGAGAAATTTAGTATCAGCATTGCCCCCGTGCGAAGTCGGGACGGGTCGCCTAGTATGTAGCTATATAATAACATCCATTAAATAGTAGAGAAATTTAGTATTATTTACCTACTTACTTATAAAAACGTGTTTCTGTAAGAATACTTATCGAAATAAATATAGGTAATCATAATCGCAACACTTGTTGAGCAGTCAGCTAGCAGCGAGCTAGCGAGTACGACGATGTTTTTGTTAATTTTATAAAAAATAATAATTTTATTTTGACATATTTATATTTTTTTCCCGCGCAACGAAAGTAAATGTCAAACACTTTTTTTTTCTTTATACTTTTTTAAACCGATATTCTCGTAAGGAGTAAGAATGTTAATTTTTATTTTATTTATTTCATTTTGTGAGTGTGCTTTCGGTCATGGTGTACAGGTTGAGGTTAATACGCTAGACGGCATAGTACAAGGTTACAATGTGGGAACTATTAGCATGTTCCGTGGCATTCCTTACGCTGAAGTCGACGAAAACAATCCTTTTGCGGTAAGTCATTGACATAATAACTGTTTTTTTTTCTTTTAATAATAACGTTGCACCACTTTAGGATTTTCTCCTGTGTCGTGGGTGCGGTTACAAACATACAATTTCACATACACATGACACCCAGACCCGGAACAACAATTTGTGGATCACACAAAGAGTTGTTCCGTGTGGGAATCGAACCCGCGACACGTTGCACGGCAGCCAGTTTCCCAGCCACCGCACCAACCGTGCAGCCACCAACTGTAAAGCATGTAAACAAAAAATCAAACTGTGAGTTATTATTTATTGTAGGTCTGTACACCTGTTGACAAAATATTTATAGATATAATTATACGACTCGCCCCGGCTTCGTACAATTACAACTATACCTACTTAATACAAATTTTCTCCACTATTTAATGGATGTTATACATATTATAATGTAAGCGCATAACGCGCGAACGCCTGGATGGAAATACTTTATTCCTTATAGTTGTTTTTGTCAGGAGAAGGTTATTATGAAAGAAAATTCTAGAAAAGTAGAAGGAAAAATTGGGACATACTGACCATTTTGTCGTCATCGACAATTCAACATAATTTTACACCCGTGCGAAGCAGGAGAAAGCAGCTAGTATTAATATAATTATGTAAACGTGAAACTAGGTACACAGTTATACAATCTTGGTATGAGGTAACGTTGGGTTGGCTCGAATGGGTCGGCTCGACCGGAGTGATACCACGGCCTCACAGAAAACCGACGTGAAACAACCACAGCGTTGTGTTTCGCCGTGTGAGGGACGCTACCGGAGGCAAAATCATTCTCCTCCCCAATCCCTAAATCTTCAAAACCCTAATCTCTAAAAGATCGGCAACGCACTCGTAACTCCTCTATGGTTGCGGTTGTCCATGGGCAGCGCTGATTGCTTACCATCAGGTAATTCGTATACCTACTCGATTACCGACTTATAATCTAAAGAAAAACAAGATGTCGGTACTATGGCCTTGACCTAAAGCACGTCATATTAAAATAATTGAGTTGCGAAATCATGGCGGCGATGTAAATAATGTAGATTTGTGATAAACTGATAACCTATGGACTCTCGGAATGTTGTGTCATGATCCCTGTTGAATTACAACTATACAAAATATTATAAAGAGGTAAAATTTTTAAGTTTGTATGTAGGGTGTAATCTTTGGAACGGCTCGTCGGATTTCAAAAAATCTTTCAGTTTTTTTATTTCATAGGACGGCAAACGAGCCGCCCATGGACACCCACATCAAGATCAGGGATAACGGAGGAGTAACGAGTGCGTTGCCGACCTTTGGGAATTGGAGATATTGAGATTGGGAATGGTTTGGGTTCGTTTGGGGAAGGATTGGACCTCCAGTAACCTCACTAACACGGCAAAACACAACGCTATGGTTGATTCACGCCGGTTTTCTGTGAGAGTTTCACTCCGGTCGAGCCGAACCATTCGTGCCGAAGCATGGCTCTCCCACACTTGCATTTGCACTGATAGATAGCTACAATGTTCCTGAGTGCTATAGAGTCGAGCTATAGCTTTAAACGCTGCTGTTTTCAGAATCCTGGCATAGGTATATTATTTTTGCACGTGCGAAGCCGCGGGCGAAAGCTGAAGAAGTTAAGATATAAAATAACAAAAACAAATGATTGTGTGTAGTAAAGATAAAAAATATATTAGGTCACTGTTACTATGTATAAACATCTTCGTGCGTGGTGACCCACGGGGCGCGTAGTTATAGAGCTAAATAAGCTAAAAAAACTTAATTTTGTTTTTCAGGACGCCCACCCGTATCCACACTTTGATAAACCATTCGTGGCCATCGACGACTCGACAATATGTCCTCAATACGTGAACGGAATAAAAGGCAGCATCCAATGTTTACGAGTCAACGTTTACACGCCTCAAGACGCCCACCCCGGCCTTGCGCTGCCAGTAATGGTATTTCTACATGGTGGGGCATTTTATGAAGGAAGTGGCTCCCTCACGGATTGGGCACCAAACTTTCTCATCAAACACAACGTCATCCTAGTCACTGTTAACTACAGACTGGGCCCATACGGAAATCTATGCATACCGAACACACAGTACAATAACCAAGGCTTGAAAGACCAGGTGTTAGCATTAAAATGGGTGAAAAGTAACATTAAAAGTTTTGGCGGTGATTCTGATAATGTCATCCTGTTCGGACATAGCGCTGGCTCCATATCCGCAGATATACATTTACTGTATAACAATGATAATTTGTTTAATAAAGTTATACTACAGAGCGGGCAAGCTGTGACGCCGCTTATAAATGACGCCACGCCTTACAAAAAATACGCCACCGATATCGGTATGACGGACGAAAATATCGACATTGACCGTTTCATTCAAAAATTATCATCAATTAGTGTTGAAACGCTTATAAATAATACGAAAAATTATACTTTCCGTCCTTGCATCGATGGTAACTTTATATCGAGTGTACCGCCAAAGAAAAACTTACAAAACGTCAAAATAATCGTCGGAGCCACAGATAAAGAAATGCTATTTTTCTATAGAGATGAGACATCGTTTGAAAATTTCGATTTTTCATCGGAACTAGATAGGCCATTTGATTATTCGATGTTAAATCCGAATGTTATCGATGAAATTAAAGAAAAATATAATTTAAAACTGAATAAAGATGAATTGAAGGATTCCACAATTGATTTCGGATCAGATTTAGCGTTTAATTACCCTACGGAGAGAAGTATAAGGTATTACTTACAAAATAATGCCACAGTATATAGATACGTTTTCAAATATGATGGGGATAGAAACTTTGTGAAGAAACGTGAACACATCACGTGGCCCGGAGCTACTCATGGCGACGAGTTGGGATATATATTTGACATAATGACATCTAACAAAATCACTGATTTACATGTCGTAGACTGGATCGGTCTGCTGTGGACGAATTTCGCTAAATATGGGTACGTATTTAAGTGGAACTATGTATTTTATAAGAGCATTTAAAGGAGCTGGTTTCCGAATAAACTTTCAAATCCAAAATCACGAAAACTGCTAAACTGATTTTAATAAAACTTGGTCATCATCAGCCTGAAAGTGCGCACTGCTGAGCAAAGGCCTCTTCTCACACGGAGAAGGTTTGAGCATTACCACGCTCGCCTAAGGCAGATTGTAAATTTTTGAACTTAATTAGAAATTATAAGTACAGTTTTCCTCACAATGTTTTCCTTCACCGTATGTCATTGGTGTCTAAATAATCATAGAAAGTCCCTTTATATACCTAACTTGAAAATAGTTGCATTGATACCTACTTGCTTAGTTTAGAACCCGTACCTCATGAATGACAAACGGGCTCCAACCGGGCTAGCACGACTTTAACTTAGCAGCAGTTACACGTGATATTTTTAAGTTTTTATGTAAGTTTAAAATTGACGCTTTCTGTCTCTCTCTTTAAAATGACTCAGTTCTCAAATATGGTGAACCAGAGTACTGAGCTCGAAGACCCACATTAATAATTTGCCCCACCTGAATTAATATTCAAATCAAGGTTACTTTACAATTAACACTTCGTTGACTTTTTTCGATTTTATTTATAAAATGACTTCTCTGGTAGTGTTAGACTCTTACTGACTACCTCCCCCCGTGTTCCTTCTCCTGCTTCGACCCAGAGTCGCGGTGCAATATTAGGCAGGCAATTATTCCCCAACTATTCTATAAATAGGTGAAGAGTATTTGTAGTATTTGACCGCGAATTTATCTGATCTCAAAAACAACTGGTTCAAAACGAATAATATTCTTGGAGTTGGATAACTCATTTATCGTGTATTTCTAAAATACATCACCCAAAATCTAAGCTTTTGCCTGCGAGTTTGTTCGCGTGGAATAGTGACTTCCTGCAGATTTTTGGTTAAAAAACTATCCTATGTCCTTTCTCGAGTTCCAAACTATGTCTGTACCAAATTTCACACAAATAGGTTCAGTAGTTTAAGCGTGAAGACAGACAGACAGAGTTACTTTCGCATTTATAATATTAGTTTGGAAGTTTGGATATACCAATTTAGAAGTTTTTTATGTCAAACTAAAATTGGGGTAGAGGTATATCATAGACCACGTCTAGGCAAATGTAGTATAGGGTGCCCTACAGTTATGTGGACTGACGATATTCGTAAGGCTGGCAGTGGTTGGATGAGAAGATCTGAACATCGAGCTCAGTAGAATGCAGCAGTGGACGAAATCCTTCTGATGATGACGATTTCACCCAGTGCAGGCGTTATGGGGCGTGATGGGGCGATGGCACAGGGCGAAAAATTCTGGGGGGCGCCAAGGTCTGAAGTTGGAGTCCCTTGCCTCTCCTGGTGCAAACTCTCAGAACTGTGCTCTACGCTGTGTGAAAATGCATATTTTATTGAGATTTTTTTAGATAGATTTTTTTATGATTTGTGCTCGAGGAGTGACTCTAAAGATATCAATACGATCAGCAAAAACGAACACTTGATATTGCTTCCCTGAAGTGGACGCCACAATATTTTCGCCCATAGTATCAGTGGCCCTTACGCCCGATTGCACCCGTGTGAACCCGGGACCGGTTATTATTCTTTAATCTACACTAATATTATAAAGCTGTAGAGTTTGTTTGAACGCGCTAATCTCCGGAACGTCTGGTTCGAAATTGAACAATCAATCCATTTATCGAGGAAGGCCATAAAACATCACGCTAAGATATGTAAGAGCCGACCGACGGGTGAAGACGCGGGACAGTAGCTAGTATGACATAAATAATACATAATCTTCAATTTTCCAGAAATCCAACACCACCACCGCCTTCAAAGGAGCTTCCAGTAACTTGGTCACCAATCTCTACGCTCTCAGAGCCTTATCTACAGATAGGCAAAGAACTAACTATTTTGAACGAGCCGCTAAAAACAAGGATGGCATTCTGGGACTCCTTGTACAAGCAACACGGGAAGTATGCTAAAGGAATCAATTTGGGAGAAAAATGGTGGTCTGAATCATAATACAAGACTTCTGCCAAGTCTTTATATATTAATATGAAACATATTTCATATTGTAAACTGTAAAGTTTTTAATGATAAAGTAATGGATAGATATACTAATGTTTGTTACTCTTTTAATTAAGAAATAAGTCAACGTTAAAATATTTAACTCTGTGTGATCCACAAATTGTTGTTCCGGGTCTATGTGTGATGTGTATGTGAAATTTTATGTTTGTAAACGCACCACACGACACAGGATCATTCCAATGTTTTGTTGTGTGAAACCAGAACTTTCGCGCAAATACGCACAATTGTGCACTCCGATCTTTCCCAGTTAGGCTCACTTACCTAAAAATGTTATATCGGCATTTACCTAATTCAATAAAAAATATCTTTACACTAATTCGTTTTTATTCATTATTTATCGTAATACACATAGTTGAGATGGAAACACATATAAGACGCATACAAGGCACCGATTATATTTGCACAGTATAATAATATACCCATTGAAAAGGATGTATAGGTCTCTAGTGAGAAAAAAATATTCAAAACATGGCTGTTATTGTCAAAACATTACTTATGTCTTTTGCTTAGCAACCATGCAAACACGAGAAAAAAGTTTCTAGTTACTCTTTGGGCGCCATCGCTAATGCTTTACATTATATAAAAATTAATACAAGAGATTCTAAATTTTTTATGTGATATTTCCTCAAACGACACACTGATTACCTGATGGTAAGCAATCAGCGCCACCTATGGACACCAGGAGTTAAGTGCGCGTCGCCGGCCTTTTAAGGATTAGGGTTTTGGAGAATTTAGGATTGGGGAGAGGAAGGATTGGGCCTCCGGTAAACCTCACTCACACGATGAAACGCTGTGGTTTTTTCACCGGTTGTCTGTGTGGTATTACTACGGTCAAGCAGACCCATTCATGCCGAAGCATGGCTCTCTTACAATGAAACTAAATCAAAAAAACTTAATTGATAATGTTCTAGAGTGGAGACACGTATAGGTAGGGTAGTGTAGGGCGCCCGCCAGCTAGGGTGGACTGACGACATCTACAGGGTGGTTGGCAGTGGATGAGAAGAGCTGAACATCGAGCTCAGTGGCGTGCAATTGGGGAGGCCTATATCCAGCAGTGGATGACATCAGCCTGATGATGATGATGATAATGAATTGATAATTAATTCACATTATTTAACTCAAAACAGTTGCACCGTATATTTTACTTTGAATAAAAAAACTTTTCTTAGTTAATTAAGCTTTATAACACTATGGTTGAAAGCTTTAAAAGACATCTGTCAATTTGTTGTGGCGTCAAAACGTTTGTCAAACTCAATGACATTGTATTGAAGAGACGCTAGAGTTATTGTCCAGTAAATAAAACAATCGATTATTTGAATTTTTTAAATTAATCACGCAATAAAACTCCACAAAACAGTTCAAAGTACATCTGAAGACTAGGTAATATAGAAATATGGGTGATTTGTGCACGGCATGTATGTGCGCTGGGCGAAATTTGTTTTGCATCGGCGAGACAGGATTCTATCATTTATATTCGCAAATATTAAATGAAATCCAGGTAAGTTATCTAATGTTTGCGTTAGAAATTGTTTTTTCAGATACCGTTTATTGTACAAAAGAGGCTTAACGCCTACATTGAGCTTTAAAAGTGTTTCAAAAATGTAATTAAACTCGAGTAAGCAAAAGTCGACTGAACTCAACAAATTACTCTAAATACTTGGCTTGTAGTAATTAATACTGATATTTAATGACAGTTAGAGTCGAAAAGAGGTCGGTAACTAACGTACCTTTTTAATAAATTACTGTAAACACTGAAGTTATTTAAAAAACAATTATTTGCCATGCTTATTGATAAATGTTACTATAGTGTAAAGGATTACTTAAATGATGCAATGTAAAATGAATATAATAAACGTAATGATAATGTTTTTTCGCATAATTTTGTTAGTTTATAAGTAAAATATTTGTACACCAGTAATGGTAGAATACAAGAGACTAATATTTTGTAACACCTTAATGTACTGTATTCTGACAAATAAATCTATCTTTATCTTTAAAACTAACATTATTAATTCTAAACTTTAGTTAATTACAAATCTCGAAGCCTCGTCGTTATTAATACTGGTTGGATAAGGACTTTAGGCCATACAAAGGTACAACAACCTTAGGGCCAACCCTTGTCAATAGGGTGATATTGGATAAGGATTTTAGGCCATACAAAGAAAAAAAAGGTAAAGTAATTTTTTAGTAGTAGAAGAAATAATTAAAATCTAGTTTTCTAGATTAAAAAGAAATTCTTACAACTTTTAAATACAATGAAAAGAATATGAAAACATTGAGGTTGTAAGAAATAAAAATTTAATATTAATATTTTTATTTATTAATACCCTCATAATGATAGAATCAGTGTAAATAATATGCGAAACACAACTGTGGTTATTTTACGCTGGCATACTGTGAGGCAGAGGTTATCACTCCGGTTGAGCCAAGCCATTCACATTCAATATATAACTAGCCTTAGCCCGCGGCTCCGCCCGCATGGATCCTCCAGGCTTCAGAAAATAAGTAGTTTGTTTAGGTGTCAATGTATACGCTTTTACAATAAAATCCCTAGCAATATTCAAAATTTGAGCCTCAATAAATTTAAAAGTGTAATAAAGGCTTGCTGTAAAGCATTTTATAAAATAAAAGACTACTTAGAGGATAGTCAGGCTTGGGAATGAGCCGCTGTAACGTCTGCACAGGTCATGTTGACATGTTTGTAACATAAGTTACGCTTTTTATATACAATTTGACATTACGTTTATTTTTTTATACAATGACATGATCACCTATTGTGACATTTTTATTTTTTATTTGACATTTTTTTTATTTATTTGTTGACATTTTTATTATTTTATATTATTGTTAGTGTAAGGACCGTGTGAGACTTGTCGTGCTTTTTGATTACCAGTCATCTGCGTTCTGACAGTTTGAGTACTTGCGCGACCCACCCAAATGTTCTTTTGATCGGTACTGTTCGTCGGACAACTCAGCAGCACTTGCTATGCTGGTTGCAAACTGACACTTGCGTGCCTGTCTTCAGAACGGGTCCACTTAAACTGGTGTGGTTCTTTCCTCAATAGACCACTACAGAATGAACTTGCACGGTTCTCTCACATTATGTTATTTTACATTGTCTGGACTTGAAAAGAGACTGACCTCTGAGTTTGTTTCGGCTTTTCTTCTCAGAGTAGGGAGTCAGATAGGAAATGCCGGCTTCATCTAGCTTTTCACATATAAATTGACGTGTAAAAGTGCCGTTTTATGGCCTATTTGCAAAAATAAATTCATTGTTTAATTGATAGAATCACGCCCGGTTTCTGAAAGGCTTGTCAACGCTAAAATTAACTAATCTCTTATCAAGTGTCAATTGGGTTGCATAAAGCATGATTAATCAACTAATTTGATCATCATGTCAGTTGACATGGCTGTTAAATTAACTCATGAATCGAATGTCAGTGTTAATAATATTTGAAACACAGCTGTGGTTATTTTACGCTGGCATACTGTGAGGCAGAGGTTATCACTCCGGTTGAGCCATGCCATTCACATTCAATATATAACTAGCCGTAGCCCGCGGCTCCGCCCGCATGGATGTCGATTTTAAACTGTGCATAAGTATGCTGTTTTTGAAAATCTAATGTTGTAAATGTAACCTATCTACACCATTTCACTTATAATATCATTGGTACAACCTTTCTCTGGACTTCCACGAATAATTCAAGACCAAAATTAGGCAAATTGGTAAAGGCATTGTTGAGTTTAACATTACAACTTACAACGAAAAGTGGCATTGATTTTTTTATATTACACTAGTAGCTCGCCCCCGCTTCGCACGGGTACAACTATCTCGCTATCAAAGGGTCACTTTTTCCTAATCTTCCCCTCTACTTTTCTTATATTTTCTTTGATAAGAACCTTCTCCTGACAATAACAAACATAACAAAAAATGAATTAGCGAAATTGGTCGAGGCGTTGTTGAGTTAGCGCTTACCAACACATTTTGCGATCCATTTTTATCTTCTTAAGATAATTAATTTTAGATTTTTTATCGTCCATTTTACGTTCAAACATTATGAGGTCCTATTGCAATTTCGACGAAAATGAATGCCCAATTCATGTATCCAAGGGAGTTTTTATTAGACTTTTCCTTAATAACATCTCTTAAAGATAGGGTACTTATTAAAACTTTTTATTGTATAAATATTAATTAAAAAAAAACCCCGACACAAAAGACATAATCTACCATTTAAAAGTATATAATACGAAAAAAACTTAATTGAAATAGTTTCATCCGTTCAGGAACTATGATGCCACAGACACACAGACAGACACGTCAAACTTATTAAAGATTTGGTTTTTTTTAACCTTTCATTTGATACCCCACTTGAGCATATTTGCAGACTTTCGGTTTTTTTCCCCACTTTAACCTCCCATAACTTTTAAAAGGCTCAATCGATGTTCATCAAACATGTCTAAGAACACTCGCCCGTAAAACACCTGTAATACAAAAAAAACTAAATTGAAATCGGTTCATTCGTTCAAGAGCTATGATGCCACAGACAGACAAACAGACAGACAGACAAACAGACAGACAGACCCCTCTTTTTGCGTCATGGGTTAAAAATAATTACGTTATAATTGTGTCTTTATTATGCTCGGTGTACAATTTTGCAGGTAAATAAATAATTAATCCTATCTGCATTAAAAGTTAATAATGTACGTTTTAAACTAATATTATAAATGCGAAAGTAACTCTGTCTGTCTGTCTTTTCTTCACACCTAAACTACTGAACAGATTTCTGTGAAATTTGGTATAAGCATAGTTCGAAACTCGAGAAAAGACGTAGTAGTGTTCGGAATAGATTGCTATTATAAAATATGAATCCTAATGTGGGTACTTCGTAATATCTTGATAACAAATATCTTATGGTGTACCCGCAAATTTAGATATATTTCAATAACGTCCGAGCCGAGGACTTCGCGGAGTCGGTTGGAATCGTTGATTCGGAACGTTCGTGTTGGTAATATCCTCCGATTCAATAATTTGGAAACGCGGACCGGGATTCCATACTTTTAATATTTTTTGTTGCTGCGCCCGCGCTAATAGTAGATTGTTCGCGAAGTTGGTATGCGCATAATTTCTGGTGTGAAGTGCCGGACGCTGGATCACAAGGTCAAAGAATTCCTTAAACATCCCCTTCACATTCCCTTAAGTAGTTCATCAATCCTCCTCTCGGGTACCCTAATCCCTATAGACCATTGACTGACTGACTGTGATAGCATCGAGGCGCATCAGTAGCAGTTTCGGTAAGTGGAACATTCACTTTATGTATGTAGGTATCGCGTAGGCTAGAACTTAACCTAGGGTTTTGTGTCGCCGGGCCACCGATCCCGCTGTTTACGATACACGTAGGATAGTTTTTATACCATAAATATGTAAGAAGTCACTATTCCACTCGAACGGAGTCGCGGGCAAAAGCTGGTAGGCTATAAAACATCACGCTACGATCAAATGAAGCCGATCACTGAGTGAAACCGCGCGACAGTAGGTAGCTAATGTTTTATAAAAACGTTGTCCAAAACTAGGATTTTCTCCGGTGTCGTGGGTGCGTTTACAAACATACAATTTCACATACACATCACACCCAGAGCTGGAACAATAATTTGTGGTTAACACAGAGTTGTTCCGTGCGGGAATCAAGCCATCGTGTCAACCGTGGAGTCACTAGTGCTGTATATCACATAGATTGGTTGGCAGTCAACAACTGTGCGATTCTCGCGTAACTTTCTGCCCCGCACAGCAAAACTTTGGAATGATCTTCCGGCGGCGGTATTCCCGAACCGATACGACCTTCAAACCTTCAAGAAACGAGCATATTCCTTCTTAAAAGGCCGGCAACGCACCTGTGACTCCTCTAGTGTTGCGGATGTCCATGGGCGGCGCTGATCGCTTACCATCAGGTGATCCGTCTGCTCGTTTCCATAAAAAAATTCTTCGATTCTTGTCTCCAGGTGTATGATGCCTCATCATTTTACCTGAAGGTATGCTGGGAGTGCTTGGCTCGGCTGCGACGCTGGCACCACTTCAAGGAGAGAGCGAAACAGTCTTACACACAACTACGCTATGTACATCAGGTGAGTTGAAGGTTTTACATGAGGACTCCTCCCTCCCACCCCTCAATCATAAAAACTCAATCCCCCGCCCCATATGACAAACTGGCTTATTTATAGACCACTATTTTACATTTGGGTAGTTTCATTTTTTTATGTAATAGGACGGATGACCTGATGGTAAGCAATCAGCGTCGCCCATGGACACCCGCAACGGAGGAGTTACGAGTGCGTTGCTGACCTTTTAGGGATTTGGGATTTGAAGATTTAGGGATTGAGGAAGGTATGGGGGCAGGGAAGGATTGGGCCTCCAGTAACCTCACTCACACGGCGAAACACAACGCTGTGGTTGTTTGACGCCGGTTTTCAGTGAGGCCGTGGTATCACTCCGGTCGAGCCGATCCATTCGTGCCGAAGCATGGCTCTCCCACATTTAACAAGCTCTTCCTTGTTCCTTGGTATAAAATCATATTTTTTTTTATTGATAGGTCGGCAAACGAGCAAACAGATTACCTGATGGTAAGCAATCAGCGTCGCCCATGGACACCCGCAACGACGTAGGAGTTATGAGTGAGTTGTCGACCTTTCGGGGATTAGGGATTTGGAGACTTTGGGAAAGATCTGAATAATTTCAGAAACTATATTAATCATGCCAACTGTCCCTATAAAATTTGAAAGTTCTCCTCGATTTCCCTGGGTTTCCATCATCAGATCCTGACCTGGTGAATATGGGACCACCCTTAAGTGTGGGAGAGCCATGCTTCGGCACGAATGGGTCGGCTCGACCGGAGTGATACCACGGCCTCACAGAAAACCGCCGTGAAACAACCACAGCGTTGTGTTTCGCCGTGTGAGTGAGGTTACAGGAGGCCCAATCCTTCCCCGCCCCCAATCGCTTCTCAATCCCCAAATCTCCAAATCCCTAATCCCTAAAAGGTCGGCAACGCACACTCGGCGCTGATTGCTTACCATCAGGTAATCCGTCTACTCGTTTGCACGACCAATTACATAAAAAAAACCTGGAAATTATACCCTACTGAACAAAATAGAAATTTTCCAAATCAGTCCAGGCTTCTTCGAGTAATTTGGTAGTTTCCTAAGTCAAAAATAAATGAACTCTACGTTTCATTACAATAAACTATTGGAAAATAACTATACTTTTATTCATCGATCGATCGATACACTAAGTTTTAGATTTTTTTTTAGCTAATTATTGTTAAATAAGTAAGCTATTTGACGCAAAAATGTTATGACGTCATAGCTCAGTTTTTCATACAAATTTCATAGAAAAGTATCGTTTTTGACATTTGGATAAAAGTATTGAATTTGACTAGTTGGAAACTACCGTATTGGTGAACATACTTCCATAAAAAAAAAGATCCCGACGAATTGAGAACCTCCTCCTTTTTTTATGAAGTCGGTTAAAATTCCTAAAGTCTTTGCTTCCAGAATAACTTCGAGCCACCGTCCCCAAGCCCGTCAACTCTTCAAACCAGTGAGATACAGAACTTCAGTTGTCCAGACCTGGTGGTTAAGGATGAGGTGGATGAGGGACAGACCCTCAAAGGGGAGGACATAAAGACTGAGGAGACTCACTGCGAGCCAGCGACCTTTGTCAATATTATTGAACCCAGAAGACGGAAGGCTGTTAAAAAGGATACTAAGGTCAGTCCAAAGGAAATCGTCATCATCAATCGTTTGGATGTTTGTTACTCTGATACTAAGTATGGGAGAGCCATGCTTCGGCACGAATGGGTCGGCTCGACCGGAGTGATACCACGGCCTCACTGAAAACCGGCGTGAAACAACCACAGCGTTGTGTTTCGCCGCGTGAGTGAGGTTACCGGAGGCCCAATCCTTCCCCTTCCCGGACCCTTCCCCAATCCCTAAATCTTCAAATCCCTAATCCCTAAAAGGTCGGCAACGCACTCGTAACTCCTCCGTTGCGGGTGTCCATGGGCGGCGCTGATTGCTTACCATCAGGTAATCCGTCTGCTCGTTTGCCGACTTATTACATAAAAAAAAACTCAATTTAGACTGCACGGTTGGCGCGGTGACTGGGCACGGAATAACTCTTTGTGTGATCCACAAATTGTTGTTCCGTGAGTCTGGGTGTGATGTGTATGTGACATTGTATGTTTGTAAACGCGCCCACGACACAGGAGAAAATGCTAGTGTGAAGCAAAGATTTTTAAATTAGAAAAAAATCGCGTCGAAATGGCTAGACGGATCTGCATGAAATTTGGCACGCCTGCCTGAGACAAATTTCATCCACATCCGTCTAGTCGTTTTGGCGTTATTGAGTAACAAACATCCAAATATAGTAACTTTCGAATTTATAATATTAGTAAAATTAATAATATTAATAATCTCTCCACAGTCCATCAAAGATAAATCAAAAAAGAAATTGAAAACGAAATCAACTCTACCAGTGAAAAAGAAGGTCAAATTAAAAAAGAAAAGGTCACCGACCCCTCTGTCGATAGAGGATGACGTCGCGGACTCGGCACATCCTCTAGAAGATGATCTAGAAGACGTTCCAGTACAGAACACAGGAGAAGATGATAAGAAGCAAGTTCCTTTTGTGGATGAGGTAGTTATACTGTCTTAATAGATTCATATCATCAGCCTATAAGTGCCCACTGCTGAGCAAAGGCCTCTTCTTACACGGAGAAGGTTTGAGCGTTAATCACTACGCTCGCTCAATGCGGATTGACTATTTCAAACTTATAATTAGAAATTATAAGTCCAGGTTTCCTCGCGATGTTTACCTTCACCGTATGTCAGTGGTGTCTAAATAATCATAGAAAGTACATACAAATAACTTGAAAACCTACAAATCATTGCGCTTGCTCATGGTGGATTGCCGATTTCATGACCCCGTTGACCCGAGGTTCGGACCCCACACAGACGGATAACCTGATGATGAGCAATCGACGCCAACTATAAGACCAGAGGAGTGCCTTGCCGGCGTTTTAGGGATTAGGGTTTTGTGGTCAATTTTCTGCAAGGCCGTGGTATCACTCCGGTCGAGCCGACCCATTGACCCATTCGTGCCGAAGCATGGCTCTCCCACATAAAATTAATGGACCAATTACATAACGGATACAAAGTACCTACGACTTATTAAAATTAAATCTTATAAAATTATTTGACTGCACGGCTGGGGCGGTGGCTGGGCAACTGACTGCCGTGCAACGTGTCGCGGGTTCGATTCCTGCACGAAACAACTCTTTGTGTGTGATCCACAAACTGTTGTTCCGGGTCTGGGTGTGATGTGTATGTGACATTGTATGATTGTAAACGCACCCACGACACAGGAGAAAATCCTAATGTGGGGCAACGTTTATTAAAAAAAAAACGCATAGTTCTTATTACTTTTTAAAGTTAAACTTATAATACCTTTGGCAATAATTAATTTTCTTTTATGTATGTTAGAACACAAGACTGAATGGGGAATCGAAGCCGTGTCGCAACGAGCTACAGACGGCCCCGGAGCGACCTCAGTGCCCCGAGTGCGGGAAGAGTTTTAGCTCGAAGAAGACATACCGATACCATCTCAAGTAAGTGTAGAATATTAGTGACTAGGATGTAATTAATGACTGTTGTAGAAATTGTGACTAGAATGATATTTGTGTCTATGGTTTAATTAGTGACTAGGGTGTGCATGACAAGTTAGTGTGAAAATTAGTGACTAAGGTGTGCTGTGTGACCAGGGTGTAATTGTGACTAGAACGATGTACTTGACTAGGGTTTACTTTGTGACTACAGTGTGTTTTGTGACTAGGTTGATATTTGTGACTAGAATGTGCTTAGAACATAGAATTACGCGGGTATTAACGCGTTTAAAAGTTAGATGAGTGTGCTTTGTGACTAAGATGATATTTGTGACTAGGACGTAATTTATGACTAGAAGAATATTATTTTGTCTAGTACTTAATTTGAGACTAGCGTGTAATTTGTGCCTAGCGAGTAATTTGTGACTTGGGTGATATATGTGACTAGGCTGTAATTTATAACTAGCGTCGTATTGGTGGTTTTCTTATGAAGTTAATTTTATATCTTTAACCATGGAGTTTGTTGCTCGTTCTTCTCCATAGGAATCTACACTTTGGAACGAGCAAATAGCTTCACTAGAGGACAGACAGACAGACTGACACACAAACTTTATGCGCATCAGTCTGACATGTACAAAGTTTTGCTCTTAATTATTTTAAAGTGCCCTTGAAACGAATAATTTGACTTGTGTACTGAACTCGCCAGCGGCTAATGGATGAGATAGTACGCTTATACGTTTGGACGCGATATTTGTATGTATGACAATTTTATCACTAGTATAATCTATACTAATATTATAAAGAGGTAAAATTTGTAAGTTTGTATGTAGGGGGTAATCTTTGGAACCGCTGGTCGGATTGCCAAAATTCTTTCATTTATTTTAGCTACAATGTTCCTGAGTGCTATAGGCTATAAAACATCACGCTACGATTAAATGGAGCCGAGCAGCGGGTGAAGCCGCGCGAGAGAAGCTAGTATCACTTTGCGGAAATCCATGAAATTAAATGTTATGAAAAATATTTAGTTGTTAGGCTTTTTGCAGGATGCAATCCCACTCCTATGCAATCATGCATAAGCACATGCAGCAAAGGTACGGTTATTATACGGTTGTTTTCAACTAGTCAAATTCAATACTTTTATCCAAACGTCAAAAACGATACTTTTCTATGAAAATTGAATGAAAAACTGAGCTATGACGTCATAGTATTTTTGCGTCAAATAGCTTACTTATTTTTAAAAAATTAGCTAAAAAATATCTAAAACTTAGTGTATCGATCGATCGATGAGTAAAACTATAGTTATTTTTCAATATTTTATCGTATTAAAACGTCGAATTAATTTATTTTTGACCTAGGAATCTACACAATTATTTTTCATAACATTTTATCACTAGTACAAACCATGCATATTTCCCATTAAAGTTATAACCCTTCCCACTATGCTAATCACGGTTATTGAATGTATTACAATGACTATATAATGTCCCCAGCGTGCTGCACAAAGGCCAGAACAGGTACCCCTGCCCTCGCTGCGGGAAGGTCTATCAATGGAAATCGAACCTAGGACGACATCTGCGCACTCATAAGGTGAGTTCACATTCGGCATGGAAAATGAATCTTATGTTATACTACTGCCTTTTACTCCAATCCCCGAATCACCACTCCCCAAATCCCCATTCACCAAATCTACATTCCCCAAATCCCCAATTTTAAAAAAGTTACGAGTGCGTTGTCGGCCTTTGGGGCAGAAGGTTTGCGGATATAAGGATTGGGAAGGATTAGGGGACGGGGTGGGATTAGGGGAAGGGGTCGGATTAGGCATCCGGTAACCTCACTCACACAGCGATTTACAATGCTGTGGTTGTTTCAAGCCATTGTTCTTTGAGGCCGTGGTATCACTCCGGTCGAGCCGACCTATTCGTGCCCAAGCTTGGCTCTCCCACACTAATATTGAATAAGTTATCATTATGTTTGTGCGCAGGCGCGCGACTCGGGCGAGTTGTACTGCGAGACTTGTGACAAACGTTTCGCGTCAGTCGCCACCTACCGGCAACATCTGCGAGTGTCGCGGCGACACGTGCCCGAGAGCGACTTCAGGTAATACTCATACTCACTCAAAGTCACTCATACTCATTGACACTCACCCAGGTGCATTTATGCTCACTCATATTACCTCATACTCTCTCATATTCACTCGTAATCACTCATACTCACACTCACTCATTTGCATTTATGCTAACTCATATTGTCTCATACTCACTCATGTTCACTCAAAGTCACTGATACTCATTCACACTCACTCGTGTGCATTTATGCTAACTCATATTGCCTCATACTCTCTCATACTCACTCATGTTCACTCATACTCACTCAAATTTTTATTTATTTATTTATGTAATAGCTCGGCAAACGAGCAGACGGATTACCTGATGGTAAGCAATCAGCGCCGCCCATGGACACTCGCAACGGAGGAGTTACGAGTGCGTTGCCGACCTTTTAGGGATTAGGGATTTGGAGATTTAGGGATTGAGGAGGGATTGGGGAAGGGGAAGGATTGGGCCTCCTCACTCAAAGTCACTCATACTCATTGACACTCACTCGTGTCCATTAATGCTCACTCATATTGCCTCATACTCACTCATGTTCACTCATGTTCACTCATACTCACTCAAGCTCACTCGTAATCACTCATACTCATGCGTACTCATCACTCCTACTCACTCATTTTCCCTCACTCACTCACTCATGTATTCCGTTTAGTTTTATGTGCAACGAGTGCGGCAAGAAGTTCGTGAACAAGACCCGACTCCGCGACCACATCGACTGGGAACATCTACACAACATCAAGTTCCGATGCCAGCCCTGTAATAAGGTAACATACGATTATATATTTTTCATCATCATCAGCCTATAAGTGCCCACTGCTGAGCAAAGACCTCTTCTCGCACGGAGAAGGTTTGAGCACTAACCACCACGCTCGCTCATGGTGGATAGGCGATTTCAAACCTATATTTAGAAATTATAAGTCCAAGTTTCCTCACGATGTTTTCCTTCACCGTATGTCAGTGATGTCTAAATAATCATAGAAAGTACATAGAACTCGGAAATTGGTACTTGTCAGGTTTCGAAACCGCGCCCTCATGCATGAGAAGCGGGCGCCTTAACCTCCGGGCTACCACGACGATTTTCTAATCAAACACAACATTTTCAACACACTTCCTCATAAAGTGGCTCTATTCCCACGGCAAAAATGGCTTGTTCAGCCGCACAGAGTAGCGTACAGTTAATAAGGTTACATCTTGTTCTCCTCCATAGGTATTCAAACGTCACTTTTGCTTGAATAATAGCATTCCGTGGCTTCGCTCGGTTCATACATTTTATATCCACGACACAGGAGGAAATTTGTGGGGTTTTTTTAAAAAAGCTCTGTTTACATCATATTGATCTGCCCTCAGATGATACCAAGACTATCGGCCATTATTAGGTATTTATGCTTTAGGCTAACTGGTAGAAAGTTACAGATTTTGAATCGTAATATCCTTTTTTTGATTCATTAGTTTTTTCTTCTCCTCAAATAATATCTTCTGATTACCTGATGGTAAGCAATCGACGCCGCAATAGCGGAGAAGTTACGAGTGCGTTACCTACCTTTTGAGGATTAGGGATTTGGAAATTTTGGGATTGGTGAAGGGTAAGGATTGGGTAACATCATTCAGACGGCGGAACAACGCTATGGTTGTTTCACGCCGGTTTTCTATGAGGCCGTGGTATCACTCCGGTCGAGTCGACCCATTCGTGCCGATGAAGGCTCTCCTGATGGTAAGTATTCGGCTCCGCCTGTGGACACTCGCATCAATGGAGGACTTACGAGTGCGTTACCGATCGTTTGGGGATTTAGTGTTTTTGGGGAGGAAAGAATTGGGCCTCTGGTAACCTCATTCACACGGCGAAACAACGCTGTGGTTTTTATCAGTTGTGGCGGGCTTGTCCCACTCGTAACCAGTACCGTTGTCATGTTCTTTAGATCGGTATTGTTCGTCGGACAACTCAGCAACACTTGCTATGCTGGTTGCAAACTGACACTTGCGTGCCTGTCTTCAGAACGGGTCCACTTAAACTGGTGTGGTTCTTTCCTCAAAAGACCACTACAGAATGAACTTGCACGGTTCTCTCACATTATGTTATTTTACATTGTCTGGACTTGGAAAGAGACTGACCTCTGAGTTTGCTTCGGCATTTCTTCTCAGAGTAGTCAGATAGGAAATCTAGTTTTTCACATATAATTTGACGTGTAAAAGTGCCGTTTTATGGCCTATTTGCAAAAATAAATTCATTGTTTCATTGTAACCTATTTTGATTAATATAATTTGTGTGTACAGCCATTCAAGTGCCACACATCCCTGTACGTCCACATGCAAAACGTTCATCGCAATAAGGAGAAGAAAGACAACCTCTGCCACGTCTGCGGGAAGTCCTACCAGGTAAGCATTTTACACTTTACTAGCTTTTGCCCGCGACTCCTTTCGCGTGAAATAGTGATTTCCTGCAGATTTTTGGTATAAAAACTATCCTATGTCCTTTCTCGAGTTCCAAACTATGTCTGTACCAAATTTCACAGAATTCGGTTCAGTAGTTTAGGCGTGAAGACAGTCAGACAGAGTAACTTTCGCATTTATAATATTAGTTTAGACTAGCCACGATTTTCCCCTCTACTTTTCTAAAATTTGTCTTCCATAAGAACCTTCTCCTGACAATAACAAACACAACAAAAAAAGAATTAGCAAAATTGATCCAGGCGTTTTTGAGTTATGTTCTTACCAATACATTTTATATTATAGACTAGCTAATGCCGCATGGTTTCACCCGCTACTCGTCTCCTAATGGTGGTAGAGTAATGTTTTATGGCCTATAGCCCTCAGGAACACTGTAGCTATCTATCAGTGAAAGAATTTTGGCAATCCGACCAGCGGTTCCTAAGATTGCCCCCTACATACAAACTTAAAAATTTTACTTCTTTTTCGAAATATGATACAATTAAATATTTAACAAAGTAGGTATATTTAATATTTTCTACAAACCAATCATCCGAATGATCGCTCAGTTAATCAATATAATTATATAGACAAGCACCTTCAAGCTTTCTTAATAACCGACAAGTTTCCCAACTAATCGCTCGACCTGTCGCAGAACGCAGCCAAGTTGAAATACCACATAGTGGCGATGCATACGAGCGAGACTCCCTACCAGTGCACGCAGTGCTCCGCTGCGTTCGGCTGGTACTCCAGTCTCTACAGACATGTGAGGGAGGTTCACTACAAGGTAATACTCATACTTACTGTTGAATATATAATTTTATTTAGCACATTACATAAAGTTTATGTTGTTAATCTGTCAGAGGACAGCATTGAAATAATTTTGTTATCTGTATTTACTTTATGTTTAGTCTATACTCAATTTTTTTTGTCTATGATTACTGCCATTGCGAACTCAGAATAAAGTTTATAGTTTAACAGAAAATCTCAATTTCAATTAAGAATCCTTTAGTTAAACCTATATAGTTATCACTTACTCATAGTCACTCACACTCAATTACACTCATAGTGAGTGAGTACTTATCACTCAACTAATACTCACTCAGATTTTGTTTCTCTTGTTTTTTTTATTGAAGGTTATCCCTTTATTATCATATTTTTTTATATTCACTAACACTGATACTCACAGGCATACTTACTTACACTCAAACTCACTTACACTCAAACTCACTCACACTCATACTCACTCACACTCATACTCACTCACCCCGTTCAACGATTTACAGATGAAAGTGCAGCCGAAGAAATCGAAGAAAACAAAAAAGTTGGATATACTACCGTCTCTACTTACGCCCCAAGTGTTACCGCCGGTACATCAACCCGGACCTCCGTAATACAAACTTGGAAGTACTTGAGATGTCATATTCAATAATTATTACAGAACTCAGTGTTTTCCGACTATACAGGGTTTAAAAAGACACTTAACGAAGCCGTTAACTACGCATACTGCAGTTCTAACTAAGTAGCTTTACGCTAAAATTATCACTGGGAAACGACTTTTTTGATTTAGGTATAAAAAAAGTGTCTTTTTACACCCTGTATAGACAAATTCATTATTTTTATTGATATTTTAAAAACAATAATTTTCTATTAATTTTGTATGAGATTCCAACATATGACGCTAAAGTCAAAAGTCAAAATCATTTATTTCAATTAGACACATCAGGGAGGGGGAGGGAGGCCCAATCCCTCCCCCTCCCCTATCCCTTCCCGATGTTTATATCCCCAACCCGTATCCCCAAAAGGTCGGCAACGCACTCGTAACTCCTTTGGTGTTGCGGGTGTCCATGGGCGGCGCCGATTGCTTACCATCAGGAAATCCGTCTGCTCGTTTGCCGACTTATACCATAAAAAAAATACAGGCACTTTTAAACGTCAAACAAAATTTTAAAGATATAAAGTGTCAGTCTGTCCGTGTGTCCTCTAGTGAAGCTATTTGCTCGTTCCAAAGTGTAGATTCCTATGGAGAAGAACGAGCAAGAAACTCCATGGTTACTCTTTTACAATCAGTGTCACATACAGATTCTTTGATACATTATTTAGTTGGTTTGATTATGTGAGAACAGTGTAACGCTAATATACAGAGACGCCATAATGATTCTAGGTCAAACAGAATACTTAAAATTAAAATATTTAAATACAAAATAATCTAAAATTTGTATAACCGTCAAATCAATGAATGAAAAAGTGATTATAATTTGAAAATTACCTGTATTAAAAACTCGAAATAATTTATTTTTAACCCCCGACGCTAAAAGAGGGGTGTTATAAGTTTGACGTGTCTGTCTGTCTGTCTGTCTGTGGCATCCTGGAACCTGAACGGGTGAAGCGATTTCAATTAAGTTTTTTTTTTTGTATTAAAGGTGATTTACGTGCGAGTGTTCTTAGACATGTTTGACGAAAATCGGTTGAGCCGTTTAGAAGTTATGGGGGCGTAAGTGGGGAAGGTTAACCGAAGGCCTGCAAATATACTCGAGTGGGGTCTCAAATGAAAGCGCGCTCAAAGGGAATGTTGATGACTTAATCGAGAGAAAATGATATAAAAAGTATAAAATAAATAATAAATTAGACCCCCGACAAAATAGAAATATGCAGTTGATAATAAAATGTATGGATCGGTCCCTAACGCCACGTTTTCTTTTAATTATTACTTTTTAAAGGAATATTAGACTTTTTGCCGGGGGTTTTCTAAATTTTAAATTTATAATTATTGGCCTATTTTGACTTGAACTAGTAGAGCTTTTCTCAGTTAATTCAGTGATTATTTCTAAGTACCTAATAATAATTGAAATTTGACAAACTCAAGTACCCATTAATGTATAAGTATTATATTTGTAATGAAATGAATAAAATAAATATTTTTTGTACTACCCTACAATGTCTAATTTTTTATAGATTTTTATATATAGAACCTTACCTATCTATATCAAAATTATAAAGTTGGAAAAATATTTAAAAAATTGGAAAGACAAGTGCAGTTTGATTTGCTACCGTCTGTACCGAATGACCTCAGAAACTACTGGTTCGATTTTGATAATATTATTGTCAGTATTTTTTGATAATATTATTGTCAGTATTCTTTTAAGAAGATATTAACTGCCAATCTTAAATTGGACGCCGGCGCCGGGGTGGCAGGGTAAGCCCAATGACGTACCGTGGTCTCTTCCCAGAGCAGGAGAAGAAACTGGGGTGGTTTTAAGTCAGTAAGAGTCTGACACTCACCTCCCTCAGGGCACCGGTTACCTCTCCCACAAGTCTAAAGACAACGCTGTGGTTGTTCCATACCGGTGTTTCTAATGAACATTAATGACAGACTTAAGAAAAAAATAGCTATAGCATTATACATAAGTATGGGAGAGCCATGCTTCGGCACGAATCGGCTCGATCGAAGTGGTATCACGGCTTTACATGTAACCGGCGTGAAGCAACATTTACGTTGTGTTTCGCCGTGTGTGTGAGGGTACCGGAGGTCCAATCTTCCTTTCCCCCATCGTCAATCCTCAAGTCCACCATCCCTAAAGGGATTGGAATGGATAAAGGGGAAGGAATAACACAGAAGAGGCCGGCAATATTGCTTACCATCAGGTAATCCTGTCAACACTACATTAGGTACAACAGCCAGTAAGTTTTGCAGTATTTCTAAATTCTGAAAACTAATATAAGTACTTATAAATAAAAAAACAGGTTTTAATTTATCAGCTAATTTATTAAAATTCGTTAGTAATTTTTTTTATTTCAATATAACATAAAAGAATGCAAGGAACTAAACGTGATTTCGTAAACTGATTTTGACAGTTCGTTCATATTGCAAAAATGGCGGGAGTTTAAAAATGTTTTTTACTTAATAATTAATACTATCTAGTGTCCTTTAAAACATAGCCAGGTCTGTAATGGATACTTAACTTGAATTTACTTAATTGTACAGTAACTATTGTGTGTGAATAACGATTTACGTGAAATAACTAGTAGACCTATTCTCAGTTTATTCAAGTGGCGAAGACGTTATTATCAATAAACAAAACTATGATAATTTCTTTCTCAATAAAATTAATTTCACTAAATCCATTTTCTAAACAGTGAAATTGTTTAGTAGATATTTGAATTCAATTTTATTTTTAAAAGAGAAAAGCTAGCCATTAAGATACATCGTAAGGTTATGAATACAGTTTAGAATTCAAATCTTGTGTGTATGTGATATTAATACCTATGACGAGTTTACAAGTTACTGTTTATCCAGGAAAGGTATTCGGTGACGCGGGTGTACCCAGTCGCGAACTGTGTCGTGCAGCCGAAAGGAGACTGAATAGATGTCACTCCAATCTGTAGATAAATGGAAACAGATTAAACATAAAGATAATTTTATTCGCTAAAACATGTGTAGTAAGTACTATAGAAGTATCTACACAATTTTTCGTATCCACATGCTTAACCATATCTAGTGTAGGTACAAAATTATTAATCTATACTTTTAATAAATCTGTAGAGAGGTCAATTCTGTTCATGAAATATATTTTCAAAATAACTACCACGGGGTGATAAGTGATCAATACTGATGGCAAAAATGCGATCTGTGCTTTTTTCGAAGCGGGTCGCTAGCTTCTTATTATAATTTTAAAATTACTAATCCGTCATGAGTGGACGTGGTGATCGATGCTCAAACCTTCTCCGTGTAAGAAGAGGCCTTTGCCCAGCAGTGGACACTTATAGGCTGACGATAATTAATATTATATGCACAAAATAATCTTTCTTTTAAACTTTCCCCCTTTTTTGGATTTTCCTCCCGTGTCGTGGATGCGTTTACAAACATACAATATCAAATACCCAGACCCGGAACAACAATTTGTGGATCACACAAAGAGTTGTTCTGTGCTGTAGTCTAGCCACCGCATCAACTGTGGGCTAAATGATCCATTTGGATAAATATTCGCTTCAAGTCCTTAGCCCTAGATCATGCCTTCCTGCTAGCGTGGCGAATGTATGCTAAAGTCATCAGTTGGCTACACAAAGTCGCCGCGACACGCACGCTGCTCAAGAATAAGAGTCCCGGCGTGACTTGAAACTAGGCGAGCTTTCCTCACTTAATTCACGTAAGTAAGTAATTCATTATCTATACTTTAATATTTAAAAAAATATCTATACTAATATTATAAAGAAGTAAAATTTGTAAGTTTGTATGTAGGGGGTAATCTTTGGAACCGCTGGTCGGATTGCCAAAATTCGTTCACTGATAGATAGCTACAATGTTCCTGAGTGCTATATGCTATAAAACATCACGCTACGATGAAATGGAGCCGAGCAGCGGGTGAAACCGCGCGAGAGTAGCTAGTATATTATAAAGCTGAAGAGTTTGTTTATGTGTTTGAACGCGCTATTCTCCGGAACTACTGGTCCGAATTGAACAATTTTTGTTGTTGAAGATCTGTATGAGCCGAGCAGTGGGAAAGTTTACAATAAATATAGTTTTAAAACCTACCAGTAGATGGTTTCCAGTGCCATTGAAGTTTGGTATGACCAGAGGGCCACCGAGATCCGCGCCACAAGTGCCCCACATGATGTTGCCAGGAGTGCACATAATCTTGCTGTAGTCCGCCGGTCGTCGCGCCATGTTATAGTAGCAGTCCCACCTTCCCATCACCGTTACTGTCAGCGCTTGCTGGTTCGTGTTGGGGTTCAGCTCGTCATCTGTTACAGAAAACATTTATTTCAGTTTTCGCGACGCACGTAGTAGATGTCGTAGAAATTCGCCAAAGAACCAAAGTGCCCGACATAGCTCGTAAAATCTGCAGGCTAAAGTGGCAATCTCAAAGTCAAAGTCAAAGTCAAAATCATTTATTCCAACTAAACCATAAATAGATACTTTTGAAACGTCAAAATAGAAAAATAGTCTGTCAGTCTGTTCGTCAGTGAAGCTAGGTGCTCGATCCAAATTGTAGATTCGAATGGAGAAGAACGAGCAAGAAACTCCATTCGTTACTCTTTTTTTTTTAAATTGTTTTACAATTTCAATAATATAACATTTATAGTATACATTAGTGTACCCTTATGTGAGAACAATGCAGAGACAAGTTGTTAAAAAAAAAGAACAAATGAGGGGACCTATCATAAAATTTTAATCTATAAGGTAAAACTGATTTAAAAAGAGTAACCATGGAGTTTCTTGCTCGTTCTTCTCCATCGGAATCTACACTTCGGAGCGAGCAAATAACTTCACTAGAGGACAGACGGACAGACTGACACTTTACATCTTTAAATTTTGTTTCACCTTCAAAAGTGCATGTAGGGGTCTAAGTAATTGAAATAAATTATTTTTTACTTTTAATGGGCAGGTCACGTCTCTCGAAAGACGGACGGCCGATGGGCCCGAAAAGTACTCGACTGGCGTAACATGGGCGGGCATCCTGCTAGGTGGACCGACGACATTGTCAGAGTCGCGGGGAGCCAATGGATGCATGGGAGGGAGACCTTTGTATAGCAGTGGACGTCTTCCAGCTGATGATGATGATGATGATAATGATTCTATGGATGACGTAACAAATCCTACACCATGTAAATGAACACCGATAGAAGATCAACCAACGTACAGCTGGTGGGAGGGAAGCCTGCCGGGCGTGATGACCTGGTCCAAGGATCCTCCTTTTCCGGTCTTAGGGAACATTAGACACTCTCTGTTCCCTAAACAGTAAATTGCTTACAATACACGTCAGCGTTTCAATACTAACTCCGATTTTTTTATGTGAATGGTTGGCAAACGAGCTTGCGGATCCTCAGCAACGGAGGAGTTGTTAGTGCGACACCGGCCTTTTGTGGACAAGGGCTTGGGAGATTTAGGGATTGGGGATCGAGGAATTGGGCATCCGGTGTGTTCGGTTTCATACCGGTGTCCTGAGAGGACGACCTGTTCCTGCCGAAGCATGGCTCTCCCACGCTTTGAACTTTGGCCTTTTAGGGGGACTCTCATTCAAAAGCTGTGGCATCAGCTATCGTCAGTAATTAATATGATACTTACAGTCGCTCGTCTTTCCATATCCTGAGACGCGTGCTTCATCTCCAGCGAAGGTGTAAGTAGCGTTCGCAGGGTCCGGGAGGAAGGCTGGCTTTATATTATCTGAACAACAACGTTAAGGATAAGCAAGTATTTTTAGCGTTGTCCCAAGCTGGGGCAGTTTCCTGTGTCGCGCATACTTTTGGCAATATACAAATTTTCATTACAACTAGGTTATAAACCACAGTTTGTGGTCACATTGAGCTGGTCTCCGTGTTTTTGAACTTGAATTGGACCTTAAATATTCACAGCAGCCGGTCGTACAAAATGTAATTGTGAAAAGCAGTTGGAAGGGCTGGGTTTTAGTCAGTAAAAATCTGACACTTTTGAGGTGGAATAATCGACCATAGAATGTCAGACGCTTACTGATTAAAAACCACCCCTTTCTTTATCCTGATCATGGTCCATTATAGCGTTTGTAGCAACAACCAGGTCTAATGGACTGACACTTCTTTAAAAAATGTTATACAGTTTTAAATCTCGGACTCTGGCAAATTATCATAAAGAGTACCAGCTCTTTTGGTTGGAAACGACATTATTCCTTATTCTGCCATAATAGAAAATTGACTTACTGCTGACCCAAGCACTCCACCTGAGGGTCATCATGGCGAGGTCGTTGAACAGAGTGCTAGGGTTGTACTTGGAGTGCACAGTCACTCCCGCTACATCCCATTTGCTGCCACTGAAGAGCTGCAGTGAACCCAAAACCACCTGGAATCCAAGTTGAAGGTATTTCTATGAGCGTTTGGGTAGTTTTTAAAGGTTTGGAGGGATGTGAGACCAGGGTGTAAAGTTCATTCATTCATTCGGATTCATTTAAGTGTGGGAGAGCCATGCTTCGGCACGAATGGGTCGGCTCGATCGGAGTGATACTACGGCCTCACAGAATACCGGCGTGAAACAACCACAGCGTTGTGTTTCGCTGTATGAGTGAGGTTACCGGAGGCCCAATCCCTCCTCTTCCCCTATCCCTTCCCAATTCTGTTATCCGCAACCCCTATCCCCAAAAGGCCAGCAATGCACTCGTAACTCCTTTGGTGTTACGGGTGTCCATGGGCGGCGCCGATTGCTTACCATCAGGTAATCCGTATGCTCGTTTGCCGACTTATACCATAGAAAAAAAAATCATGTACCATGTACACAACAACACCCGAGGAGTTACTGGTTGGGATTGGGATTGAGGCCCTCTAGGAAACCATGCTTTGGCACGAATGGGTCGGAATTTGAAATCGCCATTCCACTTTCAACATCGTGGAGATTCATGCTCATACTTTTTCCTTGGAGAAGAGTTTTTACTCAGCTATGGGCTTGTAGGGTGATAATGTGATGATATTAGTAATTTTTTTTGATGGACTAACCTCAGCCTTTCTGCCCACGTTGTAACCGTCGTACCAGCATTGAGCAGCAGTCAGCACTTTTTTAGTAGTAAGCAGAGTACCGCTGCAGACGGACATCTGACCAGATCTAAGGTTTATCAATATTCCGGCCTGAAATCATACATTACGAATTAGAAAAAGGTATAATTTGTAAAAGATGAAGAATTCAATTAAGATAAAGAAAGAAAAACTATTTATTCAGCATCAGGCACATTGCAACAATTATAAGTAGGTATATTATTAAAATCCAAAAAAAAAACAAAATCAGAAAATATGGATGCCAACTAAGTATAAGTTGTTTGGTTTGCTCCAATCTTCGGAACTGCTGGATCGAATTAAAAAATTCGTTTCATGGTGGACAGTCCACTTATCTAGGAAGGCTATAAAACATACTTTGACAAATAGAAGCTATTGTTGATAAATATTTTTGAATTGCCAAAGAAAATAAATTAATTAAACTAAAATTTTTGACTCCCATACAAATTACCAAACAGTGGTGTATCGTCATTTATTCAGCGGTAGATATTCTAACTCATGGTTTTTTTGTAGAATAAATACCGAAATAAGAATATCGACCATCTGCAAATAAGCGATCAGCGCCACCCGAAACACCAGAGCCGTCATAAGTGCATTTATGGACCAAAAATGACTACAAAATAACAAAAAGTGTGGGAGAGCCATGCTTCGGCACGAATGCGTCGGCTCGACCGGAAAAAACCGGCGTGAAGCAACGATACTTACGATGTATTTCGCCGTGTCAGTGAGATTACCGGAGAGGCCCAATTCTTGCCCCCTGCCCCCATCCCCAATCTTTAAATCCTTAGTCCACAAGCCGACGCACTTGTAACTCCTTTGGTACTAAGAGAGTCCATGGGCGGCGCTGATTGCTTACCATCAGGTAATTTCACACTATGACAAAAAAAAAGACTTACCAGATGTGGGTTATCACCGTAACTTGAAGCAACTCCACCGCTGATCCTCTCGCTGGCTTGCAGGGCTTCCTTTGCTCGGATCCTGGCGGCTTCAGGGATTCCCACATCCTCATGATACCCAGCTCCTAGGGTTTGACCCACTAGAAGGGCCACACAAGAAATAGCCAAGAGAGACATTTTAGAATTTGATTCTGAATCTATCTACAGCTCGTTGTGTGAAGAAAGTGTGCAATTTCGTTAGTATATATAGTTTGTTGATTGTTGTTGATAGTCAATGGTTCTTCAAGATCAAGTGCTTTGTTCAACACTATGTTTTTCACGCTGTTGTTCTTATTATCCGAGAAGTGTAGCGGTAGATACACTTAGGGGAGGTTTGCCATTACTTGCGCTTTTGGCACGTTGGAGATCGCAGTTTTTCAGAGGTTCGGGTTTGACAGAGAGCGCTGCTGTCCTGTTTATGTTTTATGTTTTCCTTTAAGGCCAAAATACCTAAATAACCTATCATTTTGTCACCTGATGGTAAGCCATCTTCGCCGCCCATGGACAATGGTAACTTCAAAGGAGTTTTTTTTTTTGTGAGATGAATATTATCAAATGACTTCTCACCCCACCCAGGGTCGGGCAGGAGAGAGTGTCAGACTCTTACTGACTAAAAACCCCCTCGTTGCTTCTCCTGCTCTGAGCCGAGGCCGCAGTAACTCATCTACCCCGCAACCCCGGAACGCTACGCACCGTCTGCTCGGTCCCGGCGGCGAGCTACCCTTAAGTACTCGCCGTCCGCAGACCCGCTTACGATGGCCGTGAGATCGTCTCTCGAACATAAGAGTAGTGTTTGAGGATATAGGAAAGTCGAGGATGGGGCTTTCGGCTACAGTACTCACACGACGAAATACACAGCTATGGTTTTACAAAACACAAGGGTGGGGTGGGGTGGATAGTTTCTCAAAGGAGGTAGTTAAATTGAAAGAAAGTTTCATCGGAGTTCATGCAGTGGTTCTGGTGTTAAGATGTATTAAACACGCATACATACTTACTGCCATAAAAATATCGTGATGGCCCATGCTGCATATAATGAAGTTCTAAACCTGGCAAGTAGGTACCAACGTGAATCGCAAGTACGTACTTTCTAAGTTTATTTAAGTGTGGGAGAGCCATGCTTCGGCACGAATGGGTCGATTCGACCGGAGTGATACTACGGCCTCACAGAAAACCGGCGTGAAACAACCACAGCGTTGTGTTTCGCTTTGTGAGTGAGGTTACTGGAGGCCCAATCTTTCCCCTCTCCCAATCCCTCCTCAATCCCTAAATCTCCAAATCCCTAATCCCTAAATCGTAACTCCTCCATTGCGGGTGTCCATGAGCGGCGCTGATTGCTGACCATCAGGTAATCCGCCTGCTCGTTTGCCGACCTATTACATAAAAAAAAACCCTACTGACATGCGGTAAAGGAAAACATCGTGAGGAAACCTAGCCTTAAAATGTCTAATTATAAGTAAGTTTTATTTAGTTAATCCACTCTAGGCGTGGTGGTTAATGCTCAAACCTTCTCCGTGTGAGAAGAGGCCTTCGCTCAGCAGTGAGCACTTATAGGCTGATGATAATGATGTGAGACACGCAGACAAACTGACTCACAGATTAATAATATAATTTATTGAAAACTATATTAATTAATCGTCAAGTCCCCAACTCTTGTGAGATAGGTACTTGACGCGATACTTAAGAAACAATACGTAATAGGAAGGGAATTACTTTTATTTTTAGATATTATCAAAACGCTTTTGTCTCGGAAATATTTAGTAGATACTTTTCCTTTGAGCGTAGATATGTATTAAAAAAACATCAGCAAGATAATCAGATGATCTATTGATCAGATGTAGGAGTACCTAAGTAAGTAGGAGAGGTGAGGCACGTCTGTGGTGGTCTATTGGCTCTTTGAGGCGCGCTGAAAGCTACGCGCCGTACGCTCGGGTATACCTAATATTGTAGGTAATGCCTAATCTTTTTTTTTTTTGTATTTAATAGGTCGGCAAACGAGCAGACGGATTACCTGATGGTGAGCAATCAGCGCCGCCCATGGACACTCGCAACGGAGGAGTTACCAGTGCGTTGCCGACCTTTTAGGGATTAGGAATTTGGAGATTTAGGGACTGAGGAGGGATTGGGGGAGGAGAAGGATTGGGCCTCCGGTAACCTCACTCACACAACGCTGTGGTTATTTCACGCTGGTTTTCAGTGAGGCCGTGGTATCACTCCGATCGAGCCGACCCATTCATGCCGAAGCATGGCTCTCTCACACTTATAAAATCTGTACCTACTGTTTCTGTAACTATTACATAAAATAAAAAATTCGGAGTCCCCGATTAGGTACAATTAGATGATTCTTATTCCAAAGTTTGGCTTATCATCATCAGCCTATAAGTGCCTACTGCTGAGCAAAAGCCGGAGAAGGTTTTGAGCATAAATCACCACGCTTGCTCAATGCGGGTTGGCGATTTTCAAACTTAGGTATAATTAGAAATTAAGTATAAGTCCAGGTTACCTCACGATGTTTACCTTCACCGTTTGTCAGTGGTGTCTAAATAATCATAGGAAGTACAAATAACTCGGAAAAAGTCACATTTGTACTTGCCAGGTTTCGAACCTGCATCGTCATGCATGAGAAACGGTTGCATTATTCTCCGGGCCACCAGGAAGTTTGGCTTTAGGAAAATATTAGACAATTACCTAACTTAGAAGTACTCGAGCTTGCATTTATAAGTACCAATAATTAGTACCTATATTATGTACCTAGAATTGATTCGAGTGTTATATACTTCAATATAAGTTTATTGTTATTATGTGTTATTTCCATTTATGACGTCCTCCACTTCAAAGTGTAGATATATATTATTATATGTAGGTATAAGTACCTACCTATCACTAGCAATCTGCCCGCGCCTTCGCCCGCGTGATATGTAGGTAGATAAAAAGCCTAAGTACCTAATAATTAGAAATTATAAGTCCAGGTTTCCTCTCGATGTTTTTCTTCACCGTACCTATGTCAGTGATGTCTAAATAATCATACAAAGTACATATGACGTGACATTGGTACTTTAGAGGTATGAGAAACAGGGTGGAAAGTTCGTCATCCTCCATTGAAAAGGGAGGATCCTCCGACCACGCAAGGTGTTCGAGTGCCTGGCGGGCTACTGCCCGACGGTTGTTGTCGGGATATCTGTATGGGTGCTAATTGTGTTGAAAACTCTTATAGCGCGATGTAGACTCTTGCACGTGATTGGTGCTGTTGTTAATGTAGTGCACTAGATGTCGCTACAGTACTGAAGCTGAAATGGAAGCTGGTTTTTTAACCTCCGGGCCACCAAGACGGCCACAGGACTGATTTTGCGATATAGGCAGCGAATAAAACTCGTAAAATAAATTTATAATTTTTTACAAATTACAATAAATATCTTAAAATTGTGAAGGGTGGAGTTAACCGATAGATTGGACGACATAACATACATACTTAGATACCTACTACTATTCAATATATCATTTAATTTTATAAAATCATCCGTTTAAACTGGTTCTCAATATAACCAAACATAATTTTAAAAGCTAACTCGGTAATTACTTTTTTACGAAGATGATACTTGACATTAAAATTACTAGCTTTAGGGCTGATTTTTCAATAGTCAGATAAATGTTATCTGAGGAATAAAATTGTTGCTGTCACTGTCTTATACGAACATTGTGACGCGACAGCATCATAATTATTCCCCAGGTAACTTTTATCTAACCATTGAAAAATCAACCCTTGGTAAAATAAAATCATGTTAAAATATTATATGCAAGTTTCTGAAAGTCGCTCGCAGTAGATACCTGGGTAAAAAATAGGTACCCTACATGTTATTCCAGACTATAATCTATCTCTGTGCCAAATAACATTCAGATCCATTCAGTAGTGTTTACGTGAGAGAGTTACAAACATACATCCGTACTTACACACTGTAGCGTTGACATAATAAATACCTAATGTTGTCTGTGACAGTATCGTTCCCAAATGAAATACTACATTAAAAAAACATTTTTTTAATCGTAATGGGTAGGCATTTGGCTGCTATCACGCCTGGTAGCAGGCGATGATGCGACCTACGATGGAGCACGTCTACCCATAAACAACAAGACCCGAGTGATACCACGGCCTCACAGGAAAGCGGCGTGAAACAACCACAAAGTTATTTCGCTGTGTGAGCGAGGTTGCTGGAGGCCCAATCCTCCCAAATCCCTATTACCGGAGACGCAATTCTTCCCCTCCCCCAATCCCTAATCCCAAAAGGTCGGCAACGCACTCCTACATCGTTGCAGGTGTCAAGGACGACGCTGATTGCTTACCATCAGGTAATCCGTTTGGTCGTTTGCCGTCAAATAAATGTGACTTTTAATTTTGTATGTAAGCCTACAATAGCTAGTCTCTGTCTGTGAACTCTTTTTCAAAAATATACTCAAGTTTTTAGACGTTTATATATTACTTATAAGTACAGAGTTTCGTTAGAATCAGTTTAACTGTTGCCGTGATTTCGGGACTTGAAATTTATATACATAGAAACCACACGTTTCCTCTCTTTCTGTCTTGGACCTAAGAATACCTTACTACATAAATTACTTCTAATGACTTTAAAAAAAACGCAGTTTTTACGCGAAATATTTACCTAAAATATCCACTTCTTTTTTTTTATTATTATTTTGAAATGGGCCGACATATTTTGGTCGCTAGCACGCCTGGCGGTAACCGATGATGCGACCTACGATGGAGCACGCTTACCCATCAGCAACCTATTCATTTAAACTTTAAATTGTAATAACAACTAAATCTTACTTATATTATAAACTAGCTTTCGCCCGCGGCTTCGCTCGCATGGTATGTTGTATGGCGTGATTGAATAACAAACATCGAAACATCGTAACTTTCGCATTTATAATAGTAGCTAAGTAGCAAGATGCGAAAGTAACGATGTTTGTTAACGAACTCAATCACGCCAAAACGGCTGGACGCATCTGGATGAAATGTGCCACAGGAATAAGATACACTGTGGAATAGGACACAGGCTACTTTTTATCAACATACCAAGCGGGCGGGAGCTAGTAAACAACTAGGTATACATCGAACGTTAAATTCCTTCATTCAAGTGTGGGAGAGCCATGCTTCGGCACGAATGGGTCGGCTCGACCGGGGTGATACCACGGTCTCATAGAAAACCGGCGTGAAACAACCACAGCGTTGTGTTTCGCCGTGTGTGTGAGGTTACCGGAGGCCCAATCCCTCCTCAATCCCCAAATCTTCAAACCCCTAATCCCAAAAGGTCGGCAACGCACTCGTAACTCCTCCGTTGCGGGTGTCCATGGGCGGCGCTGATTGCTTACCATCAGGTAATCCGTCTACTAGTTTGCCGATCTATTACACAAAAAGAAATTCACTGATGATTAGGGGCATTTTATTTTTAAAAAATCATACTAATTATAGAAATTCAATATCCATTATCCAAAATTTCATACCAAGATTACCTTTAGTAAACCACCTAAACCCATAGACCATAGTTTGACGTCACAACGGAACTCTTATTCAGTAAGATCAAATCATTTATTTCAAACAAGCTTTTGCCTGCGAAGAAAGAACAGACAGACAAAATAACTTTCGCATTTATAATATTAGTTTGGTTAAAACAAACAAAAAACTATTCTATTGTAAAATTTTTATTACACATTTAAATGCTCAGAAATATAGACTAGGTACTAAATTTTCCTTTTTTTATAATAATAATAATCTAGGCGTTTCATCCACTAGTGCATAGCAACCCATACCCATAACCCTATCAATTTTTACCACATTTCACAATAATCCTGCATCAACCGCGGATTGTCCTTGGGTGTACTTTTATAGTGCATACAGGGATAATTGCCGGCTGATGTACCATCACATTTATATTAAAACTGTCCAACGGGCCTCTGCGAGTTGGCTTCGGCTCCTCGTACGCCTTCCAAAGACTGAAAGACTTCCGAAGACTGCACGGTTGGCGCGGTGGCTAGGCAACTGGCTGCCGCGCAATGTGTCGCGGGTTCGATTCCCGCACGGAACAACTCTTTGTGTGATCCACAGATTGTTGTTCCGGGTCAGGGTGGACAAGAAACTCACATTTTGAAAAATCTTACGTGAGATTGGTGTATGGGATTGGGGATTGAATATAATTTAATCTCACATCTCACTAAAAAGGGGGACCCTCCCTCCTTGGCGAGATGTGGGGATGGCCAAAAAATCGAAAAGCTGGTACTTAATTAGTGACAGATATTATAAAACGTGATTATACTCATGATAACAAACAAACTATTTTTCTATACTGAATAGTTTAATTTTTATTAATAGCTAGACTTTTTTGGAATAGTGACTGTTCTGCAGATTTTGGTTTAAAATGTCCTTACTCGATAATTTAGTGTCTCACGATAGCTTTTATATAAAAAAAATCCTTTTTAATTTTGTTTGTACATGTATAGAAGAAGGTTTTAGGTTATAAAACATCACGCTACGATTTGTAGGAGCCGAGCAGCGACTGAAACCGCGCGACAGAAGCTAGTAGGTAAAGAAATAAAAGTGTGATATTTTGTTAAATATTTTATTTCATTTAAGAGAGAACCTTATTATAATTCTGTACACTGATGTACAGTACTCAAGTTCTGGTGCTGGGTGTGTGATACCCAGCGTAAATAGTTCAGTAATTGTATTCTTCACCGTTAGTATCTTCCGGGTTATATTTGTTTTCGTCTTCGTTAGGCTCCTGTTTGATTTGGACGTCAAATGGTGGCATACTGAATTCCGGATAATCTGTGAACATTAATTTAAGAATATTAGTAACTTTTAAATATAATTATTATACAAGTTAAAAGGTATTATCTATACTAATATTATAAAGAGGTAAAATTTGTAAGTTTGTATGTAGGGGGTAATCTTTGGAACCCGCTGGTCGGATTGCCAAAATTCTTTCACTGATAGATAGCTACAATGTTCCTGGATGCTATAGGCTGTAAACCATCACGCTACGATCAAATGGAGCGGAGCAGCGGGTGAAACCGCGCGAGAGTAGCTAGTAATATGAGGATTATCTGGTCAATAGTGAATTAGGGGTCCTCCATAAAGTACATCACACGTAAGGGGGATGGGGGGGGGGGGGGGTCGAAAAAATGCAATGGCAAGTGGTGGGAGAGGGATCCTAATTGGCTAGTTGCCTAGATTAAAAATAAATTAATAAAATATTGAAAAATAACTGCACTTTTATTCATCGATCGAAACACTAAAATTAACTAATTTTTAAGAAATAAGTATAGTTCGTTCCATAATTAGAGACAACAATTTGACAACAGCAAATGTCAAACTACAAAATAATGTGGCCAGATTTTTTAACATAGTGATGGGCCCGAGTACGATGTTTTAAATAAAATACCGATACCGTTTTTTTATAAATCACCCTGAGCAAAATAAAACAACGTTGCGGTGATGTTTTTTATAGTTTAGTCGAATTAATAATACTAATTTATAATAAAAATGCGAAATCCAAGACTGGCTAAAAGAAAAACATTATATTTGAGGAACCTATGCTGAAAGCCGAGCTGTTAGAGATTTCCCGGAAAGAGAAGAGTAATTATGAATGATACGTCGTGGTCTGATGGCTGCTAAAAGGGGGGTAACTATTTTACGGTTGCCTCCTTACCATTGTGATTTTAATCCGACTGAGTTAGCATGGGCACAAGAAGGTACCAGGGAAAGTAGCTAAAAATAATAAAGTTTTTAAAATGCACGAATTCCAGAATTTAATTTCGGTCTTTCGGTCAATACCGGTCGCGGGACATCACTATTTATGAAATTGAAAAAACTTGCAACACTCGAAATGTCAAATCGTTGTCTCTAATTATGGAACGAACTATAAGCTATTTGACGCAGAAATTCGTCGTTAACGTGTTTGTATAAGACAGTGACAGCAACTATTTTATTCCTCAGATAACATTTATCTGACTATTGAAAAATCAACCCTAAAATGATTAAAAAAATACTGAGTAATATATTTGACTGCACGGTTGGTGCGGTGGCTGGGCAACTGACCGCCGTGCAACGTGTCGCGGGTTCGATACCTACACGGAACAACACATTGTGTGATCCACAAATTATAGTGCCGTGAGTCTGGGTGTGATGTGTATGTTTGTAAACGCACCCACGACACAGGAGTCAAAGTAAAAGTCAAAATCATTTATTTCAACTAAACCATAAATAGGTACTTTTGAAACGTCAAAATAGAATAGTAGTCTGTCAGTCTGTTCGTCAGTGAAGCTAGGTGCTCGTTCCAAATTGTAGTTTCGAAAAAAACATTAATGTAGGGAGGAAAAGTTTTTAAACAAAAAATATATCTAAAATTCTCTGATTATCTTGTTTTTTTTTTATTCTTACAGAAGGCTTACAGACTTATAGTACTTAAATATTATAATATGATATAACTCATTTTCAGAGAACTATTATATAAATACGTTAATTTAAACATAGGTTTTTTACAATTTAATTGAATTAATTTAAAGAGACTGACCTCTGAGTTTGTTTCGGCATTTCTTCTCAGAGTAGTCAGATAGGAAATGCCGGCTTCATCTAGTTTTCACATATAATTTGACGTGTAAAAGTGCCGTTTTATGGCCCATTTGCAAAAATAAATTCATTGTTTTACTGTTTCAATGAACTATAAAAACTGGTTTTCAACCCCCTCCCCAGTCTAGGAACTGACCCTGACCATCCTGGGTCACTCCGAAAGACAGTATCTACTGCACTTACCTTCCACATACTCCTTGAGATCTTGCATTTTGATTCTACTCTCTATGGCAGCGAGTAATAAGGAAAAATTGTTTAATACATTACGGCCGACGTATCTTGGCGAGTCTGAAGTTAGCCGTTTGTCTGCGCAATGGATGTTTTAGGAACAAAATTGTGTACTGCGCAGCTAATCGGCTAACTTCAGACTCGACAAGATACGTCGACGGTATTGTACATTGCAAAGACCATCATTAATATATTACATCACACATCATCATCATCATCATCATCAGCCTATAAGTGCCCATTGCTGAGCAAAGGCCTCTTCTCACACGGAGAAGGTTTGAGCATTAATCACCACGCTCGCTCAAGGCGGATTGGCGATTTTAAACTTACAGAAAACCAGTGTAAAATAACCACAGCGTTGTGTTTCGCCGTGTGAGTGAGGTTACCGGAGGCTCCATCCCATAAATATCCGAAACCCTTATCCCCAAAAGACCGGCAACGCGCTCGTAATTCCTTTTGGTAGTGTAAGTGTCCATGGGCGGCGCCGATTGCTTACCATCAGGTAATCCGCCTGCTCATTTGCCGACGTATTCCAAAAAAAACGTGACGTCGGTTTTATCGCTATGTTCCGACATGTCCGAGCATATGGCACGAGGGGTACAAATCTCTTAGGCATCGTCGACTTTTTTATATGTCATAAGGTCGGCAAACGATCAGACGCATTACCTGATGGTAAGCAATCAGCGCCGCCCATGGACACATGTAGCAACAGAAGAGTTACGAGTGCTTGCCCTACCTTTTAGGGAATAGGGTTTTGTGAATTAGGGATTAGGGTTTTGGGGATTGGGGTATTGGAATTAAGTTTTGAGTATTTAGTACCTATTTTGGGGAATAGGATTTTGAATATTTAGTGTTTTGGGATTAGGGTCAGTTTTGGGGATTAGGGTCAGCGTTGGGGATTAGGGTCAGTTTTGATGATCAGGGATTTTGGATAAGAGTTTTGGGGATTAGATTTAGGGATCAACTTTTTGGGTTATGGTTTGGAGATTAGGGTTTTGGTGATTAGGGTTTTGGGGATTGGGGTTTCCGCTAACCTCACTCACACGGCGAAACACAATAACCGTGTTTGCATAAGACACTATGTTAGTATAAAGAGAATAATGTGGGAACTCACCGTCCATCGGTTCCTCTTTAATTTTAATATCCTCGGGTTTGACCTTGGGCTCCTTGCGTTCCTTGTCGCGTCGGGAACGTTTCTTGTCGCGGTCCCTCTCGCGGTCCTTGTCGCGGTCGCGGCGCTCGCGGCGACGCTCCGAACGGGACCGGGAACGCCGGCGACGACCGTTGTTACTGTTGACACGACATGCAATATTATCTATCTATACTAATATTATAAAGAGGAAAAATTTGTAAGTTTGTATGTAGGGGGTAATCTTTGGAACCGCTGGTCGGATTGCCAAAATTCTTTCACTGATAGATAGCTACAATGTTCCTGAGTGCTATAGGCTATAAACCATCACGCTACGATCAAATGGAGCCGAGCAGCGGGTGAAACCGCGCGAGAGTAGCTAGTATAAAATATAATCCTAATAAGTACAGTATACATACCGTTCGGCTTCATCGGGCTCCCTATCCCGGGCTTCCCTGTCCCGCTCGCGTTCCCGGTCGCGGTCGCGACGTCGCGAGCGTGACGCCGAGCGTCGACGAGACCTGGACCGCGATCGACGTCGACTGCCCGCTGTAACCAGAATATTATAGTCTACATTATACATCAGCGTATAAGTGTCCACTGCTGAGCAAAGGCCTCTTCGCATACGGAGAAGGTTTGAACATTGATCACCACGCTCGCTCAATGCGGATTGGCGATATCAAACGTTAGTTTTTGAAATCTGATCCAACAGACAAACTGTGTATACAGTTTTGTTGGACATTTTATACTTTTTATAATGTAAATTGTACCTGTTAAGCAATAATAAATAAATAAATAAACTTATAATTTAGAAGTTATAGGTTATTTACCGTTTGTCAGTGGTGTCTAAATGTAATTTTTATCTATAATTTTTTAACTTTATGCACAGGACATGGGTGGGATTAATACCTACAAGCATTTTCGCTAGCCAATCTTTGGGTAATGCAGTGAGTACATGGTCGGTGAAACAAAGTATAAGAAAAATGAAAACAAAAGTAATTTGTTGAATAATGTCTTCTAAAACATTGATTGAGCCTAGCCAGGTTTCTAGAAGCATTTAAAAATATTTGAAATTTAAATGTAAAAAACAGTAATAACGTTAATATGAGCTCCTGACGTGACTTGAAACTAGACGAATCAGCTCGTTATCTAATATTTACGTATGTAGGGACAGTCACGTACACACCTATGTAAATGCATGTGCATGGCGTAGGGCGTCGTATCATATTGCTATTCCCTCCTTAAATTAGAATATAAGCCAGTCTTCGTGTAACGGTGTGCCGGGCCGGAACTTTTGTTAAACTCGAACTTTTATAACCATTCTGTGTGTCTTGGTATGAACAATATAATTTTCCAGTGGTGTTCTGAACTTTTATTTCTCTCTGACATTCACAAATATATAATTAAGCTAGCTTGGACAGTTCATTGTGACATTCCATTGAAGAATAGAGATAGATCGACGCTCAAGACTAGTCCTCCTTATTTTGTGGCGGGAAATTCATCAAATAAATCAAATCAAATGGTGAAATTCATCAAACAAAAAGTGTGGGAGAGCCATGCTTCGGCACGAATGGGTCGGCTCGACCGGAGTGATACCACGGCCTCACAGAAAACCGGCGTGAAATAATCACTGCGTTGTGTTTCGCCGTGTGAGTGAGGTTACCGGAGACCCAATCCTTCCCCTTCCCCAATCCCTCCTCAATCCCTAAATCTCCAAATCCCTAATCCCTAAAAGGTCGTCAACGCACTCGTAACTCCTCCGTTGCGAGTGTCCATGGGCGGCGCTGATTGCTTACCATCAGGTAATCCGTCTGCTCGTTTGCCGACCTATTACATAAAAAAAAAAAAAAAAAATGACTTCTCCCGACCTGGATGAAGCGAGAGGGAGTGTCAGACTCTTACTGACTAAAAAACCCCCCTGTTCCTTCTCCTGCTCTGGGCCGAGGTCGCGATGCCTCATTGCGCTTACCCCGCAACCCCGACTGAGACCAGAGCGCATCGTTACATTCTTAATACTCAATCGGCCTTTTTACAAAACAGTTATTCTAAGTCTAAAACATTGAGCTAGTTTTTGTATTTTAAATTGAAAATAACATTCAAAATACAAAACACGACTCAGGACGACATATTTTGACCGCTATCACGCCTGGTGGTATGATGATGATGCCACCTACAATGGAGCACGCCTATCTATAAGCAACCTGTTCATTTAATCTTCAAATTGTAATACAAACTTAGGGCTGATTTTTCAATAGTTAATAAATGTTCATCATCATCATCATCAGCCTATAAGTGCCCACTGCTGAGCAAAGGTCTCTTCTCACACGGAGAAGGTTTGAGCATTAATCACCACGCTTGCTCAATGCGGGTTGGCGATTTCAAACTTACAATTAGAAATTATAAGTCCAGGTTTCCTCACGATGTTTACCTTCACCGTATGTCAGTGGTGTCTAAATAATCATAGAAAGTACATATAACTCGGAAAAGTCACATTGGTACTTGCCAGGTTTCGAACCCACACTCTCATGCATGAGAAGCGGGCGCCTTAACCTCCGGGCCACCACGACACATTATTATTAGATAAATGTTATCTGTGGAATAAAATTGTTGCTGTCACTGTCTTATACAAACATTGTGACGCGACAGCATCATAATTATTCCCCAGGTAACTTTTATCCAACCATTGGAAAACAGCCCTCAATGGTTTAAACTTAGACTAAAGATGAATCTAGTTTTCTAATATAGTTATTATTCAATCTCTATGTATATATAATTCTGCTACACGTGTATATGTCATTGAACTCCTCCTAAACGGCGTGACCGATTTAAATTTATTTTTCTGTATGCGTTTGAGTGGCGCCCTGGATGATTTAGACTCACAAATCAGCCCGGCAGATGGCGCTGATTGCTTGAAAAAGCATGTGATCTCGGAAAAGGCCCTAACGATTTCGCTAAATTTTGATGTAAGGGTTTTTGGGGAGGGACGCCTAGTAGAATAATAAAAAAGCAACTTATTATAAAACTTACCGGGTCTATCGTGTCTGGGACGGTCCTCTCTGTCCCTCTGCTCGAGACGGTACCGCTCTCGCTCCCTCTCGTTGTCCTCCCGACCGGAATGCTTTATGTTGACATCCGCGCCTCCACGCCTGGTCCCGCCGAGACCACCGCCTAGAAATATACAATTATATAATTATATACATGAAAAAATTAAGGCGAAAGTGTGTAAGTACGGATGTATGTTTGTTACTCTCTCACGTAAACACTACTGGACGGATCTGAATGTAAGTAATTTGGCACAGAGATAGATTATAGTCAACTAACTATTGTGCAACATGTTGCGGGTTTAATTCCCGAACGGATCAACACAGACCCGGAACAACAATTTGTGGATCACACAAAGAGTTGTTCCGTGCGGGAATCGAACCCGCGACACGTTACACGGCAGCCAGTTGCCCATCCATTTTGATTGCACACCAACCGTGCAATCAAATGACCTCTCCCGTCCAGGGTAGGGCAAAGAGAGAGTGTCAGACTCTTACTGACTAAAAACCCCAGCTTAAGACCCTAGCAACGTATTTTTAACCCCCGACGCAAAAAAAACGGTGTTATAAGTTTGACGTGTCTGTCTGTCTGTCTGTCTGTCTGTGGCATCATAGCTCCTGAACGAATGAACCGATTTCAATTTAGTTTTTTTTTTTTTTGTTATTACAGGTGTTTTTCGAGCGAGTGTTCTTAGACATGTTTGATGAAAATCGATTGAGCCTTTTAAAAGTTATGGGGGGTTAAAGTGGGGAAGAAAAACTGAATGTCTGCAAATATGCTCGAGTGGGATATCAAATGAAAGCGCACTGAAAGGGAATTTTGATGACTGAATCGAGAGAAAATGATATAAAATACCTAAAAAAATTAATTAGACCCCCGACAAAATAGAAATATATGCAGTAGATAACAAAATATTTGGATCGGTCCCCGAAAGCCACGTTTTTTTAATATTCCTTTTTAAAGGGATACTAGGTTTTTTGTCAGGTTTTTTTTTACTTGCAATAAACTAGTGCTTGACTGCGATCCCACCTGATGTTAAGCAGTGATGCAATCGTTTATGGTAAGGCACTAGTTTATTGAGAGCCTATTCACCCTAGCCTTGAAGACACCTAAATTGTATTCGGACGGAAATACTGCAGCCGTATAAGCCGCCGGCAAGCCGGTATAAATGACGAGGCAAAACGATTAGTCCGGGCCGCAGGTGTCTCAACAACGTAAGGGTGGACATTTGCTGTACGCCGGGTTTATTTAATTTGAAATTTATAAAGAAACTAATAATGTTGTGTGTGAATTACTCACCCAGTCTCCTCGGCAGCCAGCCTTTGACAGTGCGAGCTCGTTCAACGTCGACCAAAACTCGTTTACCGTCAATCTTCTTGCCGTCAGCGTGTTTGTAAGCGGCTGGAACATAACATCACGCTGTAATACCGGCAGGGGGGGAGGGGGGGCGACAAACACACGAGGGAGGTACTGACACTATACCTATTTGTTTATTTATTTCCTTTCACGGGACCACAGGACCTTTGGAAGGCGTACGAGGGGCCAAAGCCAACTCGCAGAGGCCCGTTGAAGAGTTTTAATCTAAATGTGATGGGACATCAGCCGGCAATTATCCCTTTATATTATAAAGAGGTTCATAAGTTTGTATGTAGGGGGTAATCTTTAGAACCACTGGTCGGATTGCTAAAATTCTTTCTCTGGTAGATAGCTACAATGTTCCTGAGTGCTATAGCCTATAAAACATGGAGCCGAGCAGCTGGTGAAACTGCGCAAGAGTAGCTAGTAAGATATTTTGAATAAGGGACTAATAAACACGCCAGTAGACGCTCGTCTGCGTAGAGAGATTAATAAATGTGGAAGAAGCGAGAGGTATGTCCGAATCCCCCAGTGGGGGACGGACGATACCATATGTATGAATAAGAGAAATTAATACATATAATAAAAATATAAATAGCCCCTATACACACAATATAAGGACTTTATAAACGCATGAAAACTTCAAACAATGTGTCATGTGTCCGTGCTAATCTCAGAAACGGCTTAATCAAATCGGATTGGATTTTTACTAAAACGATATGATTTGCTGAGATATAGGTATAGGTACACTTTGTTCAAACATAATTTTGAGATGGAAAGACAGTTATGTAATATATTTATAAGTATATTAGAAAACAACTCAAAAATCAAGGGACAGTGTCAATACCGTATTTTTTTTTATGAAACCACGTGTATTTGTCATATTTTCTGTAGTATAAATCCTACCATGCATTGCCAAATGGGTATTTTGTTTTTTTTTATTGCAAAGAATGCACCGTCATTGATTAATTTTACTATAGGTACACAAAAACTTTAGTTTTTTTGGTATAAAAAAAAATAACTAGGTATGTAAGATAAACAGAAAAAAATATGAATTTGCAAGTTTTTTTTATGGGATCGATCAGCGCCGGAGCCCTCGTGATAAGCAATCGGCACTGACCATAGGCACTCGTAAAATTAAAGGAGTTATAATAGTAACAACGTACTAAAAAACAAAAAAAAATGTTTTCAATTTGATTATTTTGAAACTAGCTTATTCAAGTGTGCCATCATTGTTTTTCTACAATTTAAAATAATAGTTTACTTAATAAAATACAAAATTAATTAGCAATTACATCTTTACAATATTTTTTAAAACCTCCCTTTTTACATTGTAAAGAAACGACCATATTTTTTTAAGAGTCATTCTCTATTACAAGTCTAGGTACGCTTTTAGATCAAATAAAATAACTCAAGAATACCTATTATTTTTTTCATAAAATTTTTTTTTTTGGCAATGCATGTTAGAAAAAAAAAACATTAGTAGATGCGGTCTGTATATCTATATGTATATTAATTATATAATATGTATTTAACAATTTATTACCTATTATTTTGCACGTGGCAAGTGACGTGTGTCCATAAAAAACCAATTTCAACATAAAAAAACCGTCCACAAAATAGCAATTTTTCTCTTCACACTCAAAAAAAAAACACAAACAATTTTTTTTATAAAATTTAGCTAAAAAATTACTATTTTTCAGACACTTTACATTTTCATGTATACAAATGTACCTGTTACAATGAAAAACCGTTCAAACGACGCCAGTTGAACATATCCGAATATCGCTTTGACCGACTCAAAACTTGACGGATCAAAGCGAACTTCGGGACACGTTTTCATTGGAAAACATAGTATTTTTTCCATACCTACCGACCTTGTAGTCCTTACACTCTTTATAGATAAAATTAATAGACGAAAACTCTATATTATCATTATTATAAATTAGAAAAAAAATATTAAATACCCACCATAAATACCTACCGTATCGTATCGAAAAATTTACACGTTTTACTTACGAAAAAACCCATCGTTTTATATCCATTAACCGCTTTTTACTTTACCTGGAGCGCTTTTACTTACTTTATATCCGTGCGCTTTTTATATATATATATAAATATATACTAAACATTTATTAATTTCAATTAAAATTAACTACGTCATCAATTTAGATTTATATAAATTATTATAGTATATAAATAAATAAATACAATACAATATAACAATTACAAAACAAAAAAATATATAAAAATTTTTAATCTACAAATATGAATGGGCAACGCGGACAATTTTCGCCAATCACCTCGTACGACCCAAGTATATAATAAGGGTGATTATTGCCTATATATTTTTGTATGTATGTTGGCATCTTACCACATACAAACCTATAGAAGATAGCTCGTATGAAGGACTACGTACGGCCAGTCTGGTAGTGAAAGAAAAATTACTTATTAATCATGTTATGCTCGTTCTAATAGGTATTATCACCGCGATGATGGGGCGATGCGCTCGACAATATATCGGAGGAGACGGTAGATTCGCGTCGACGAATTATAATACCACGGCTTTATGTGATTTACAAATTGTTGTTTTGAGTCTGGGTGTCATGTGTGGGTGAAATTGTATGTTTGTAAACGCACCCACGACAGGAAACTAACTAGTGGGGCAACTATAAAAAAAAGCAATTCATATTTAATAAATATCAAAGCCAAATAGCTTGATAAGTAATTCAATATACAGTAATCGTCGCATTATCAGTATCTAAGAACCCACTGCTAAGCAAAAGCCACTTCTAACACGGAGAAGGTTTGAGCAACAGTGCCCGTTCAAGTTCTAATTCCAGATCTACATCGAAATCTATTCATACAATAAATAAAATTGGATTGTCTGTTTGTAATACTGAAATAACCTATTTTTACTAAATACATACATGAATATACATATACACAAAAATAACACTTATTCTCCTCTGTCAGTCTGTTTGTCCTGGTTAATATTTGGTCTTAAATTATTCGTGGAAGTCCAGGGAAAGTTTAAGGTCAAAAAACTTAGTCAATTTTGAGGCGGAATGAAGTTAGCCAGGCCAGCTAGAAAAATATAGTGTTCGCGCGCGATAGTGATGATCAAGTTTTACGCGGACGAAATCACGAGTATAAGCTAGTCTATAATATCTTCCGCCATCAATCAGAATCAGAAAATGTATTTGTAAACACAGCGGGCCTACCGTTACGTGTTAAAACGTAGGCCTTCTTAAATCAATTTACTTTACAAAATAAATAAATAGGCTAGTCATTCAGACCGTTAGTTGAATTACTAATTAAGCTAGAAAGCTGTTATGAAGTACAAGAATACTGAAAAAAAATTTCAATAGCTTTTTCTGTAAAACAATATACATATTATTTAGTAAAAAATCTTATCGAGTAGTAGATAACTTAGCACTGAATATATCCAATATATATGATATGCAATTAAGAAAAAAAAAGCTACAATACCGCCAACGTATCTTGGCGAGTCTGAAGTTAGCCGATTAGCTGCGCAGTACACAATTTTGTTCCTAAAAGATCTATTGCGCAGACAAACGGCTGACTTCGGACTCGCCAAGATACGTCGGCCATACTGAAGCTATTGTTACACTAAAATACTCTAGTTTCCAACTACTCAAACTCAATACCTTTACTGAAATGACAAAAACGATACTTTCCTATGAAAATTGTATGAACTTGTCTGTCTCTGAGTGACCACTGCTAAGAAAAGACCTCTTCTAACAAGGAGAAAGTTTGAGCATTAACCAACACGCATGCTCAAGGCGGATTGGCAACTTCAAACTTATAATTAGATATTACAAGTCCAGATTTCCTCACGATGTTTTCCTTCACCGTATGTCAGTGGTGTCTAAATAATCATAGAAAGTACATATAACTCGGAAAAAGTCACATTGGTACTTGCCAGGTTTCGCCCTGCCCTCATGCATGAGAAGCGGGCGTCTTAACCTCTGGCCAACCACGACATTATCTGTCACATTCACTGTCTCTGTATTAAATTAACTTAGTGCCTGATTTTTCAATGGTTAGATAAAAGTTACCTGGGGAATAATTATGATGCTGTCGCGTCACAATGTTTGTATAAGACAGTGACAGCAACAATTTTATTCCTCAGATAACATTTATCTGACTATTAGTAAAAACCGACCTTAGTGAGTGAAATAAAAACGAAAAAAAATTATATAGGTAATTACATCCAAACTAATAATTAAAATGCGAAAGTAACTCTGTCTGTCTGTCTGTCCTTTCTTCACGCCTAAACTACTGAACCGATTTCTGTGAAATTTGGTACAGGCATAGTTTGGAACTCGAGAAAGGACATAGGATAGTTTTTATACCAAAAATCTGCAGGAAGTCACTATTCCACGCGAACGGAATCGCGTGCAAAAGCTAGTCATGAGTATATAACAAAAATACTAAAGAACCAATCTCCTCCGAAATAGTCTCAAGGCGCACGCCTTAACCGATACAAAAGGGTTTACCGATCACCATTATAAATCAAAGAAAACACAGATTTTTTTAAAGTCGTAGGTAAATTATTATAGAGAAAATATAGAATGGTGATACAGTATATAACAAAAAAAAAATAATAAAACATACAGACAGAAGTATTGGACATGCAGTGACGTTGTGCGGTTCTGGTATTACAAACGCTACAGTGTGTAAGTACGGATGGATGTTTGTTACTCTCTCACGTAAACACTACTGAACGGATCTGAATGTAATTTGCCACAGAGATAGATTATAGTCTCCATATAGGCTACTTTTTACCCTAGTCTTGTAAGCAAAGCCAGTGATTTAAAACCATTAATTGAAGAGCTTCCAGTGAGATTTTCATTACTAATAAGTTTTAAGCATGAAAAACATTATTTGACCGTAGTATTGTCTACACAAGTACAAATCCCATAACACAATACCCTTTAAAACGTTTATGCTTCGTTTATTTCACAAACTTACCCTCCACATATGTCCAATACTTTACAACTTACCCTTCATAACTGCAGTTTGCACATGTACTTTTACCATTACCCTATGTACTTTCATTGTTACCATACGTCCTTTGGCATTTACCCAACATACTTTAACCGTTACCGAAAGTAATTTTATCGTTACCATATATACTTTGACCGTTACCCTACGCACTTTGACCGTTACCTAAAGTACTTTTATCGTTACCCTACGTACTTTGACCGTTACCATACGTGTAATTTGACTTTTACGCAACAACCAGAGACCGTAAACATCACTGTAGGTCGCAACACATGTCTGTGACGTCATAACTCAGTGTAACACTTACAATGCATGTCTCGCTCGTGCTCATACTCGATGAAGGCGTAACCGCGGGGCTTGTTGTTGTCCTTGTTGAATATCATGCATATCTGTTGGTGAGAAAGAGATGGGATTAGCTATAAAAGCCACATAGAATATTGAGGTGGACATAGGCTATGGTGACTGTTTACTGACAAATGGTCTGCCGTCTATTTAATAATGTTTCGAGCCGGTATTTTCGTGCCAACATATATGGATTTTTTACTCAGTCAACCTAGTCATGGAAATCATTGCAGAAACTCGAATGAAGAGGAGTCCATAGACCAACAATAGTTTGAAATGGGCTGATGGTAAATAATCAATTACCTGATCTAGCAAACTCTCTACTGCTTCAAAATTATGTAACTAAATTCAGTTAATAAGCTGTGCCTTTGTACCTAATTGTTGTATTATTTTTCTTGTCCAACTTACTGTGTGTACAAAAATTATTAAATAAATAAGTAAGTGTGGGAGAGCCACGCGTCGGCACGAATGGGTCGGCTCGACCGGTGTGATACCACGGCCTCACAGAAAACCACAGCGTTGTGTTTCGCCGTGTGAGTAAGGTTACCAGAAGCCCAATCCTTCCCCTCCCCGAATCCGTAAATCCCCAAAAGGTCGTTTTCTTCCTTACCGAATAAGAAAGGTCGCCAGTTTGTTTGAAAAAATTTAAATCTTTTCTGGACTGTTACATATATTTTGTGACCAAAACTATCCAAGTTGGTCCAGAGGTCTGCGACTTTTAGCGAGTCCAACATATAGCTATTATATATTCTTATATTAATAATTAAAAATACATGATAAACTTACTTTTTTTATTGCACCATATCCCTCAAACTCTCTTCTTAATTTTGATTCTGACGTGTCATAGTTCTGTGAACAAAATCATTCAAATTATTGGTAAAATGTTGTATGACGCCATCCAGCTACATAGTGAAGACCTACCCTATGTGGCTGGCAGTGGTTGTATGCAAAGAGCCCAAGATAAAGCGCTATGGTATATTGTAGAGGACTACCTTCATTTTCTTTTCTTTTAAAAAAAAATGTTACCCCACACTAGGATTTTCACCTATGTCGTGGGTGCGTTTAAAAACATACAATTTCACATACACAGCACACCCAGACCCGGAAAAACCATTTGTGGATCACACAAAGTGTTGTTCCGTGCGGGAATCCTACGGCACGTTTTTTTTTTAATTCTCCTCCCGCCCGACCCTGGGCGGGAGGAGAATTAGAAGGAAGAAGTTTTAAGACGCTTACTGGCTAAAATCCCCCTTCCTTCTCTTGCTCTGGGCCGAGGTAGCATTGCCTCATTGCGTATCCTGTAACCCCGGCCGGCTGAACATCAGCCCTATAGGGCCCCGTCTGTGGTGGTCTATTGGCTCTTTGAGGCGCACGCGGAACGCTACGCGCCGTTCGCTCGGGTCTGGTTCTGGTCGGGCGGCGAGCTACGTTTACTCGCCGTCCGCAGACCCGAACTCGCGGCACGTTGCACAGCAGCCAGTTGCCCAGCTACTGCGCCAACCGTGCAGTCTATATCACCGTTAATTTATATCGGATATCCGATAATTTCGGTTACGGTTCCGGAGCTACCTGAAATCCCTGATTTGAACGAAAAATATACTCACAATTCTAGCCACAAACAATGTCTTGAAGGGGTCCATCGTGGCTTTGGGATTTGTGCTGGGGTCCCACAGGGCTATCTCCTGCTCCAGCTTATACGCTGTCTGCTCCGCTCTCTCGCGACGCCTGCGTTCCATACGCTCCTCTCTGGTCTCGACTCGAGTCGGCGGCGGTGTTTCTGAGGGATGCTGCGGAATGAGATAGTGATTTATTAACCTGATTGAAAAAGAGTAACCATGGAGTTTGTTGCTCGTTTTTCTCCATAGGAATCTACACTTTGGAACGAGCAAATAGCTTCACTAGAGGACAGACGGACTGACACCCATAAGTTTAAACCTATTGAAATATATTGTCTTTTTCTTTTTTGTTTGACGTTCAAAAGTGCCTTCTGTGGTCTAATTGAAATAAATGATTTTGACTTTGAGGACTTTAAGGTGTGAGTTGTGTTATTAATTCTAAAGTATACGTATGGTAGAATATTGGACTACAGTTGTGGTCGCCTGAAAGGTAATATTGTTTAGATTGATACACCAATAGAGGGCAGAGCCATGGTTCGGCACGAATGGGTTGGCTCGACCGGAGTGGTACCACGGCATCACAGAAAACCGGCGTGAAACAACCACAGCGTTGTGTTTCGCTGTGTGAGTGAGGTTACCGGAGGCCCAATACTTCTCCTCACCCAATCCCCCTCTATCCCTAAATCTCCAAATCCCTAATCCCTAAAAGGTCAGCAATGCACTCGACACTCCTCCGTTGCGGGTGTCCATGGGCGGCGCTGATTGCTTACCATCAGGTAATCCGTCTGCTCGTTTGCAGACCTATTACATAAAAAAAATTATAATACAAAAATTAGAATAGTTAGAAACAATTCATTAATTTTAAAGTCCAAGTCCAATCATTTATTTCAAACTGGCTTTTGCCCACAACTCCATTCACTTGGAATAGTGACTCCCTGCAGATTTTCTTTATAGTCATCACTGACTAGGTTTTTCTTTTGCACTCTTTCTCTCCCTATATCCCTATGTATGCTTAAATTTTCAAAACTATGCCACAGATTTTGATGTGACATTTAACAGATAGAGTGATTCAAGAGGAAGATTAATTAATATGTATAATAACATCTATTAATCATTCAACTGTGGTAATTTTGATGTTTATTTGGAGTTTAATATATTAAATAGTGGAGAAATTTATTATCAGCAGCTTTTTTACCTGCCCCAGCTTCACACGGGTGCACCGTGTGAAGCTGGGGCAGGTAGCTAGTTTTTAATCAATCAAATAGCATGGTGATTCATGTTCCTTCTATGTATGAGAAGAGGCTTTTCCCAGCAGTGTGACAGTAAAAAAACCATGCCTTTTGCAATTCCATCACAATAAAAAAGTTGACAAAAAATTATGTGGCACATAAAGTATTATATTCTAAATTTCTATACTAAAATTTATATCCAAACTAATATTATAAATGTGTCTTTTCTTCACGCCTAAACAACTCAAGCTATTTCTGTGAAATTTGGTACAGACATAGTTTGTAACTCGAGAAAAGATAAAGAATAGTTTTTATACCTAAAATCTGCAGGAAGTCACCACTATTTTACCCGAATTAATTTGCGGGTAAGTTAGTACTTAGTACATATAAATTATTATAAATAATGTACATTGAATAAAAAACACCACAGACCTGAGAACTAAATTAACAAGGGTCTAATGTATCCTTAATTGCACTGTCATTTGTTTTTTGAAATATTCATCCATTAGTTAAATTTTAATACTTATAAAACAATATTATTTCTTCAAACATTGAAATGTAAAATTTATTTTTGCAAATAGGCCATAAACCAGACCAACCCTTTACACATCAAAATTTCTTATAAAAAAAAACTAGATGTAGCCAGCATTTCATATCTAACTACTCTGACAAGAAATGCCGAAAAAAACTCAGAATTCTTACTCTATTACTATTTCAATTGTGTAATATGAGACATGTGGTGGTGGCCCGGAGGTTAAGGCGCCCCTTTCTCATGCATGAGGGTGTGGCAAGTACCAATGTGACTTTTTCCGAGTTATATGTACTTTCTATGATTATTTAGACACCACTGACATACAGTGAAGGTAAACATCGTGAGGAAACCTGAATTTATAATTTCAAATTATAAGTTTGAAATCACCAACCCGCATTGAGCAATTGTGGTGATTTATGCTCCAACCTTCTCCGTGTCAGAAGAGGCTTTTGCTCAGCAGTGGGCACTTATAGGCTGATGATGATAATGAATGAGACACAATAGTAAAACAAAAGGAGTGTCAACATCGGCATTCACTTGGAGTGTGATGAATTACACATTTCTTAACATTGTGATGTTTAAGCAACCTCAAATCAAATCAAAGTCAAAATCATTTATTCCAACTAAACCATAAATAGGTACTTTTGAAACGTCAAAATAGAATAGTAGTCTGTCAGTCTGTTCGTCAGTGAAGCTAGGTGCTCGTTCCAAATTGTAGATTCGAACATTCTTTGCTACCATCAGTTGATTGGACAATGACTAACAAACACATCATATATTTCTAAGCTATTGTTTAACAACTCATTCTCACAAGCTGCTAAGATGTTAACATAGAATATACAGCTTGTTATATAGGCTGTGCAATGCAGGTAAATCCTAAAATGGCTGGCAAAGACATTCTGAAAGAGTTGGCTAGTTTCATCATTCATACTATTATTATTATTTGTTTATTCTTTACTTTTACGGGACCACAGGGTCCCGAACCTTTGGAAGGCGTTCGAGGAGCCGAGGCCAACTCGCAGAGGCCCGTTGAACAGTTTTAATCTAAATGTGATGGGACATCAGCCGGCAATTATCCCTGTATGCACTATATAAGTGCACCCAAGGACAATCCCCGGTTGGTGCAGGACTATTGTAAAATGTGGTAAAAATTGATAGGGTTATAGGTATGGGTTGCTATGGACTGGTGGATATGATAACTATGGAAATACTATGGCCCCTGCCCCTGACCAATATTGATACATACGGATAAACAGGCAGGGGGTGACTGGCAAACTCAATTAATGGGTATTATTATCTTCAACTCTAGGGGTTGTTGGTCTTGTGTTGGAATCACATCACATCACCAGCATTTAAGTACCTACTGCTGATTAACGACCTCTTCTCACATGGAGGAGGATGGAGCATTTATCACGCAAACTCGCTCAAGGCGTATTGGCGATTTTAAACTTTGATCATTAATTATAAGTAAAAAATAGTTGTCTTTATATTTTCCTTCAATGTATGTCAGTGGTGTCTGCATAAACTTAGCAAGTACATATAATTCGGAAAAAGGACCATAGGTATTTATCCCAAGATTCGAAACCGCACCTTAATCCATAAAAGGCTAATTCAAATTAATATTTTTGATAAAATTTCATTGTTATAGTTGCTTGTTTTTTTATTTCGATTTTCTTTTACATCACAACAGTGCAGTTTTATGGTATATTTTTTGTGTAAAGAGAATTATAATGCCACTACATAGACCAGCCGAGCGAAACAGTGCCTACAATTTAATTAATTTATCAACTACAACAAAAATTAGATTTTCATGTATAAATACCATGCAAGAACTTAAAATAATGTAACCTGTTATCATATCGATTAATAAAACTAACAACATATCGGCTATTGCAATTAATTGACGGGGAAAACTGCACATGGTAATTATTTAATTCGCTATGTAGTCGATGTGTACAAAATAGGTAATATTTTGGAAATCTAACCTCAAAAACGTCGAGGAATGCTCCGACGCCATCGTAGCCCTTTTGCTTCTTCTCATGAGGTAACTTCGCTGCAGGTGGCAAATAGGGAATTGGATCCCTAGCAGCAAATAATGCCAATAAATTCGGTGGCAAAAACTGCGTCATTTTGCCAAACCTTTGTAGTCCACTTTTATCACTTTAATACACACATTACATACTCTAAAACCTAGTTCATATCTTGCAAAAGATATATAAGCACTAATCAATAACTATTTAAGATTATTTGCGAGTTATTATTACACAAATATACGGTGACTCCGCAACACGCTTCTGTCCGCCATTGAAGAAATGAAAATTTTATTTACATCTGAGTTGCCGTGCTTCGAATACAGCTTTGTCAGTGTTGCCACTTTATTTAAAATAAGGCTAGAAACAGACTAGGATCTACTAAAAACAAAACCATAGTGGCGGTGCGTCTCGTGTCTTTAGTTGCAGCAATCCAGAGTATTATTTAACTTTATCAATACCATTCCACGACTTGAACATAAAAAATCAAAATAAACCACAGTCACAAATTTTTATTAATTAATCATAAGTTGTAAAAAACTTCCAAATCATTACACCGAGTCCTACTAAACACAAACACAGAAATATAAAGGCTATTATCATAAAAAAATGTGGGGTCCCAAGACATGTATCCTGGCCAGCGAGAGGGCCTCTGATTCGAAGACCATCTTCGTAGAGTGGTCTTTTATGTTTTTGAGGTTGCTCCATTCAGCACAGTCTGTTGAAAATAAGGCAGAAATATATTACTGTGTCGTGTCGTCGCCATAAACCTATCGGTTTCACGGGTTTCACACATTCTGGTTAGAGTTGTTAGGCACTTAGGCAAATGTTGTGTCATGATACGTGCCATCAAAAATGTATAGGTAATATAGATTGGGGTGTTGCCGACGTTAGGTCGCGGCTGCGGCCTTGTTTAGAAGAAGTAAGGGGGGGAGATTTTAATCATTATGACTCTGACACTTTCTTTCGCTTCACTCTCGGTAGAAGTCGTTTGATAATGTTCCCTCCACAAAAACACGTCATCAATTTAATCTTTTATTCCAAAACAAATTGCCACTAGATAACAATATTTACAAAAAAAAGAATTCCACATTTCATTTGGTTATTTTATTAGGCGAGCTTCTTATAGAGATCGCCATTAGGACCGTAATAGTCACTAAGGATGCTACAAAAATTAAAAACGCTATAAAATAAAGAACTTGTTTCTTGTCGGCGTTAGGATAAATACTGCAACAGTACTGTGGATATATAAGTACCGCCATAACTGAAAAAATAAACTCAAATTAATAATATTTCATTTGTAGGGATACATTTCCATCGTTTTATATATTTTCTTGATGTAGAACATGGATAAACATTAAACATGGATACTAGTACCAGTTGTATGTTTTAGGCAAATACCTTATACTCTACACAAGGTTTTGTACAAGGTCTTTGGTTTTAGGATTTATACAAACATGGCTTTGGTTGGTGCCAAAGAAAAACTTTCAAGATTTGCGTATAAGTTTTGAACTATAAACGCATATTAATAGAGTTGAAAATCTCTTTAACAAATTTGAAATAATGACGTACCTACTACATATTATTGACATCGGTATCTTATCAGAATAACAAAATAACACTATAATTTAATAAATAATTAAATACACAATACACTTACTGGAGGATGTTTGTTTTCTCGGCATTTTGGTGATTTAAACATTAATCTAGAAACAAAATTCACAATCTCAATTTTTAGTAACAAATTCATGTTATTTCTAGGGAAGTAGATTTTTGTAATTATTGGCGCCATTTTTGTTCAACTTCGGTAACAGTAACGGAAAATTATGTTAAAAAGATATTGTGATCTAATTTTAACTCCTAAGTACTTGGTTTATTAAATTATGTTGTTACAATACATAGTTCAGAGATTTAAATATTATACGTAGTCACATTTCAATAATAAGTACTTAGGTATCTATTGAGCCACAGACTCGTTCAAAAGCCGCGAAAATCGGTGTTTTTATTATCAAAAAAGCATAATTTCTTACAAGACAACAAAGATGTTGAACCCACGCTGTAAAAATGTTCAGGTAAGTATTTAAATAATAATATTATTGTGAACTTACATCAAGCTTAGGAAGGAATTAGTTTCTTATAATCGCATTCTGGTTATATAGATTTATTATCCGTTATGAATGAGCTATAACTACATTAAAATAAATAAATAGGTATTTCACAAACGAAAATATTGTTTACGCTCAATTTGACTTCAGCGTCATTACCAAATTTTTTGACGGAAGAACATGATATTCTAAGTTGTAAATGTAGTTTTATAGTAAGGAGGATTCTTCTAGGTTTCTGGTTTACGGTTTTATTCGCGTGGTCGAAGAAAACTGTGGGTTTTAAGATAAAGCGTACTGCTTTATCTTAAAACCCACAGTTTATGTGGTACCTATAGATTATGTCATCCAGTAAAAGTCGGCTGCGGAGCAAAGCTTTCTTCTCACACGGAGAAGGTGGATCAGAGGCGGCGTAACGCTTGGGCGACGTTTTGAGAGCCATGCTGCGGCACGAATAGGTCGGCTCGACCGGAGTGATACCACGGCCTCACAGAAAACTGGTGTGAAACAACCACAGTGTTGTGTTTCGCCGTGTGAGTGAGGTAACCGGAGGCCCAAACCTTCCCCTTCCCCTTCCCAATCCCTCCCCAGTTCCTAAATCTCCAAATCCCTAATCCCTAAAAGGTCGGCAACGCACTCGTAACTCCTCCGTTATGGGTGTCCATGGGCGGCGCTGATTGCTTAGCATCAGGTAATCCGTCAGTTCGCTTGCCGACACATGACATAAAAAAAACGTGGGCCACCGCATACGGCCTCGCGCCTCAAGAATTTTTATCTTTCGTCTTCAGGTCGCCAACTCGCCACAGGGAAGGGCCTCGCAAAATCTGTCTTCCCAAATTATAATTAGATCTTGCTCTGCTCCGCCACTCAGGCGGATTGTCGATTTGAAACTTACAACCTAGAAATTATAAGTTCAGGTTTCCTCACGATGTTTTTCGTCACCGTATGTCATTGGTATCTGAATAATCACAGTCTCTTGCAATTCATCTGACGTGTCAATAGATGGCACTATACAAAAACTCACTCTCTCTCTCTCTTTCACGTTCCTTCCGTCAGTCGAGGCTGCCGGGTCAAGCGCATAACCTGACACTCCCTCTTATAAAGGCCAGGGAAGTCATTCGATGATATTTAATCCAGCCCCGTAAAAAGAAAGGTGTCAGGGCCAGGGGATGCCGGGGTTGCGGAATAAGCGCAATGAGTCACTGCGGCCTCGGGCCAGAGCAGGAGATTGAATTGGGGGGAGGGGGGAAGGGAGAGGGGGTAATTGTTGGTAAGAGTCTGAAACTAAATCCCGCCTAAACCTGAGCGGGGCATTTGATGATTTTCAAGTCGAAAAAAATGGGTGAACGAGACTTGTGGTTTTTGGTCAGAAATAGTAAGTATGACGCTTCGGAGGTACAAAAAAAAAAAACAAATTTTATTTCTCAACTTGAATGCCATTTATTTATTTATTCAAATAGATATTTTTTAATAACAACACAGTGCATTATTATTTTGCAGACATTTACCTGACCCGTAAATGCGGACCCGGGTACGTCCTAAAACTGCGACCAGACACCGAGGAATGGGGAGCAGCATTCTTTAAAAATTATCGGTGACCTAACTGCGCTCGCCAACCCGCCTGCCAAGCGTGGTGAGTATTGGCAAATCCCCCCCATATGAACTGCTCAGATAAAACCAGGCCCCCAGTCTCCGGCAGTCCCGCCGTTCCTGGCTACCGTGGTAGCGGTCAGGGTAACGGCGGGACACGGGGTGCTAAGAATCCCCGGAGGTGGAGAAAAGGCTACCACCCCCGACGACGACTGGCCCTGGTAACACACAATGTTCGCACTTTGAGGACAGACGAGAAGATTATTGAGCTGGAAGAGGCATTGGGTAGGTTGCGCTGGAGTATTGTGGGGTTGTCAGAAGTCCGACGAGAGGGCGAGGACACGATAACCCTAAGATCCGGCAACCTATTCTACTACCGGGAGGGCGAACAACTGTCCCAAGGTGGTGTCGGGTTCCTCGTCCACAGGTCCCTCGTCAACAACATTCTTACCATCGAAAGTGTGTCGAGCAGGGTGGCGTACCTGATACTCAGGGTATCCAATAGATACTCGTTGAAGGTTATCCAGGTTTATGCACCGACCTCGACACACCCAGACGAGGAAGTAGAGGTTATGTATGAGGACATAAGTAGGGCCATACATACTAATAAAACCTACTTCAATGTTGTTATGGGGGACTTCAACGCGAAACTGGGAACTCGAGGCGATAACGAGCTGAGAGTGGGGCAATTCGGGTATGGGCAACGGAACCACAGGGGACAGAGACTGGCTGAGTTCCTGGAGAAGGAGGACCTCTTTGCGATGAACTCCTTTTTCCAGAAGCCGTCTCACAGGAAATGGACCTGGATGAGCCCGGACGGTTCCACAAAAAATGAGATCGACTTCATCATGACAACAAAGCGACAGATGTTCAATGATGTCTCTGTGATCCATAAAGTAAAAACCGGCAGCGATCACCGACTGGTCAGAGGCACATTGAATATCAATATAAAGCTGGAAAGATCACGTCTGATGAAGTCTACGCTCCGACCTTCAAATGCACATATCGGTTGTCCCGAGAGCTTTCAGATCGAGCTATCGAATCGTTTTGAGTCCCTGGAGAATTGCGAGTCAGTGGACGAGATTAGCAACAGGTTTGTAGAAACTGTCCATGCGGTCGGGTCGAAGTTTTTTAGACCCCGCCGAAAAGACAGACCGCAGAAGCTTACCGATCGCACCCTCAAACTCATGGCAGAACGACGTGCTATGGTACTCCAGACCTCTGCCGATGCTAAAGCACATCGGCAGCTCAATAGACAAATATGGAAGTCCATGCGACACGATATCCGCAACTTTAACGCCAATAGGGTTAAAGAAGCGATAGAGCGGAACCAAGGCTCCAAAGTGTTCGCTAGGGACATGTCTATTGGGCAAACACAGCTGACGAAGCTGAAGGCGGAGGATGGCAGTGTAGCGTCGACGAAGGCCGAAGTTTTGGGTGAGATCGAGAGGTTTTATGGACAGCTATACACATCGGTCACTAGACCTGTTAGCTCAGTCGCCGATCCAAGAGCTAAACTCACCCGACACTATACCGAGGATATCCCGGACATCAGCCTATACGAGATTAGGATGGCCCT